CTTCGCTTTGCTTTTCCTTTATTTTTTGATCTTTGTTTTGATCCTCCATAGTTGGTCTTGAGAAGCCGAGACGCATAAAAATTTCAACCTAACAGTCGCTCCTCACCAATTGAATGGTACATTGAAGGAACCATTTTTCGTACAAAAATCTTACTCTTTTCCAATCTTTTTCCTTATCATTTCCATGATTACTATTTTCATCATCGCTGATCTTGTGAGGCCGAGAGGCATAAAAATTTCAACTTGAGCAAGTCACTTTCCTTCCATCAAAGGCAACATACATCCGAACAGTTTGCATGGAGAAAAAATCTTTTTTTCATCTTCTTCTTCCTCATCACCACCACCTTCCTCATCATCACCTTCCTCATCACCATCATCTTCATCACCACGATCATCACACTCATTCTGTTCATTGGTTGTTCAGTTAAGGTATTTCAAGTTGAAATGCTTCCGCGTAAACTTAACTTTTTTGATGCATTCATTTTACTTTGATTCTTTGCTAATCATTTCCTTCTCATCATTTTCCTAATAATCATCATCATTTTCACAATCAACTTAATGTCATTTACAAAACCATTGTCAATTGTTAATAGTTAAATTATCCGTAAGCGTACAGTTTACCATTAAATTATTTTAATTGTCAGCTTATTAACACCAATTCAATTGAACACTTTTCTTCTCTCTCTCTCTCTTCAGCCTCCTCGCCATCCTTATTACAGTAATTGATTCTGTAAACATTAGCTCAACTATCGCCATCATCATCATCCAACAATGCTAATAATTCAGATTAATTTAATTCTGATTGTTACAGTGCTATTTGTTGACAGCATTTCGCGTTTATTGAATTACAGTAGACATTACATGTTACCGCATTCATCATAATACCCTTTTGTTGCTGCACAATAACCACAACCAACTTGTATCAACATTTTGTAACAGTCAATGGATAATCATTGATCAACAATTAACTATCAACACAATTCAGTTATAAATGAAGCAAAAATGCTTTACGAAAGAAGCAAAAAGTTAAAAAAAGAAAGTTAATTAGATTAAAGTTAAAGGTAAGAAAACGGTTAAACAATAAGTTAACCCTTTTTTTGCTATTTACACCTTTACTCATTAACTGACATACCTTGAAACAGCTGAAACAGTGAACAGTAAAGATTTTAAAAATTGGTGATGAACAACAATTGGTTAACAGCAGCAACAGGAACAAGTAAACAGATTGTTGTAACAATAAGATAATCGGTCAATCGGTCAACAACAGTGTTTAATGAATAAATGAAAAGTGATTTCAACTCGCCAATCGTCTACAAAAATAGCAATCGACTGTCAACTTGGTAAGCTGATCAAGTTGATTGCAAGAGTCAATTATTCACATTTTTGTCAACTTAACAAATCCTTGGTAATAATGATGGTTACATGATGACCATTATGACTGATCAGATTGATGTCAGAACAAATAAGATTACCTTGATTGGCACGGAAATGGCCCTGATTAAAAGGTAACTTTTAACTGGTTAAACTTAAATGCTTACAGCAACTTTAATTAAAGTCACTTACAATCAGATGATCGCCACATTTAATTGACAATAATCAGTTTGCTAATTTTTCCTCATTTAAGATTCAATTTATTTTTCTTTTTACCATCATTGAAAAATATGACAAACAATTAGCTTTAATTGTAAAGGTGAACACAATTAGCAAATTGATCGACAATATTGATCAAAGGATGATTAGTTATTATATTTGATAAGATTTGTGATTCTCATTATGGACCGAAAAATTTTGGTAGAAAAAGCAAAATATTTATTTTCTGGTTTTGGGTTTTTTATCCATTTTCTGGTTTAGCTTGGCTTTGTGTAATACTTATTATTAGCTTGTAATTGTTTTTGATTTTCTGGTTTTTTTCATCTTCTACTTCTTAATGTGCTGATAATGAGTATTCAGATTGTTCAATTTGATCATGAATTAGGTAAGAAATGATCATTTGGTCATCAGCAAAATCAATCAACCCATTTTGAAAAGGTTTCATTCGTTGATTACAATTAAGTTTCACAATTGCAAACCTTTTAAGGTCTCTCATCTGGACAATGTTTCACTATCAAATTGTGTATAATCATCTTTAATGAAACACTCACACAATTACCGTAATCATCATTATCCTCATCATATGTGATTCATTTGTCTGGTCAAACAAGAAAGTTCATTAAATCATTTGTAAGGAGGCAGAAGAAAAAAATCAACAAAATGTTGACTCCAATAATCAAATGAACACAAATTGACGGTCAATTTCGTAAGAAAAGTAAATAGACCATTTTGTTTCTCTTCCTACTTCATCATCATCTTCAGAATGAATCATGAAAAAGGTCGAAAGAAGTTGAAATTTTCTGTGTAAATCTAAAGAGGCTGAAGGCGCAAAAACCTCAACCTAAGCAAGTCACTTCATTGCATCAAGTACAGCATACAATGAGCCTTTTTCACGCAATTTTTTGTCTCATTTTCTTTTCTTCATTTTCTTCTTCTTTATCATCATGATGATCATCATCGCCATCATCATTATCTTTATTATTGCAGTACGACGTTGAGTAATCATAAAAAAATGAAATAAAAGCTAATGCAAACATGTTTAAGGTCAGTTTGAAGATGAGGAAGAAGATGACCAATTCGGTTGGTTAGTTGAGCAAACCTGAAAGAAAAATAGATCAAAATGAAGTTTGTTCTGTAAACCCAGAATATGTGTTCATGTTTTGACCATGATGGAAGCAGCTTGTTGCATTTGTTTTGTTAACACAGCAATATTTCAATTTAAATAACAGCAAATGAAGATGTTAACAATAAACAACTGGAAGGAAGTTTGTTGCCTTTTGTTTACCAAAAACAAAAAACTACAAAATTTGTATTAAAATGAAGACCAAAAAATAGTTAAGGGATAGGATGATTGATTTACAGGTGAACAGAGTTTCGATCTGTTTCACATCATTAACAATATCAATTGATGGACTTTTGTTTAACTCTTCTTAATCACTCCTCATCTTAATCTGCCTCTCTATCACCCAATCAAATAACCAACTCGCTCTTCTGGCTCATGATTACAATTATCATCTTCAATTGTAGCTGCAATCCATTTGAAAGATTCATTTGAAAACATGAAGTTTAAGGGTGACAAATGAGTATGTAAACACACAACAAAAGGCTTACCAAATGACACCTTATTCAAGGTTAGACAATCAGTTTAAGGTATGATTACAGTTGCGACAGTTTAATAACATATGATTGATGCAACAAGTTAACCTGTATTCAATTAACATACTAATTTGATGATTACCGAATTGACCTTTTCTTTAGATTGCTTTTCAACACGTTTTCCTTCAATGGTCAGTTACAGTCACCAGGCCTGAAAGGTTAACCATTATCATGAAACATCTTCAACAATATGAGCGAGTTTGATTAAACCTTGATTAATGAGCTTCCAAATGTTAAACTAGACAAATCAAATGAAAATGTTGACAAAATTTAAATCGATGTTGATAAATGATACAAAAAAGCAAAACCAATTTTAGATTGAAAATGAAAATTTTGGCCTTTTTTTGTAAAATTATTTTCTCATTGTTTCATTGACAAGCAAAAACGCTTCAACTTTTAGGTCAATTGCATTGTAAATGAAGGTACAGTAAATGAGTAACTCTAAATTGTAACAACTGAATTAAGAGCGAAATAAAGGTTATCTTGGTAATCAAGGTTACAATTATAATTATAGTAAATGGTATTAAAATTAGTTGTGTATAACTGTTACCCTTTTACTAATTTGTCAACTGATTCAATTCATTATAACTGGTTCACTCGATTGTTGATTATTGTTTAAAAAATTGATTCGTTAATTATCCTTTTCTTTTTCGTACAGTAAACAGCTTTTAATTAATAATCAACTTTTGATAACCTTCAATTGGATGGTTAAAGGAGAGAGAGAGAAACTGATTAACTTGATTGTTGCAAACCAATGTTTTATCATATATTACAATATATTTCAATATATGTTTATAAATATATTTGGAATGATTGGTTGACAAAATTGTTTTTTCTGGTTAAAGGTTTTCTGGTTGAAGCCTTTTCGGGTTACAAAAAAGACTGACAATGTTTTAAACACTTTAATTGTTCACTTTGATTTGATCAAATAAATGTTAATAAACTAAATTCAAGTGTTAATTGTTTGATGATGTAAAGAAGAAGAAGAAGAAGAAGCAAAAAAGAAGATGAAATTGGCGTTAAAATTTATATATCACTTGTAAGTGTGTCATTACAATTGAACACAATACAAGGTTATAAAATCATTTTTCAAATCTAATGCAATAATCATAATGGTTATTAATTTACGCACAATTAACGCATTGATTCAATTAACTTTCACTTTTTTTGCTCTCTATTGTAATTATTGTTACTTTGATCCTGATTTGTCTTTTTACTTCTTCTTGTTTCTTTGCAACCTTACAAATTAATATTCATTTCATATCCATTTTGCTGGTTTGCTTTTCATGTCAACACTTTGATTGCAATCATTATATCACCAATTTTAATCATGACTTGTAATGAGTTGGAGTCGGCTTTGAATGCAAAAATTAGAATCGAAACAGTTTCTTTGATTGGAATTTTATTTGTCAACTTTGAACCATTTTTTGGGTTGTTTTTTATTCTTACTTCTTTCTGATTGCTCTAATCAAACAGTTTAATTGTTGACCTTGACTAGGCTGAGATTGTGAGTTAATTAGGTTAAATTGGCAGGAAGTCTAGTCATGGTTAATCATTTATTTACAATTTGAGTGGCTTTTTCATAATTGCTTTTCAACATTTTCAAAGCTCAAATGGTCATTATTGGACTGGTGCTAAAAATATTGACGTGACGGTTGGGAAAAAGGGTTCAAGTTAATTTGTAAAAGCTAATCAACTCATGTTGAGACGTTATTAACAGTCTAACAATATTTAAATGAGGACAAAAAATGAAATTTCACTAGAAATGGACAGTTGTTTTTTTTTATCTATTCAATAATTGATGATGAATTTGATTGATTTTTATCAATTTAATACAGATTTGGAAATAATATGTATATATAATGATGGGAATAATAATAATAATGCTTACAATCGATAAACTACAATCTTGGTGTCAAAAAAAATGATAATAATCGTCTAATGTGTTCAGCAGGGAATCATATATTAGCGATTATTTTGATTACTTTTTTTTTCTTCTTTTCAATCTACAAATGATGGGAATCAGGGTTAAAATAATCACACTTATTTTCATCTCTATCCAGTTCAATGTATTACCAACAGACTCTTTATAAAAATTTTACACTTTACTTTCACAATAGATTCTGCAGTTGATGATGATGATCGGTCCGTAAAAAAGATTACAAATTAATTGGATTTTGGTTAGTAATCACATGGTGTTTATTACGATTAGGAGTAAGGCCATCTAGCGGAGCTTGGCCCGATACATAAACTTTTCAGGATAACGGGTTGTTTGATTACCGAGGGGAGAAACCCTTGGTTACTATAACTGTTCACTGAAGCTGGCATCAATCTACTTGAATATCCTGAATTGGTTACAGGTACTCCAGGTGAATTGGTGAGATTTTTTCCAAAATTTTTATCATGGCGGCTCATGGTCACTAGTTTCTTCATTGGAGGTGTTAATTCATAGGAATTTTGCTTTGACTTCTTGAGGTATTCCTTTTCAATGGCATCAATGGTTATTTTATCACTATTGTTCTCATTTTTACCATCTTTGAAGTTAGCAATAACACAATAAGATCCTTCATGTTCTCCAAACCTGCACGTAACCTCTTTAGGGTCAACCCAAAGAGTTAACTCAACTGGTAAACTGAGATCATCATAGTTGATACCAGACATTTTGCTGGCAATTTCTAGAATAGTATCTCTTCGGTCACTTTCATTAACTCTTATACACCTATAAGCTTGGCCACGGTTAGGTTTCTCTGGGAACCAATGGTTCTCATATTTTTTAGCCAACAGTTCAATAAGATTATCTTTGAATTTGTTTAAATTCTCTTCAACCAGGGTATTACTTTTACCAATTAGACGCACAAGAAAAATCACAGCAGCTTGTATCTCCTCTCTCATGATTGATGCAGTTTGAATCCGTTGATGGGGTGATGTCAATAAAATGAGATGATTTATAATCCAGGTTTAAGATGGACACTTTAATATCGAAAATCGGTGTAAATCACAATTAAAATTATAATAATTAGGAAAAAAATTAAGAAGAAAAGGGGACATTAAACCAAATTCAAGAAAACTGAAAAAAATAGTACTCCAGATCTGAGCTTGTCAGCTATTCTGTGAACAAAGACTACAGTAAAAGACAGCACAAAGAGCATTATGTTGTGCTTGCTTTGTTACGTGACATTACTTGTTACTCCCTCTGAAGTTCAGGAGTTAAACTACTCGATATCCAATCAAAACAGTTACTTACGTAGTGTCATCTGTTGATAAAAAATAGAGCAACTTGTAAAAAACTTGTTTACTCATGTTTATGCAATAGCAAACAAACCTCATACAAAGTAAAGTTTAGTTTAGTTAATCGTTACAAACAATCAAAAGTTAATCGCAATGAATACAAATCAAAGAGTAAATACAATTTTTAAAACTCGTGTTAAAACTTGAACAAATAGTTGAAGTGTCAAGATATGCAAACAAAATCAGCAAATATTATAACATTGTGACTCTGGTTGATGTTGTTTTTGGTAAAGGACAAAGACCTCTGATCTTAAGACCTAATGACCTTCTCCTTTGGTAAACTGTGCGTAAAACATCAATGACAGCTAATTAACATTATACTTAATATCAAACTTAAATCTTGTCAAGCTTTCAAATTTTGTTTTTTTTTGTATTTTTCAGAGAGAAAGTCGATCCTTCTTATGATGCTGTTACTCATAGCTTTGCTGATGTAGAGGATTGAATAAAGCCGGTGACAAGCCTCGTGATTTGGCTAGTGACTGACAAATATTTAAATAATGATCCAGGAGTTAAGTATCAAGTCAATTAAGCTGGTGATTATGATATTAGTGAGGATCATATGAGTGGACATGGATTAATACGGCTGCCTCTTAGGTAATCAAAAATTCACTACTTCATCTGGAAAGACGTAAATATCTCAATGAACTTTATTGTTTCAATATGACAACGCACCATATTTTGAAGGACAAAACTCATCATAATTTTCATCCTATCAACTCAACATCTTCCTTTCTTTCACCTTTTTATCTTATTTTTCATCTTCTCATCTAATCCTCTTTCCTTTCATTTACTTTCTTCTCTTTCAGCCCAGGGCTTTGTTATAAATATATGTGTTTATATTTATTCTGATTCCTATTTGAAAGTTCATTAAAACATGAATGGCCTCAAGAAAATTATATTTCATTCGGATGGTATTCATCGTGAAGATGATTCTGACTTTGATAATGCTTCTGATGATGATGATGCTGCTGCTGATGGACTAAGTTATGATAGTAAACTGAACCAACTGATTGCTCTAAATTTTTATCTTCATTAATTGTCTGTTTACTCGTTCATCTCGTTTTTTTGGCGATTTTTGTCTCATCTTAGTTCGTTGATTTGGCCCTTTAAGTTGTTTTATTGGTGATGATTATTTTGTGGCTACAGGTTTGAAGAAGCAAATTACATTTTTAATATCAACCAATTTATAGATTACAATTCAAGTATAACTTAAACGAAAGTGTTTAATCAATTACACCGTTCCTATCAATCAATTATTTTCCCATCCTCTAATTACATTAAAATTTAATTTGTAATCAAATTACAAGCCTTTCTTTTTTCAGGCAAACACGAATTTAACTTAGCAAGCTGTTTAAAGTAATTAAGATTAGACTTAATTAGATGAACAGTGTTCTGTAAACATTTAGAACACTGTTCCACAAAAAAATGTTTTAAACAAATCTCAACCTACACGAGCTTTTGCTTCGTCGATCAACCTGATTTGCTTGATAATTTATAAATCACATGTTGATGTTGACCATGTTTATGTTGATAAATAAATGTTTACCTTACCACTGAAAATATTTCAACTCAACAATTAGACAAAATATGCAAATAAATATTATGATAGCAAGAAGAGTTGACAATGACAGAAGACATAAGCTTATACAAAATGAACAAAGCAGTGAAAGTTATTCACAGGGAAACTCTCAACCATTTGAACATTGAAGATGTCAAGATTAAATTAAAACTTTAGCATTGATCGGAGCAAATATAAATTGCAGTTAAGTCTAATATCAACCATTTAGCTAGTCAACTGAATTAGATAAATAGCTTTCAATTTATTTTTCAACTCAACAGTTGCATTGACTTCTGTCTCATCTTATCCAATATAGATGGCACTGATCTCAATTTTATTTCCAATTTTTCATCTTTTTATCAAAAGAAAGCAATTTTAATTTCTAATCAAATTGGTTGGGCATTTAAAGATGTATTTGATTTAACATTTAATTTTTTATTTCCAGTTGGATCGATAATTGTATCTTGATTGCCCTCGCCTTTATTAATGTTCAACTCATCAATTGTGGATCTAAAAATGTTGACTGAAACCGATTTTTGGATTGAATTTTGATTTTTATTAATATTTCAAATGATAATGATAATTAATGGATAATAAAATAAAGCTTTAATGCGATAGACTCTTATAGCTATCATTTAATGATTAAACTCAACTCTTTTTTTGGACTCTTTTCATCGACCTTACATTAATATAATCGCACTTTCATATTTTTTGATTGTTTCTTTTGCTATCTTAATCTTTGACTTCATTGTTAGAGTAATCATTGAAATCATTATCATTGATTGTATATAAAATATTAGATAAGATTGTTGAAAAAGAGCAAATTAAAAGCATGTAAATGATCACGAATGAAAGATTTACAAGTTAATGTTCATTGAAAAAGTCTAATGATGGCGAGATTTCAGCTCAATCTATCATTAGGTTTGAAATTGAATTGATTGTTGAAGATAAATTGAGTTGATAAAAAGATTTATTTAATGCCCTGAATGGGAATCAGTAAATGAATCAGGTGATTGTTAATTCAGAAGAAGACAATTTGTCTCAATTAAAATTATCATAAACTGAGGTTTTGTTGCTATTAATACTAAAACGAAAAGACAAAAGATGGCGTTATTTTCTGATAGCGCCTTTTCTCACCGATTCATCAACTGTTCGTGTTTCTAATGTTACAATTGAAATTTAATATGTTTATTTGATCAAATAATCTCTATTAATGTTGTGCTGATTATTTTAAAAACTCGCGTTTATATACTCAACAATCAAGTAAACCTGAGTTTATGTTATAAAAGAAACAATCAAAAGACAATTGACCCAGAAGATAGATGAAATACTGTGAACGCGTACTTTGGATATCAATCAATCATACCGGGAAAATTATCATATGGTTTCGTTTGTTGGCTTTATTATTTATTTGGTACTGATATCGTAATTGTTGGAGGATAAAGACCTTTGATTATAAATATTTGTGAAATGTTATACATTTAACTCGAAGAGATGTATTAACGATGACATGATGGAAAGCAAAATGGAAATAGCGTTACCTCCTGATGGATAAGCTCAACTCATTTTTAAACCCATCTCTTTTCAGCCAAATCCTGTCGAGATTTCTAAATTTGTTTTCATTTTCCATGATGAATGTTAATCAGAATGAGGATTATGACGACAGTTTTGATGGTAATGATCATTCAGATATTGAGGAAGATGACCACTTTAAAAGCTGATGATTCTGAGGCCTTCGGTTCCTCTTGGACGTTTTAAATTGAAATACCTTCCGTAAAATGACATTAACAACATTTAAAAGCCAAAGTTTACCGTAAATATCTTTATTCTTGATCAGCTCTATTATTCCCAAATAAAAGTGAACCATATTTTGAAGGACAAAACTCATCATTTTCATCCTATCAACTTAACATCTTCCTTTCTTTCACCTTTTTTTATCTTATTTTTCATCTTCTCATCGTCTTTCCTTTCATTTACTTTCATCTCTTTCAGCCCAGGGCTTTGTTATAAATATATGTGTTTATATTTATTCTGATTCCTATTTGAAAGTTCATTAAAACATGAATGGCCTCAAGAAAATTATATTTCATTCGGATGGTATTCATCGTGAAGATGATTCTGACTTTGATAATGCTTCTGATGATGATGATGCTGCTGCTGTTACTCTTGCTGATGATGGTCTAAGTTATGATAGTAAACTGAATCAACTGATTGCTCTAAATTTTTATCTTCATTAATTGTCTGTTTACTCGTTCATCTTGTTTTTTTTGGCGATTTTGTCTCATCTTAGTTCGTTGATTTGACCCTTTAAGTTGTTTTATTGGTGATGATTATTTTGTGGCTACAGGTTTATAGAAGCAAATTACACTTTTAATATCAACCAATTTATAAATTACACCTTAAAAACGAAAGAAAGTGTTCAATCAATTAACCATCTTGAGCGATAATTTTTATCATTTAACTTCTGCAACATTTATATCTAATATTCAATTTCAAGACATATTTATGGACCTCATCAACTAACCAAAACATATCGGAATAATTTGGTCAACTCCAGGACACAGTAAAACAAATGCATTACCATTCTGGATATTTATGTCAATGAACCTGACTCTTCTGATAATTTTTAAACTGTCCATTGTTACTGACATTAGCTAATTGTCACTTACCCTTGAATCTGATTCAACTCAACAATTAAAATTAATGTTGTGAGTGGAAAGAAAAGATTACGATGATAGTTATGAATGAAATGATCATTAAAAATATCAAATATGAATAAACATTTCAATTCTCTTGGTTTAATTACAATGTAAAAAAACTGTCCTCTAATCTGAATTAGTGACAATCAACTGTATGACTTTTTAAACATGTTAATCACTCAATTTAACCTTAATGATTGACGATTAGATTAGTATAATACCTTATCAAGTTTACTCGTTTTTACTAATAAAGCATTTCATCAATTCTTAATCTAAAAATATTAATAGAAAGTGGCATTTTAATTGAATTTTATTTGATCATAATAATAGTAATGGTAATATTTTATTAAATAATAAAAGTTAAACAAGATTCAGTAAACTGAATGAAATGAAGATGATCATCTTATCAAGTCTCATCAACTTCGTCATCACTCTTCATCTCCTCCTTGAGTAAGAAGAGTAAGAAATTGATTTTAAGATCGTCAAGAAAGTAAAGTAAGAAAAGTAAGAAAAGGTTAGCCTCCAAGTTTAAGGTGAGTGGTCCAGTAAGATGGGCAAGAGGATGAGAGATGATGAGAAAGGATGAGGAGGACGATGATATTATTGAATAATCTTTATATAAAACGGCGGGGCAACGGCGAAAGGATCTTATTTGGAACCAATGAGCGAACTTGTAAGGATTAATTTTTTCAATTTTCATCGAGTCTAAAGTGGACAAGTTAATAGTTTAGTTTAACTTGTTAGTGTGTGTTAGTGTTATTAAATTGTTGGTTATCCATTTTTTATTTATCATCAACCATTAAATCCAAAATAACCCAAAATGGTAAGTTTCAATTCAATTATCATCTAAATCGTCTATTTGTCACTTTGTTTTCTGAGTTTTTTGGGGATAAGCTAATTGCAAGGTTTTTTGGATTTTAAATTGTCATTTTTAAATGCTGTAGAGGTTAACAATTAGTATTAACAATTTTAGTTGAAACGGTTTCCCTTTATTTTGATAAAAATTTAAATTTTACGCTCAGACTTTCTTGAGTTAATTATCACACTTGTCTCCATGTGTTCGATCGTCTGATTTATGGTCTTGCTTTGAAGCAATGTAAAATTTAGATTTTAAATTTGTTCTTTAACTCTTTTTCTTAATTGTTTGATTAATTGATATTATCTTTTTTTTATTTTATGTTAAATCGTGCATTAAACAGACCAGGACTTTAATATGTCTTCTAGTCTCAAGTTTATTTGTTAGTGTGGCTCAATCCAAGGAATACTCTGAACAAATTAATCAAGGATACTCAGTTGCTTTACCCTACCTATCACCAGTCTCGTCATCTTCATCATCTTCTTCAGCTTCATCTGTAACACCGACTGGACAAGATGAACTTCAAAGTGCAGCTCAGTATCAACAGCCATCCTATTCTGGACCAGCCGTCAACAGTGTTGCCTCTTCTGTTTATGCTAACGGAGGGCCAATCGGTGTAGCTGATCAACAGCAAAAGAGTTTCGGTAATTATGGTTTGGTTCAACAAGCACCACCGTCACCACAGCAGTACCTTCAATCACAACCACAATCGCCACAACAATCACCTCAACAATCGCCTCAACTCAACTTTGATCAACAACAACAACAGCCATTACAAAACTCACAGTTGAATTATGGTAATGTGGGTAATAATAACGATTACAATGGGCTTAAATCAAATCAAAATGTTCAGAATAATCAAGGAGCTAACAAAAAAACCGTTATATTAGCCATTCCAGTCAAATTAGCTCTTCAATTACCCGAAAATAAAGGTGGCTTAGGTTAGTTGATTCACCAATATTTCTTAAACTTTAATTGTAACTTAAAGATTATTTTTCCCATCGAATTAACCATTTTTTCTTTTGTTTTCAGATGATAAACAACAGTTACAACAACCTCAACAACAATCTTCTCAACAAGGCTATAATAATTTTGCAACAGCAAATTTCCAATCATCTAGACCATATGACAGTGTTAAAAATTATGGTGATAATAGTGGTAATGATCAGAAGAATAATGAATATCGTGGTAATTCACCTGTTTACAGTTCCCAATCTCCATACGGACAACAAAGCCAATCCTATGACAACTCAAACTTGGGATCACAAAGCTATTCATCATCTTCTTCGCCTTCATCTGGTTCCAAATCTTCATCTTACAATAGAGATTCAAATCAATATGATGTCCAACAAAAATATGATTACAAAAATAATGATGCGTCTGCTTATAATGGAAATAATCCTTACGTTCAAATGAAGGAATCAGACTACTCAAATTCAAGGAGTAAATCACAGTCAAACTCTTATGAAAACCAACCTGATTCTGAATACGCAAGTAAAGATTCTCAGACCTCAGAAAATGATGGATTTGACAGTTACGATGGCTCCAAAGGTGATTCCTACAAAAGTGGCGATTCTTACAAAGGTGGCGATTCCTACAAAGGTGGTGACTCCTACAAAGGTGGCGATTCTTACAAAGGTGGCGATTCTTACAAAGGTGGCGATTCTTACAAAGGTGGTGACTCCTACAAAGGTGGCGATTCCTACAAAGGTGGCGATTCTTACAAAGGTGGCGATTCCTACAGAGGAAGCGATTCATATAAAGGAGGAGACTCTTACAAGGGAAACAAAGATGATAACTACCCATCCGCACCTGAATCCTCTTCATCCTATGATGATGACAATGAAAATGATCCCTCTAACTACCCAAAGATGCCTAAAGGTTACAAATTTAAATCTGCATCTTACTCGTCCGATTCAGATTCCTCTTCTTACAACAAAGAGAAAGGTAATGATTACCCACTGACAAGTTCATATGATGGTAACCAAGATGATTGGCAATCGGGTTACTCCGAAAAAGGTCGAAATAAGCCAAAGGGAGGTGTCAAAGGAGCAAACAATTTAGAGTACGATCTTGGTTCATACTCTGGTGACGATTCAAGCTCATATTCAAATGATGATTCAGAGGGTAAACCTGACTCAGCATCAATCAAAGCAGCTCTTGAAAACTATGGTTCGCTAAAAAGTAATGTTCATGAAGGTAATTCTGGTTCAAGTGGAATAAAAGTCATCAATGATTATTCTGCTCTCAAAGAATACGAAAATATGAAAGATTATGGTTCATTGTCATTTGGAAGTGGTTCAAAGGATTACAATGGAATGAAATCATTGAGTGATTACGGTTCTTTCAAAGATCTACCATCGATGAAAGACTATGCCTCATTGACCAAAGAACGACCAAAAGAGATTAAACTTTCAAGCTATGACAGTTCAGATTCAATTGATGACGATGATTCTGGATCTTCGTCCAGCGGTTTATCGTCCTATTCAAGTGGTTCCGATTCTTCTTACAGCGGTCTTTCATCTTATGATTCATCACCTCTTTCATCTGGTTCATATTCTGACTCTTCCAGCTTAGGATCACTTCGTCCATCCAAATATTCATCATCTGGTCTCGGTTCACTTGGTGAGTCTTCATACGAATCTTTCTCTCCTGGAAACTCATACAGTTCTTCTGGGCTATCAAGTCTTTCAAGTGACTCTTCATACGAGCTTCCACATTCAAGTTCACCCTCAGTCTCTCATGCATCTTCAGGATCAAACTACGGATCAGCTTCATTTAGTCCATCAACATTCACCATCTCGGATGCTATCAACGCTCAAGACGGTGTTTCAAGTTTCTCATCTTACTCATCACCAGTCAGTCTCTCATCATCCTACCTTTCTCCTTCAGGATCTGATGCTGCCGCTGCCGCTGCTGCTGTTGCTGCCGTTTCTTCTCCATCAATCTCCACCTCATCAGGCTTACCTCTATCGATTCAAAACACCGATAGCTATGGTTCAAGTCAACCCATTGATCTCTCGTCCCTTTACGGTTCAACAATGAAATCTTATTCATCGCCCATCTATTCCCCACCTAGATCTCCACTAGCCTTTTCAGGCCCAATCTATCCTCAATCAAACCCACCTCCACACCCAATGCAAGTTATAAACGCTTACCAAGGTGGACAATCAATGCCTCCACCACCTTATGGAATGATGTTTGGTAAACCTAATAACAAGCAACATCAATCACCACCACCACCACCACCATCAAAATACAAGGCAAATGGACCTCGTTTCCTACCACGATTCCCTTCCATGTCTTCACCACTTTCTTTGTATAAGGTAATATATAATATATAGTTTAATATATATTATGCCCACTTTTACAGTCAATTTCACTAATGATCAACTATTGATTAATTGCACTTTTGATCCAATTCATACTGAAATCGTCAATCTTGCAAACTTGCCTAGCCTAGGCTATTAATCTTGAAAAATCTTTACCAAAAAAACTCTTATTGACCTCAATCGATTTTAAAATTTTAAGCAAAATCAACATAGTCAAAAAACTCAACATGCTTAACTGATTGATTGATTGGTAATACTGATGATCTATTCAGATGTTGGTCAAATTGTTGGTCAAATACAAAATTAGCAATAAACACATTTTTGTTTTTTGCTAACATCTTGAAGACTCATGAAATCAACTTTTTTCACACTAATAAACAGTTACATTGAAATGCTTTAATAAACATAATAAATCTATAAGATAAGATAAATATTCAATATAAATTCAGACAAGTTACGCGAAGCACAAAAAATTAGCTGATGAACCATTCACTCATTAGTTTATTATTGACCTTTTATAAATCAACGTTGCAGGGTCAAAATGGTTATTGGCATTAATCAATTTTTAATCTTCTATAATAGGAATATTTGACAGGCTTTTTTTTCAAAATCAACCAATTTGTCAACCCTAATCTTCCTCAACTAACCTTCACCAATCCATTCAGTTCATCAAAATGCCCATCAACTTGATTACATATTTGACCAACATTTAGTTTCAACTTGTGTTTCAACCTAAGTCTCGATTTAGTTTCAATTTGATCTTAATTTATTCTTAATATAGTTTCAATTAAAGTGACTCTACTCACAATAGAAAACAATTTCCCCTTTCCAATTGCAATTAAATGATAATAACAATATTCTTATTTCTCAACATTTTTTTTCAGGGATTACAAGGTTCATCTTCAAGTGGCTCAAACAAATTCAGTGCATCATCACTCCTGAGCTCATTATATTCATCAAGCTCATCTCCAGCCAAATTTGTGCTCAAAACAGGCGGAAAAGGTTCTGGTCTTCTTGGCAGTAAGTTGATTACAAAGGAATTAACTGAAATCCAGATTAAATAATGTTTAAGGAGGGAAATGAGATGAAACCGCGAAATGATGAAGAAGCAAAAATAAGAAATTTAAGCCAAACAATTCATCATTTTCATTCAACATTATTATCAATTATTTGATGGATAAAATTTGTTATCAACAGATTATCATTATTCATCATGAAAATTGAGGTTCTTCAACATCATCCTTTCCATTATCATCCATAAATAGATACTGAGATACTGATTCTTGCTGTTTTACTCGTTATTTTGACCAGAAAGAAAAAAGATGAGCCTAATTTAGTCCAATCCAGGGGTTGAACAAGATTCACTTATTTGGCCTGATTTACAATTTAATCATTAGATTTAAACCACGATCAATATCAACTTCGATATTAATCTTGACATAATATTTATATTTAGCTTACCAAAAAACAGTTAATAATAACAATAATTAGATGGAAGAATCAAGATTGATGTTGGAAATGAAAACAATTTGGTAAACTTTGATCCTATGAAATGAAAGTATAATCCTAATCAAATACCAATAATTGTTATAACTTATAAGTAAAATAGTAATCAAATTTAACCTTTATTAAGAGTAAAAAGTGTATAGTTAAGGTGGTGTTTTGCCTGGTGATTAGCTGTTTAAAAGCTGCCCGGAGGTCTAATGAAGTTTAAATAACCAAAAATAAGAGTAACATACAGACCCAATAACCTTACCAAGGAGTTGCTAATGAGGTTGATGAAGATGATTTCATGATCCACCTCTTGGATGGTTTATACTCAGTATTTGTGATGAAAATGGAAGGAAATCTTAAATTTAGATTGGCGAAGCAAATTTTTTATCTCTTCAACTCTTCACAATTGAGGTTTACTGGACCCTTTCACGTTAATTTGGTCCCATCATTGAGACCTAAATTGTCCCTGAGATTGAAAGTATTGACCCTTTAGTTTTTTGATTTAAGGCTACCTAAGTTGTTGCTTCAGGCAGAATCAATTAAATTGCTTGATCTGGATTGAAACAACAAGCCCAACTTGAATGCTATTACGAGTAAATATTCAATTATTGATGAGAAGCAAAAATGATGAACATTTTAATGTTAAAAATGAAAATGAATCTCATTAATATTACACTTTTTATTTTTGATTGATATAAAAGTGTTAACACTCTTTAATAGGAACAATCTGTTGATTTTTCTCATCAAAATTTACCTTAAATCTAATTCTATATTTCAAGTTCATTGTTTCCACTTTTACTGAATTTCACAGATTTACTAATGTTTTTATTTTTCCTTTATTTGTAGGCCTACGTTTAAGTTCATCTCCATCATCCTCGTCATCATCATCATCAAATAAAAAGCCATCTTCATTTACATCACCCTTCAGACTGGACAATATTTTTGGTCAAATTTACAAGCTTCTTTAATCATCATCAAAATATAATCATTTTTACCCACACATTACCTGAATTGTTATTCACAAACAACTTGCTTTTTGCCAAATTGTAACTTTTCATGTGCTAATTTTTGTCAAATGATGAAACAATGAAATATTTTTTTTTGCTGTTAATGTTGTCATCATTGTAACTCTGATTGACAATTAACTTTATTTTACCAACAAACGATGAATCCATCATAAAGATCATCTTAACTATCACCGAATGATTCTTGTCAAAATTATCGTTGATTGTGTTTTCGGTGAAATAGGAAACCATTTTATATACTAATCAGTATCAAGGATAACCTTAAATTATAATTATAACTTACAAGAAACCAAATTTTTTGTCTTATCTTTTCACAATTTATTGCAATTCTGGTCCATAATTAACTCAAAACAGACATAAAAGGTTATTATCAATTAAAATGTTGACATACTTTTTTTTCTATGTTTGGATCAAATTAAAATAACAAGTGATTAACAAACAATTTAACTGATTCCATTTATTTTCATCTATTTGCATACTGTTGGCTTAATGGCTTGGCAAATTGACATTATAACTGTTTTGATTGATCATTTTGATTATCTGGTCAACATTAGCTGGATCACACTGAAAGGCTAACAAATTGATTCAATCTTAATTGTTCGTCATTGTTACTGTATCTTTTGTTTTTATCACATTTTAAATTTGGTAGTTAAATAATAACAATAGCAAGTGAAATGTACCATTAATTATTATTATCCATTATAAGACGTTTCTGCTGCAATCAGATGGTTATAGTTGCTTCATCAGATGAAGCGGAATGTAAACTCCATTTTGATTTATCATTGCCATTGTTTTCAATGTTTTCAATCTATTTATGCAGTAGTTGAAACAGTTGTATATTGTGAATCAATCAGCTAACAGGGTCATTATTTGTTTACAGTTGGCAACAAAACAGGTTGACTTGTTTTGTCTTAAAATTTGAATTCCGATGAAAGTGGCAAAACAATATGTTTGCACTTGAAGTCAATAAATGTGTTGACCATTTGAACCATTTTACTTTCTAGCCTTTTTTGAAACAAATCATTTATAATCAGTAAAATGAGTTTCCCGTCAATTCCTCTATAAATAAATCTTGAAACTGGTAATGTACATTATGGTGGAACTGTTTGCACTTCATTTTTATGTCCATTGTGAAATTGTCATCTACTGTTGAAGGTTAGTCCAATGAATTTCAACCGTCAATCTGATTGATAAATTATAATAATATTCCAACATATCCACCAATCAATCAGTAATTATATGTTACTGAAGCAATTTGATACTGATGAATGGTTTGTATAAACAGCCTGATGCATACAAATCAAGGTAGCCATTATTGATGTACAGTAACCGTTTGTAGATGATTTGTTCAAAGTCAACAAATAGACAAGTTGAGCAATGAAAGGATTGAAGCTTGGATCATGAAAAACATAATGATGTCAATAATTTGATTTTTTTGAAGCTGATAAAATGTGGTAAAAAGATTCATTTTTAACCTCAAAATGAAGAACATTTGACTCCAATTAAATATTTCTTTAACTGGTTATTTCCTGTTCAATATTGCAAGGTCAGTTATTTGGTCTTAAGGGTTAATGCTCTTCACAGCCATTTTAACCAATTTAACCATGAAATGGATGTAAATTCAATCCAAATCCAAAATATTCTCCATCACCTAAATTTAGATTGAAACACATTTTGAGGCAAAAATTTGATCTAAATGAAAGATAGAATAACATCAAAAGTGTTATGATATACGTTGATTAGCCAAAAAATACTTTGAAAAAATAAGATGTAACAAAATTTAACGACTATTAACTAATTCAAATACAAAAAAACAAAGACATCACAGTTACTAAGCAATTTGTGCAAACTGTAAGCGTCACCATAACTGTCAAGACGACATGTTGGCTTCCTTCAATTAAAAGAGTGGGAAAATTTTCATTTTAATTAGAAAGTTACATCCGAGATGGCGATGTTAATCAGTATTGTAATCAAATTTTAATCATTAATTAACTTGTAAGTCATTTACTATTGAACTATTAACAATTGGCTTCTTTAAGCTTGAGAAAATTCTTGAGGCTTCAGGTTAAGTTGATTAAATAGAGTTTCAAGATGAATTAATGGAGACGACTTGATTCATTCAACATTGATTCCCAACTCTTTTTGATAATACATTTCCAAATGAATAACAACTAGACTCATTAACTTGATTGTAAAGACAGATGTATTGAATTATTAATCGTTTTTCATCAGCTACTTTAATATCAATATTGAAACTCAGCAGTTAATATCAATCATGATTTATTATCAACTTAAAAAATCCAATCATCAATGGATAACCTGACACCTGTTGATAGTAACATTAACTATTGATATTATTGAAAAGCTGACATGATTAATTGAACTTGATGTTAATTGCTATGTTATTTCTGGCTGATATCCGCCTAAAAGGTAATTTTGATGCTATTTCAAGATACAGTGAAAATGTGTAATTTGTTGAACCAATCAACTCGGTTAATTGTTTCTATCCAATCATTTCAGAATCAATTTAAACGGAAATATTTTAATTTTTTCAACAGAAAGTCAATTTTGCTGTTTGAAACCTACAATGAAGTCATTGTCTGTTGGATTAGTTATACCTATCGTTAAATATTCAAATTGTTAGGAAAATCTTAATGAAAATCTTTGATATTACCTGTGAATAGAAGCTATATTTATGCTTATTTGATTATAGAGTTTGATTGTTAGAGGAATCTGAATTTCAATTTGACGCTTTGAATTAAAGGGAAGGAAGATTCAGTGTTTAGACAATTATTGTGTTTCCAAGCGAGTAATGCTGATCTTTTAGTATGAATTGATCAATTTATGGTGTACAATAGTTTCATAATGATTTAAATTGTGATCTGATTTCAGAGAAATCAAGAGAATAAAGAATTGAAAAGAGATTAACAATAACATTGTTCAGGTTCATTAATGATCAAAAATTAGTTCCAAATGTCTAACAATGCAAGGGTCAAATTTAATTCACTCTACAATTGCTCACAATCATTGACCATCAATTTTCCGAAAATGCTTTATTATAGCTACTTCTGGGATTAAAAGGTAAAAGTTAATTTCACTCATTTAATCATTAACAATACAAACGATCTTATTGTAACAACAGAATTAAGGAAGGATCAATTAATTGCTATTAATAATTAGCGTTTTTGAGATCAAGAAACGAGAAAATTTATTTCACTATGTGTCAGTGTTACATATGTTATTGACATTTTAAATCCTTCACTGGAACCAAAATACAGCGAAATGTAAATTAAATTAAAATGTAATTTTTTCATTTTTTGCCATTTTTTATTTTCTGTCTAACAATTTTATCCATTTATAAGATCATTATGACTTGTTGGACAATTAAAATCAAGAAACTAAAATCTAAAATTACTATAATCTTACAAAATGTCACCGAGAGAATTGCTCTCGATTTATTCAGAATAGTTGTGCATTTCTTGATTCTTGAGGTGTTTTGTTTTATTCAAATTTACATAATTATTTTTTTAGATCTTTCCAAATTCTTTAAAACCTTTCTATTAAAAAATGATGCAAATTAACTCGTTAATTACAAATAACAAAGAAACTTGTGAATTTAAAAATTTCAAACAATGCGCTAAAAATGGTTGTCGGCCATGCGCGACCCACCTTCACTCTCAATAAGTAACCATCGACGCCATGTTTAATAAATGTTGGTATGAAACATAATTTTATTTGTTTGTTTCTTAATTATAGAAATGTCTACTATTTTTAATTTTATTTAACTTAAGTTGGACTTTTTATCGATCCCACATTTTTGGATATCATCCGAACCTACAATCTAATTTACTAATGAAGTGGGTACGAGTGAATAATAGTACTGGACCGTCGCCGCGTCCTAGGCATGGTCACCGTGCAGTTGCTATCAAAGATTTGATTATTATATTTGGTGGTGGCAATGAAGGGATTGTTGATGAGTTACATGTTTACAATACAACTACTAACCAATGGTTCATACCACAAGTTAAAGGTGAAATACCTCCAGGATGTGCTGCATACGGTTTTGTTTGCGATGGAACTCGATTACTTGTGTTTGGTGGCATGATAGAATATGGTAAATACAGCAATGAATTGTACGAATTGCAAGCTTCACGGTGGGAATGGAGGAAACTTAAACCTAGGCCACCTAAGAATGGAACTTACCCTTGCCCACGGCTTGGACATTCATTTACACTAATTCAAAACAAAGTTTATCTTTTTGGAGGCCTGGCCAATGATTCAGATGACCCAAAGAATAATATACCCAGATATTTGAATGATTTATATGTTCTTGAGATGAAACCTTTTTTATCTAGCATGCAATGGGAGCTACCACAAACTTATGGGACACCTCCTCCACCTCGAGAGAGTCATTCTGCAGTTGCTTACATGGGAGCTGATGGTAAACATCCAAAGTTAATAATATATGGCGGGATGTCAGGATGTAGACTCGGTGATTTGTGGCAGTTGGATATTCAAACTATGCATTGGTCTAAACCATTTGTTGAGGGTATCCCTCCTTTACCTAGATCACTCCATTCCGCTACCCTTATCGGAAATAAGATGTACGTTTTTGGAGGATGGGTGCCACTTGTATACGACGATGAGAATCGAGGTCAACAACCTGGAAATGTGCATGAAAAAGAATGGAAATGTACTAATACTTTAGCAACTCTTAATTTGGACACAAGTAGATGGGAATTAATCACGAATGAATCATTCGATGACAGTGTACCTCGAGCTCGCGCTGGTCATTGTGCAGTTGCAATATCTACACGACTGTATATATGGTCGGGTCGAGATGGTTACCGCAAAGCCTGGAATAATCAAGTATGCTGTAAAGATCTTTGGTTCCTTGAAACAGAAAAACCACCGGCACCTAGTAGAGTGCAGTTAGTGCGTACAGCAACAGATACTTTGGAAGTGTGTTGGGGTGTTGTACCCACCGCAGACAGTTACATTCTTCAAATTCAAAACTATGATCCACCGCAAACAACAGCAAATACAAGTAATGCTATTGGTCAACATCCACCAGGTATACCATTAGTCAAAACTCCCCCCACTTCAACACCTGCTAGCTTGCCGCCAATACCTGTCGTCCAAACTTCATCCAAAGTCACCAAAGTCATTCAACAACCAGTTGTTAAAATGCCTCTTTCGCAAGCCCAGGGACAAATTCCAGCAGTCGTTCAATCTTCGCTTTCTCCTCTTACATCGCTCCAATCTACAACTCAAACGCCAGTTCAATCTCAGGCTGTCACTGAGACGAAATTAGCCACGACAACATCTACTCCAACTGTTATTACAAATGTTTTCAGGTATTCATTTTTTCTGATTGCTCAACATAAGTATTTTATGATGATTTTTGTAAACTAATTCTGTCAACTGTCAATTTCTTTTCTTAGAACCATCAGTGACTCTAATCTGATTGCACCACGGACTATTTTCGCCAGTACAAATCTTAGCAAAACGCCTACATTAAGCCAATCAACATCATCGACTACTGCAGCCACTACAATTGTTACACCAGTTGTAAGAACGACGGCAACAGGCTTAACACCCCAAATAATCACTACTCCAGTGTCGACCTTAGCAGTTTCAACCAATAACTCAATAATTTCTGCCAATCAAACACCGCAAGTATCAACAGCTCAAAGTCAGCAAGCAATGTCAGGCATGGCTGCACTTGTTGCTGCTGCTGAAAGAAAAACCAAGATTGAACCACCGATTCAACAAACCATTGCCGGTAACCAAGCAATTAAGCAAGTTGTTGTCAGCAATGTTGGCGCAACATCTGGAACACAACCACAATTAATGTTTGTTAAAACTCCAGGAGGAGGCTTACAATTGGCGCCAACAGGAGCTAAACTTGGTAATGCGACTTATGTTAAATTAGTTCAAACAGGAGCAGCAACGTCTTCTACAACTGCTGGCTCTATCAAAGGTATTCCTCAAGTTGTCCAGATTCCAGCGGGAGTAACTCAAGGAGGACAAAAAGTAGTTATCAAAACTATATCAACCACCACAGCATCTCCTAACCCAGCTGGTACTACAAAATCAGCAACACCAGGAATTGTTACAGTAGCTAGTACCGCGGGTACAACTGCTCAAGGTAAAACGATTTGCGTTCCTGCAGGATCTCTTAAACCGGGCACCACTACACAGGGTTTGCCCGTCAGATACGTTACAAATCCTGCAGGTGTCAAGATGTTAGTGATATCAAGTCCGCAAGGTCAAGGTGGACAAGGTCAGCAAATAGTGATGAATCAAGGCGGTTCAGGCCAGCAGCCGATCACTCTGCAATTGGCAAACTTAGCTGGAGGTGTAGGTGCTAAGACATTCACAATTCCATCTTCAGCTCTCCAAAAAGGTATTGTTACTAGTACTGCAGTATCTTCATCCGCTGTAACTGTTACATCTGCTGCTGGAAGTACATTGGCTGGTCAAAAGATAATTCAACTACCACCAGGTACACAATTATCTGGAATGAGGCTGGTTCAAGCTAGCCCTAATCCACAAATGGCTGGCACTGCTAGAGCCCAAGGACCCACCAGATACGTTTTAGTTTCTCAGCAAGGAACGCCAGTTCGTCCTCAAACCGTTACTGTTCCAGCTACAGTCAAAACAGAGAGTCCGAAAGTTCCTCAATTTGATGGTGCAGTAGATGAAGAACAAGATGAAGCTAACAAACAGGATAAACAAGAGGAATCACCACCTCAAGAAGCTCAAAGTTCTGCTGACACTCCAGATGTTCCAGCCGAACCCATTTGCGAAGAATCAACTAAAGAAGAGCCCTGTAAAGTTGAAAAGTCTGATTCTATAGAAAAGGCCGAAGAGCTTGCTGACAAGCCTCAAGAACAACCCATCGAAGAAACTAAATCTCAAGAAATAAAGCCTGAAGAATCTATAAGTGAACCTGTTGCTCAGTCTATTTCGAATGAGTCAGAAACAGTTGCTGAAAAAACTGATAACGAAGATCTCAATACTGTTGCAGATAGTAAAGATCAACCCACTGAAACCACTGAACCATCTGACTCAGGAGCTGCTGATCAGCCTGATAGTGAGATGAAATCAATTGAAGACGAACCTCAAACTGAGCCTTCTAACCCACCTGAAACGACGACCACTGAGGAATTGAAAGAACCAGAAATCAAAAGTGAACCAACTGAAAGTAGCAGTATGCAACAAGAAGAGCAAAAAAATGACGATGAACTACGAGACGCTTTGGCTGATAAATCAAGTCAAGATGTGATTAACGAAATAATTAAAGCAGAGTTCAAAGACACTGAGCAAAATGAGCCTGAAAATACTGAGTCACCTGCTGTTGTTGCGGGTACATCAGATGACAAGGAAAAACCTCTCGAGCAACCATCTACAAATCAAGAAGAATTGAAACCTCCTTTAAATGAACCCCAAGAATCAGAACCTATGGATACGCAATCAGACACTACAGATCAAGCCCAACAGCCTAGCACTCAGCAAAGCACCAATCAAACAAGCCTACCTGAGCCCGAATCGACTCCCATAAAACAAGAACCAGGAAAATTGGAAGAAGAATCTAATACTAACGTTCAGTCAACTTTGTTAGATCAAATCACAACCTCTTCATCTTCATCACTTATCGTCCCATCATTGAAGGTAGAAATGCCTGGATTAGAACCTCCTGAACAAATGTGTGCCGATGATCCTGAACCCGCTCTTCCAACGATTCCAGCGTCTACATCAATTTCATCAACTATTCGTGAAACAAAACCTGTATCCAGTGTTTCAAGTCAAGAACCTGATTCAGATCCATTATCGACTCTTGCTTTAGCAGCAACTGGAGACTTACGGAACAAACAACCATCATCATCTACATTATCATCTTCATCATTATCTTTGACAGTAACTCCATCAATAACTACCACCACCACTACAACAACAGCCAATACAAGTCAACAACTACAACAACCATCATTAGCTGATAAGATCAGTGAAAGTTCTAATATAAGACCGCTAGGAGTAGTAACTAAAGTTGAACATAATTCTAATCTTTTAAAGCCTGTAGCCGCAGTTGCCCCAACCACCACCTTATCAACCTCATCTATCAAAACACCCCAACAATCGGCGCTTAATACACCCAATTTAAATAATTCAACACCTCAATTACCACCAAACGTTACATCTAAGAAAAATCAATGGTATGATGTTGGAGTTTTCAAAGTCAGTCAGTGTGTTGCATCTCATTATCATGTACCCGCTGACGGTGATACATTTTCATCGTCACACTCTCAAGATGGTGATAATTTTATACCACCAAACTATAGCAGTATGATAAAGATGAACCTGCAACCCGGTACTGCTTATAAACTCAGAGTTGCTGCAATTAATTCATGCGGTCGTGGCCCATGGTCAGAAGTAACTGCATTCAAGACATGTCTACCAGGCTATCCGGGAGCTCCATCAGCTATTAAAATTATTAAAAGTTCAGAAGGTGCTCATCTTTCTTGGGAACCACCACAGTTCACTTCAGGAGAGATTACTGAATATTCTGTTTACCTGGCTGTGCGCTCAACACAAAGTGGCAATCAAGCCGGTCTCACATCTACTCCCCCTCAATTAGCCTTCATCAGAGTTTATTATGGACAAGCAAATTCATGTGTTGTATCTAATGTTCATTTAGCTACTGCTCATGTCGATACAACAACTAAACCAGCCATTATTTTTAGAATTGCGGCAAGAAACGAAAAAGGTATTTAATTCAATCTTTTTCAATTTTTTTTCCTCTATTAGTGAAATAATTTATTAACAAAATTGATTGTCTCTTTTCGCAATTTAGGTTATGGTCCGGCCACTCAAGTTAGATGGTTACAAGATTCAAATGCTTCAGGAATTACTAAGGGAACACCTAAAAGAACCACTTCTACTTTACCTGCATCAGATAAGTAAGTATTCAAAATACCAATTTATTTTATACAATGTCATTTTTTTTGCAAAATTTTAAATCCATTTTTTATTTTTCCTTTTCTTTAGCGTAACTTCAAAAAGAATCAAATTAGAATCTGAACATTGATATGGTAATCATGGAAATCATTCATTTCATTATGTAATCTTCTTTTCTCCTTTCACATTGAAGCTTCTTTTTCATCTTAAATATGTTGTGATGTTTTTTATTTTTTTATCAGCTACTAAAAACACTCACGCGGTTTGTGTTTAAATTAATTAGGTGAATCACATAATTATTGAATCATTGATTTCTTTTAGATTGTTTTTCAACTTGATCATTTCATTTTGATGGACAATAAGCACAACAGTCTTTAATTTACGTTAATTTACAGACTTATTATGTAGAATATGCATGCCTTTGTTTTCTTTCATTATTAAGCAATTAAACAAATTGTCAGAGTCAATTGACTCTTATTTACAAAATTGAGTCGAGTCAATTTGATTAGAGAATAGGAAAAAAATGAGACAATTATAATAATGGTCCGGTAATTAAAACAATACTGTTTGTCTGGTTGATTGAGGTTGCCCTTAACAAATTACGTTGGTCGACGTTTTCCCGAATATTTGTTAACGTTAAAAGAATAGGTTGATTCCCAATCTCGGTAAAAAATGTCAAGAATATCCTTGCGCAAGTTTCGCACCTTTCTAACGTCTGCGAATGAAGCAACAAAAGAGACTCCACCAGTGTTGACAAAATAATCAGCAGACCAATTAGAAGTTCCAATGTAAACCATTTGATCAGTTACCATGTATTTGTTGTGATTGACACGAGAATAAGGTACTTTTTGCTGCTCAACAGTTCCTGGGACATTGAATAGTTTTACAGAGAGAGCTCCTTTACCAGGATATTTATACAGTTCATTAAGAGATTTAAGGAAAATAACCGAACTGTACTTAGTGTGTGTCCAATTAGCTGCCAACAATTTAACATCAATTGATCTTTCAACCACAGCTTTCCTCAAAGCATTGTCAATAACTGGCCAATACTCTGGCTTACTTCCATATAAAAAGGTGGGCGAATAGTCCATAACAGCAATGTAAACGTATCTCTTAGCGTCATTGATAGCAGCCAAAATGGCATCAATGTCACTAGTTCTTCCTGAAGGATTGAATTTTGGAGGTGCACTTGCCATGAAAACTTTTGCTGAAATTCCTTCCAATGTCAAGTTCAATGGATTTTCCATGTTAATATCAGTTTCAAAGGTTGATGGCCATTTATCAGGAATAGTTGCATTTGGTTGTCCAAGACTCCAGTAAACATTGAATACTTTAGCCAAATCATCTCCTAGAGATGGACAGTTTTGAATGTAAATACCAAGCTCCTTAACCTGAGTCAAAGAACGCCAATCCATGTTTGCACTTCCCAAGTAGAAGCTGGAATTATCAACAACAATGAATTTTGTGTGTAAAATACCTGCACCGATCAAACGGTCAAAATCAAGATTGGCAACAGTAATACCGGAATCTTTAAGCAATCGTAAATCAGGATCTGAAGCAACCTTTTTATCATTACCATTAACTGCCACACGGACTTTAACTCCTCGGCTAACCGCTTCTTTCAAAGCCTCAACAAAAGATTCACCAACTTCACAGCTTTCTTTGATTGGATTTTCAACATCACTACAAAGAAGAGTCCAATAATAGGAGGCAATGTCGATTGATGATTGAGCAGATGAAACCAAATCAAGCCAAGAGGCGATTGTTGAATTAAAAACGGGCCCTTTGTAACTAGGAAAGACTAAACCAACGGGAATTGTCTCAACAATTTGTCCTCTACACCCGCTAATTTCAACAGTTGATGAGTTGTTGTTGACAATTGGGTCAGCATTGATTGTCAAACAGTTCACTGAAAAAAGCAAAGCAATTAAACAAATGAAAGACATTTTTAGCCAAGTCATAGAGTTGATGGTTTGATGTGGATTGAAGGGAAAATTGTTTACAATGTTGCTTAAAATTGTATAAAAATTAGAGTTTTATCATGAACTAATCAATTTATATCAACCAATGTGATTAAATTTTTGTAAACATTGAAACAAAAATAAATACGAAACACGAAGCACCCTTTTTATTAATACGCAAAAATGGCCTTCTCCAGATTACTCAGTGTCAAGAACAAAAAAAGAAGAAGAAGGAAGACAAAGAAAAAGAAAAGCGGTTTTATTCCTCAATCCAATTATCATCTTTTGTTAGTTCTGATGTTGATAAGATTAACCATCAGCCATTTCAATGCTCTATCTAAAACTGTTACTAATAACACCCTTAATTAACGTTTATCATGGCAACTGATCGAGCGTAATCCATTTCATGATTCCCATCAAATACATAATTATGATCCTTTAATCCATAAATCAATAAGTGTGGCTGTTTCCATGTGATTGATATCGTTTCATATTTCAACATCTGACATGGCTATCTAAATTATTTACAATCTGTTTTAACTAACATCGTGTTGGATTTTAATCCCATGTTGGTTGATCATGTTCAATCCAAATTGTCAAACATCTAATCAAGATGGACCAGCAAATAAGATTAAATTATATTGCAAGACTTGGGAGTGAAGTTTAAAACCTGACCAAAGATCAATAGAAGCTGCTTTGTAGACATGAGATTTGCCTTTTCCCTAAACCATTGTTTCTTGATTCAGCTGCAGGTTAATTATTATCAGTAAATTAACATTTATTTTTCCATCAACTGTTCAGTTAAATAACACTGGATGTTGATAGCTGAATACATACCCACAAATAATCGCATTTAATCATTTTGGAAATACCAGTTGTTCAGTGATTTTATTCAACAACAACACATTTGTTATAAAATCATGTTTACTTGATTAACTAAATTGTATCCAAATGCTTAGTAACTTGTCAGCGTTTGGTTTTCAAACCAACAATTCAAATTTGACCTCAAATCACCTAAACATCATTGGTGTTGGCCTTTGATTACAAAGATTAGCAATGACCATAAGTATTAGATTCAGAATCCATTAGATTTTTGAAGATTGATTATAAGCATCTTAGATTGGTTAAATCAATAAAGACAATTTATGTATCAGACTGATCAATTAAGTGCTTTAAACTGTGCAATCCACATTTTTGTATGCCAATAACATCGCGATAGCAATTAATATCAGTTCGAGGTTAAATGGATGACGTCTTTGTTAAATTAGTCTTTTTTTCATTATTAAATTTCCGGTGTTGTTGTGATCAAGGTTAATTATTTCAATCATTGAACAGTAATAATCAATTGACATTAAATCTCTATGAAGTTAACTAGAGCCAGGGGAAAAAAGGTTCTCAAGTTGAAACAAAAAGGAATCTAAACTGTATTTAAACAATTAAGTAGGTAAGTTAAATGAGGTTTGTTTATAAATAGAAATGTGATTAAATAGTGTAATCGATGTTAGTGTTTTTAGATCATTGTCAATCATTTAGATTACCCCGTTGGAGTCAAGCTTTGGACTTGAAGTAACAAAACGCAAACTATAAGTACGACGTTATACATCGTACTTATAGCTTTATCAGTGTTTATAGTTTTATTGTGTATAATAACAGTTTTTTCATAGTAGCTAAATGGAATTGCGATCAATTAATTGTTAGTCAAGATTATTTCTTCCAACCAATTACTTCTCCACTATTTTATAACAATTTGAGGACTGACAAGACAATCTGCCAATCAAAACAGCCTTTATCTTACTACTGGACTGGCGGCTGTACCAGGCTTGATCCAAAAACAGCTTATCATACCAGTTGAGTGCTTTTTATTCAAGAAATTGCTGTATCGACTGTGAAAATTAAGTTACTTTCCTCGACCTCTTCCTCCTTGCTCATACTGGCAAGTTGCGAGTCTCTTTGAGGCTATGGCTTGAGATTGAGGCGTATCTGCTTCTTAAGTGATTTACATGTGTCTTGAGGTGCTAGGGGTCATTTGAGCAAAAACCAGGAAATCAAAAACGATTAAGCGAAGTGTAAAGCAGCAAAAGTGATTTGAGCAAATAAAGTGGATTAATAAACATACAGTAGAGGTTTCAGTTAGGTTGTACACACTTAGGTTGTATTTTTGTAGGGTCGCCATCTACTGGGCTAGTGTTTTTGACAAATTCAATAAGATTGAAAATTGTTCAATTTTAAACAAAAGTAAATCGACTCTTAAATATGGAATTATTCAACTAAATACTTCCAAAATTACTCTAAAAAAGATTGTTTTCCATCTTTAATCAATTATAAATGTGTCAAAACCCGAGAAAAAGTCACAAAATTCAGCCCATAAATTTCTTCCGTTAGATGTCGCCCATCAAAATTTGTACAACTTAAGTGAAACCTCTACTGTACTTTGTTTAAATATGTCAAAGTCTAGAAATGTTTAGTTGAAGGTTCATTTCATTTTTTGAATTTCGCTCTCGATTCAATTCATCCATTGTAAATTTTTACAAAATGAGATTAATGAAATCAAAATTTGGGTATTTTAAGAATCACTCAAATGCATAAAATTTGCTTGAAATTGGTTTTTGTTTTCATGAGTTTGCTCAAATAATCCTGGATCGTCTTGGGCTCTATCAATCTTTCCCATTTCTCATACGGTTTAAATATATTCTTCCCATAACTCAGATTTTCTCTATGGACCACACTTAAATGGTAATGTCCGTTGGTACCAATCTATGATTAGTATGAATGATCTATGAGCCAGTATCTGCCTGGAAATGGATTGAAAGAAACACTCCATTTCTAATTTTCAATCAAATGATTTTAGTTTTCACTTTATCCATACATTGAATAATAAGCAAAGTCACACAGAAATTACGAAGGATTCATAATTTTTTTTATTGAAAGCTACTTAACACACTTACAAGGGATATAATGTTATAAAAATAACTGAGAGCTCAAAGAGCAGCTCTGGTTCAAGTCAGGAAACTTGAAATTATTGTGAACAACGGAAATTGAGCTTTGAGCAGCTATTTTTATCGAAAATGTTTTATGTGCATCGACATCGATATAACTCATCCGAAGTTTTTGACTCTAACTCTACTTTTTATAATTCAAGAATGCGTTCACAAACATTTGCCCATTTTGCCCGCGTTAAATAAACTTTGAAAGACTAAAGACATCCAGACTAATGGAAATTGTATAATTGTTCAGTCTTTATGTCCTTAAATCTATCAGCTCTCAACTCTCAACTAATTTTGAGAGTTGAGAGTTGATCCTTTGTTAATTGTATTTTTCCCTCCAGCCTCTATTTTGGTGAATTTCTCAGGAACCCGAATTCCGAGAAAGCTCAATCTATTTATGTTGTTATAGTCAAATCATGTCTTAAAATTTCTGTTAGAACTCTTAGAGTCACAATTTTAGCGCTAAAATTCTGTGCATTAGCCTTTTGTATCATATAAATATATAAATGCATGTCTATGCTAAATATTCAATTAACATGAAAATCATTAATTTATGTAGATTATCATTAGATGTAAACTAGAACTCAAGTTAACTGAAAAAGCTTGAATTTCAACTAATAGAGGGAGTTAGCAGTCACATACTTTTATGCTGTTTTCAATCAAATTAAATTTGACTATAATTAACTCTTTGATTATTTCTCTTAACCAACACGAATAACATACAACCTCACCAAGACCTGGACATTAGCTGGACAAACAGTAAACTCGCACCAATAGAGAATCGAATGTAGCTAAATTTTGAATTTAATTAAATTTTTCACCAGCCTGGTGAAATGACACACTCATTAAAGACATCTCATCACTTTATATTATAATATTTACTTTCCCTAATAATTTAATTTTTCCCAAATTATTTCTCATTTTTCACCTTTTCCTTTTGCAATTCAATTCAATTTAATTTAAGTTCCAATAATTCTAATAATTCAAGCATAAATGTTAAACATTTAAAACGCAAGTAACAGCGAGAAATCCCAAACATTGAGGATGAAAATATGTATAAAAAGCCTAAATATAAACCTAGTTAAGGCTATTTTCAGCTTCGACGTTAAGATTGTTTAAAAGTTGTAAACAAATAGCCAATTAAGCTTAATTTCATCAGATGATCAACAGTTTAACGTAAACTTTTACTCATTTCAAACATTTTATCAAATGAAAATACATGTTAGCATAACACAAGAGCAATAGCTATTAACCACTAACCATTGGTAACCTTCACATTCAAGTTTAATTGCTTATTGATCGGAAGTTGATGAAGATGTTATAAACAAACAATAACAATTTAATAACGAGCTATCACTAATAACAAATTAACAACAGTTGTTCCGGAATAGCAAATGTGACTTGAAAATATAAGTCACCATCAAATGACATACAATGTTTGACACTTATCATGATTAAGTTAAACTCATCAACCTGTTAAATCAGCAAAATGATTACAAACCTTTAACCATTAAACGATTAAGCTGATTGAGTAAAATGATTTAAATGAAAATTAACATTAAAAATGTTCAATTTCAAGGTTCAACAATTGAATAGGGAACAACTTGAAATGTCAAGAAATGAATGTCATTAGGAAATCACTAGAAATGGTTATCAAGCGAAATGAAGACAAATTGAAAATTGATTCAACAATTAGCTTATGAAGCACAAAAATGAGCAAAAAATTAAACACTCATTTCGATTAACTTTCCCAAGCCAAATTAAATCATAAAGTTGATTTGACAATAAACAAGTTTCATTAATCTAAATATAAACTGTAATAAGTGAAAGGCAAAAACGCAAATATTGAAGATGTTGTATGTTGGCGATGATAAAGATTACCTTTCAAGATGTTTATAAATTAAGCAACAATTTATCTCTCTATTATAACTTGATTAACATGGCGGAACATGAGAATCGCTTTCACTCTCAACAACGGGACAGTTCAATCATCAGGATCAGGTCAGAACGGTAAATATAAAGGACAATATTTAACGGCAAACAAACCGTGTCTTCCTCCTCTTCATCAACAAAACCCGAAACTTATCTATCATCAGGATCCATTAAAAGCAACCAATCGACCAAATTTAGCCGTAAGGCTTCAACAGCACAACAAACCAAACAAAAAGCTCAAATTGGTTCCTAAATAATGAGCCAAAAGTCTGTCTCAATGTTTTACCCAAAAAAAGCGATACAAAAATGCAATAAAAATGGTTATAAACGGATTTGTCTTTGAATCAAGTGATTCAAGTGATTGAGAGCAACAATCAAACCCGCAACCAAATGTATTCAATCACTTTGGTCATCAGAAAGAATCAGTTTTCTTCCTTTTCCTGTGAAGTTTCAATAATTAATACATCAGATGAACCCTTAAGCCATTGAAAGCTCATGTGATCATTATGATAACATGTTTAATCGTCTGTTCAATGTCAATTGAAATTTGTATCAGTTCAGTTTGATGGTGACAAATGTTAATTACTGGCCTTTAATCACATCAACCTTTCAAATGGCACCTCATCTTGTGATCAATGGTAATCACCATTTGATTGTCATACTGGACTCTCAAGCTAAAATCACTCTTTATTGGGTTAACAGTTCATTTCTTGTCATATTTTTCCATGTTTTTCATTATATTTTTGATGAGCAATTAATTAACTTGTTTAAAAACATAAACTTAAAGTTAGTTAATTGATTTAACTTTATTATAAATAATGCATAAAGCTTATAATCATCAACATTAACATTACAAATTTGGCTTTCAAATGAATACCCAAAAATGTAATCTGGTAAAGATGAGGTGAAATAGGTTTTGATTGTGAATACAATTTACATGTTTACAGTTGATTAATGAATAATTAGAGTTACATACTTTTGCGCTAAACGTGTAATAAATTGTATAATAAATGAACAAGTTGATTGCTTTAAATTGCGGCAATTGTTTCAATCATTGATAGTCTCACATAGACATCAGTCATCATCTTGAGAGGCAATTTGCAAACTCGTAAAAAATGCCTTTAATAACAATCTTGAAAAATTGGCAAAGTTAACCAAAAATTGCTATTGTTAACCAATTCCACCAATCACTTTGATAATCTGGTTTTTGCTTTACTACAATTTAATTTTTTTCATTGAGAATCTTGAAATTTGTTTTCAATGATGAACATGAATCCATTGCATGGACTGTTGTTTGTTTCAAAAAATACCATCATTTGCAACATTCATTTACCTTTGCTGTTGGGTTGCTGCTTTAGCGCTTGTTATTTGTTTATCATGAAGCTACTCGAGAGTACACCATCAATTAATTAACCTGGGAAATTATGATGAATTGATTGTTAACTTGACTACAGATTGAAGGGTTATAACAATTAAAGGTTTGCCTTGGAAACTCTCCTAATCATGATCAACTGCATTTGGAAAGCCTGTAAGTTGTCAGTCAATGATTTGCGTCAATAACCAATATCACTCAAATAAACATCTTAAACCATTTATCTTGCCTTTAACTTTATCAAAATTAACCAAGATAAACGTATCTTAATGATGGTTAAATTTTCCAGCGATTTTTTGTTTCACTTTAAATTGTAGTTATGCAAAATTACGTATAAATACGCAATTACAGATTGATCTGCAAGAGAAGAGGGAAAAGGTTAACTTCCCAAGTCTGCAAAAACTGATTAGATTTTGTGAGAAACTCATTGAGATTAAACTGTTTGACTACAGATGAATCCAGATTGCTCAGTTGTTGAGATTAAAACACCAAAATATATTTGACAAACGGACTTGGATTTGAACCTAAAATTGGAAAAAATTGAAATATTCACTGATTAGTAAAATTTAAATATGTTTGACTTAATTATTGAAAGGCTTGGGGTAGCTATTGATATCTTACGATTGGAAGTTTATCATGAAAAATCTCTGCCACTATTATATAATTGATTTCAATTGTGTTTAAATCAATTAATATCAAGTGTCTACAATTGAGTATTAATTATATTTACCTTTAATCAACAAATTTACTCTGCAATGGCAAAATACCATTGTCTTGTTGAACAATAAGACTCTCAGCTGTTGAATCACCAAAGTAGCTTTACATCTTTTTCTGGTCTTTTTCTGGTTATTATTTTTGGTTGACACTCTGGTTAAAAGTATATTTATCTAATTAAAGGTGACAATTGCAACAATTTATAAACACAGCCGTACAACAATATTATATAACTAATTTCAATCAAACAATTGTAAATATGTTTACCTAAAAATGCCGGTTAATACCAATGTATCGGTTGTAATATCTTGTATCCAGATAAAATCGATATTGGATATTTTTGGATTATCCCAAAAATAATAGTTTTTCATTAATGATTGGACAAATCAAAATTGAAAACATTTAATTTATAATAGAAATAAATTTTAATGTTAGTTAATCAGTGATCATAAATAACCCGAGGTAGCAATTTAGATGGCAACCTGATCCGAATGAAGATGCTCAAGTTAACCTAACCGATACAATCAACTCGTTGATCCGGAAGAAATGAAGAAATGCAAGAAAAAAAACTGTATTAATACACATTATTAATTGAATTGAACAATTTAGCCATAATCAGATAAAGATAATTTATTAAATTATGTTAAACCTTTTGGCAAAAGCTGCTTTTTCATGAGAGTATACAAAGTAGAAAGGAAAAATAAAAAGTAAACAAAATGAAACAGTTATGAAGGAGAATGCAATTGAATAGTGATTTAATCAACTAATCTAAGTGAAATTGGTGTTCAACAATTGATATGATTAACATGTTAAACACTTTGTACTGTAATGTTGAACAGAACAGAAAATTAACTTTTGATCAAAACTCATTGCTGATCACAATCATGTCAAGATATTCGCGAATAGGAGAAACATAAAAATACATCATTTTATTATTGATTTTCCAGGGTAAAGTGAGAAAATCAAGATTACAATTGGAATGATTGATTGTAAGTGAATTTTGTCATAAATTAAGACAATCCCGGGCAAAATTAGTGAGATAAAACAGTTAACAACATCTTTGATTGGTTATTATTGAAAAACAACAGCAAAAATCAATGGTTATGACGATTGTAATTAAATTTTATTGCTAATTATTTACGATCCAATGTGATGTTATTTTGCACTAAATGTAATCAAAGGGAACAAAATAGTTTTCAGATTGTCAATTGAACTGTTGACTGACAAATCACATCAAAATATGCTAATTAAGGTTTAATTTGAAAGCTTTTTCTCCTCGCATTACAACAATTTAAACAACGTTTCATCTTGACTTGACGTTTTGGGTTACATTTTGCGATTTCATTCAATTGATTGATTTTGATTAAGATTAATTGGTATTAAAGGGAAACATTTGATTGCAAGAAAAATGTTCAACAGTCATCGATGGTTAGATTTAAGCTTGCAATTTTGTTGTTGATTAAAGTGAAAGTCAAAAAACAATTAATAACTGTTACATTGATTAAAGGCTATTGTTGCTTTGCATTTCCTTGTTCATTGGTTAGATTATTTGTTGCTAAACAGTGTTTTAGACAATTTAGTGTTGATCAGTTGATAAATAGAGTCTAAAATTGCACCCAAAATAATATGATTGACAAAAAATGGGTTAAAATGATAGACTTCAATAGATGAATGACAATAATTTGAACGACAGTTTTTTATATTCTCAATTTTATTAACTGGACGCAATAAGGTTGACAATAATAGTCCATGATTGAACAACAATAATGCAATCATAGACTGTTAATGATGAAAAATGATTCAATTTAATGAAATGGAGAGACATTTTTATGCTTCTTTTGTGCTGTTAGGTGATGATAATCATAATGACAAACAAAAGTGTTTCAAGTGAAATCAAAGAGGAATAAAACAAATTGGTGTAAAAAAAGGTATCATGATCATCATTGAACAAAAGGTCTTCTCCATGTCAAAGGAAACTTCCAATAGATCAGACTGAATACCAATTCTTTTGATTCTTGAACCCGCAGAAGACAATGATGACTGGTATGATAACGGTTATGATGCCTTTTTGTTTGTTGGGTTTGCATTAAATTTGGTGAAGGCATCTTTACCTGACTTGGTTGAATCAAGGAAGAAAGTGTTTAGCCAAATTAAACAAATAAACAAAACAGGTAAACACAAATAAAAACAGCAAACAAATAGATTGAATAACAAAGGTAAAGTACGGCACAGATAATTCATATCTTCATCAGATTCAATATGATTCCTCTATTATTTGTTGCTATTGCTGTTTTAGTTACTAGTAGAGCAAAAGATCATTGAACTGAAGGTTAGTTGAATCAAGTCCAATCATATGTTGGCATAAATTTGGTTTTTTTATCTGATATTGAATTTTCCGGCAATAATAATGGTAATATTCACCATTTCCTCTGCTTTTAACCTCGTCTAGAGAGAGAAAAGAAAAAAAAGGAATTAGAATAATTGTTGGTGATAAAGTTGAATGGCTGACCATTGTGATTTTAATGATTCTGGTGATACAATTAATGTAACACTTGAAAGACTCGCGTTTAACCCGGTAATGATGTTAACAGTAAATGTAAAAGTATGCCTAAAAGGATCAGTAGGTTGGTGTTTGACGGTTTTATACAAATATTAATGTAAATTAAAATTTCAAAATGCTGATTTGAGAATCATTGCTGGTAGATAGTGATTTGAGATACCTTTTTTTTACATAATTGGCAGGTTTCGTCAAGTCGAGGTGGAAAGGTTGACGGTTATGATTGTCATTATCATTGTCGTCGTCCTTCTTGTTGCTGTTAGTGATGATGGTAGTTATGTGCTCAATGAACCAAATTGTATTATTTTAAGTTGACTTCGATAACCAATTGTGTGAAGATGATGTAAAAGGGCTTGAGACATAACAGGAAAGTTGTATATTTGAAGAGAGAAAATAAGATGACTGATGAACGCAACGTGACACTGTCAGCTGAAAGATGATCAAAGGCTGGTGATTCAATTAATATCTGAGCGATGATAAAAATCACATTAATCGAGATCAACAGACCCAATGGATGAACAATGGTAAGAATCATGGATTGCGCATAGAGGAGACATGATTCTTAATTTATTTCAATCAACCAAAAGGTTTCATCTATCGCCAACAGTTGCTAGAGTCATCCTTATTACCATCATCCTGATCATGTTAATGTGCGTGTAGGAAGAACTAGATTTTGTAAATGGAAAGAAAGAGAAAAAAATAAGGGAATTAGTGTGCTGACAATGAAAGAGATTGAAAGGAAAATGAATTTGGAATTTGAGAAAAAAAAGCAAGAAAAAGAATCTGAATTAAGGTGTTGAAAAAAGTGTTTACAATTTATCATCATCCTGGCTTGTCTTAAGATCTCCAGGGTTGTACAGCCTTGGTTATCTGAATGGCGTTCAGTCTGTATAGTCAAGACCAAAAACATCATCAACTACATTGTAACCAAACAAAGGTTAAGCTGAATGAGGTAAGAAGAGAAGAGGAAAGGGTTAGCATAAACAGGTAATTTGAATAGTAACTTGTTATACATACCACTGGGTTGTCATTTAAACGGTCCAAATGAGGCCCAATTTGAATCCGGGTTTAACCTCGAACTGATGAAACAAGAATCCTCATTATCACCACCAATAGAATCAATAAGATAGTGATTACAGTTAACCATGAAAAAATAGTCCTCAAATTTAGTTAATACAAATTGTTTTTTTAAAAAAGTAAACAAATTAGCATTGAACAAAAGATGGCGAGCTTATCAAAATGCGCTCTTTTCTTATCATCACATGATTGGCTATGGAAAACACAAAGGCAAGCAGAAACGGTGAAACAATGGAAGTGGTTAATTCAAAAATATTGTTGACAAAGCAATTGAATTAAAATTAGTGAGAATCAAGTATAAAGTAACTATTATCAAATCACTAAACTATTTCCAAACACTATCATGATTACGTTGTTAATTTGAATAAACAACCACATTAAGGGGAAAGTCTAAAGGGTAAACAATGGAAATTAACCGTTGACTGCAATCTTTCCCTTTTCAAAGTAAACTCTCTGTTCAAAATGATTCTTAAGTGCATGATGCGTTGAATTAAAAAGGCTTAGAAACACTTTTTGAACCAGTTTATTGATTTATCAGGTTTTAAAATATACCAAGGCCTGAGATTTGAAAGATATACAGAAAACATCATCCAATAAACGTTTAAAACTGAGCTATTCCAGACTAACATCAAGTTTACTTTGCCATTTTGTTTAAATTTTGCAGATTCAACTTAAGGAAAAGTATAATATCAAATTGCCTTTACATGGTTATTATTAAATTTATTAACAACATCTAGTTTTAACCAATGCAAATACGACTAAAGGTAGGAAATAAATGCTTGTTAGGAGCACGCAGCATGAATTAAATGAATTCAGCAGACAATAATGAACAGCCATAATCAATGCATAATACATGAAGTGAAACAATTTTTCATATTTCTGTAATATTAAACAAGTTGATTATTGAATAGAGTCTTGGCAAGTTTGAGCAATTGAAAATTATCCTTCCAAGCAAGAGACAAGATGAAACAAAAGACGAACAAGTTAAGCAATGATAATATATTATCAGCGACAAATTGTCAATCAATCAAACAAATGATACTTAAACCCAGATTTACACTATCACAGATTAAGCCTTGGAATTGCAAAGATCAACAGAGAAATACATATTGCATATTGCAAAATTTGGAATGGATAAGTTGAAAAGGCACCAAAGTCGATGATAAACAATGGATTTACACATGAAATGGAAATAATAAACAATTAAAAGTTGTCAACATTGAAAGGCAATCGACTAAAACAAACCGACTAAAGTAATTAGTTGATTTGAATTGCGTTAGATGGCTCTTTCAAGTTTAAAGTAAAGTAAAATAACCGCTTAAGTACAAGGTGGTTAAAAATTTCTCGCCAGGTAGGAGGAGATGACGATGCGTAGAAGAGTAAGTTAATTTAGTAATTGATAACAATTGTTAATATTGTGTTAAAAAACGGACTCTCATCCATCTGGGTTACCTGCGCCATTTTATTTCCCCCTCAGCACAAACTTTTTTATTCACCCTGTAGTAGTGCTTCATACTTGTTTCATCTTGTTTCAAACCAACAAACTTGTATACATCAACACATCAACACACACACACACACTTGGTGCTCTTCTTTTGTTGACTCCTTTCTGGTTAAATAGTATCTTCTCTTCATCATCATCCTTTTTAAGTCTTCCTCTCACGGATAAGGTTTATTTTCCTTCCATTGGACTTTTTTTCCTCTCTATGTTCTGACTTTAATAGTGAAGACTACTCTCTATTTACAATAGAGGTTTTTAAAGTAAATTACAACGATGAGCCATTGGACTAATTTGATTTAGGTAAGTTTATAAATATTTATCAAACGATTGGAAAACAATTTCATGTCAATCAAATTTTTATGCTGTGTACTAAAAACGATTCTTTTTTTCCTTTTTCTTCTTCTACTGGTTCACTGTTTCTTTAGGAATACTTAAAGAGGAAATCGTTTGACGGATCTTTCAAATACATGTTTTACTGTGGATGTTGTCATCAGCTATTCAACTCTACTTTTCACGTATATTTTTGTGCCCATTTTCCGGAATAAAAATCATCTTTACTCTTTAAATTTAATTTAACATGTTAACCTGTTTATGTGGCTCCGAAAGAAGGTAAAAACGGCGACGACTAAGAAGGAGAAAGTGGTGGTGGAGGAGGAGGAGGAAAAACGTAGAAGCTCTTTGTGCTCAAAATTAAAGAAAATGGTTTTAAAGTCAAGTGAAAAAAGTTTCGGACTTAATACGGTTCAATTTAAATTTTGGTCTACTCGGAAAAGTCTAACCATAACCGATTATGATCCTGTCTACAAAGTTGTCTACCTTGGAAATGTTTTAACTTTGTTGGCTAAAGGTGATGGTGCCATAGACAAAGCTTTGCCAACTTTGTGGAAAAATTATTGTTCCAATGTTAAACATGACATCTACATGAAGTTAACCATATGTGCGTCAGGATTAAAAGCCATCACAAGGGAACACGGATTAACTGAATATTGGTCTAACAGAATAACATATGCTGCCACTCATCCTGATCACCCGAAAATTTTTTGTTGGATCTATCGTCATGTTGGACGTAAAATGAAACAAGAATTAAGATGCCATGCCGTTCTTTGTAGCAAAGAAAGTAAAGCCAAGGAGATGGCCGAATTTTTGAACAAAAGATTAATCACTGCTCTACAAGAATTTAGAAGAGAGAAAAAGTACAGACAAAACTTTCGATTGTCACTCGCCTCCTCGTGCCAAGAGATTCCTTTAATTCCATTAAGGAAGCAGCTTTTAATTAAAGGTTTAGCCAACTTCAGGCAGCCATTGGAAAGATCAAAATCAGCTCCAAAATTAACATCGATTGAAGAAATTTTAGAAGAATCAGAGGAAGAAGATGACGTTGAAGACGACGAGACAGAAGAAGAAACTGAAGAGGATACTGCATCCGATACAACCATAAACATTCTCAGAATGATATTTTAATTTTTAAAAATATTAATAATAATTATTTTCACAATTACCAGTCTCATCTGTTGAATACATCCATCAATCAAACGATGATCAAACTTGATAAAGGATAAACAAATTACCTCGAAAACAACAAAAAAGCAAAAATTAATCCTCACCAAAATCTTTAGATTTGTTTTGTGGCATCCGTGAAATCGCCTTAATTCATTATCAAATTAAAAGATGATATAAACACTAACAATTGGTTATTCTGATTGTGATATACTGTAAAGAAAAACAAAATTCAATAGAATGTAAGTTTCTTCAAGGTTAACATGATATCTCAATCATAATCATGCGGATGGTTATGAGGGTTAACCTAATAATAATACTTTTCTTCCTATTATGTTATTATATTTTTTTGTATATTAATGCACACACAACCATATCAATTTAATCTTTTGATAAACGATTTGAAAATTTAGGAAAACTATTTGTCACAGTTAAATGATATTTCGGTATTGTTAAAGAAATCAGGATTAACTTGATTTTTCAAATTAACTGTAATGTTTAACCTTAACCTCAACAATATGACTATTATTAAGGATAAATACGATGGTGACAATTAATCAAAAGTTTTTCCCATCAATTATGATACAATGATAGTGAAACTGTAATTTCTAATCAATGGATCAACTAACAATGCACTTTGCTGGTTACATTAAAAGATGTTCCAATAATGATTAAACAATGATTAATGTAAATTGAAAGGTTTAGAAGATCAATAATCACTCTTAATCAACTGGTAACATTTTGTATGACCGTGAATTAGTCGCAAGCTTGAAGGCAATAAAAGCATCTGCCAAGGAAATTGAAGCATCGCTGGTTGAACCAAATAATTTATGGGCTAAAGTGATCAGTATGCTGACAATGTAATACACTTCATCTTACCTTTCATAATTTTGCTCATTACATTATTAATCATGGTTTTGTTCATATTCAGTTGGCCAAGATTCGTGCAAGAACATTGTAAAGACAATTAAATCGATAGATTGATTGACCTTTAACGCAAAATACTGTTAACCACAACTGATGGCTCTTTGGGTTAAAATTATTATGATAATACTTTGGACTAATGCATTAAAATTCAATTTTTGTCAATTTAGTGTCATTGAACCGTTAAAAATCATGATTACTGTTTACGATTAGCTTAAATTGAGCGTTACACACCATCAAACAATGTCTCGCTCAACTAAAACAAACTTCATTAGATAGTCTGATCAATAGAGGATCAAACTAGATGATAGTTAGGATGATAATTTAATAAATAAACAGGGAGAAAGTCATACTTTCACATGGTTTATCAATGAAACTGAATTGATTTTAATTTCTAGCTTCTGTTTACTCTTCAGCATGATAACAAATTGCCTAGCATTTTGTCCAACAGATGCATCAAAAATGACCAGAATCGTGAATTTGTAACCTTCATCTGCTTTCCAGTCTAATAAGTTGACTAATTACAGAGATATCATTGTCAATTTAGTGATTGAATAATCCTTAACAAATCCATAGATAACCAATATTTCAGGCACAATGGCTATTTTTGATGAGACTTTAGTGTCACCTGTAAGTGCATTGAATAACTATTTTAAACCCAATTCATCAATTATTTTACATTAAAAATGTTATGATGGTTTTAAATTTCACTTGAAAGATTGTTTTTCTGATCAAATTATAGCTTCTTAATGAATGAGCTTAGATAATTGGCATATAAATAGTTTTGATAACACCAAACACTCAATCAATTCATCAGTAAAGATGAAAATAATGAATGAAAGTGAAAAAGATATTGAATCTGTTAAATTAAAAAGCTTTCAGTGGATATATCATTGATATGAATGATAATAATTTACTTATTCTTTTAATTCTTCTTCTATCAAATCTAAATTCTGATCTATCAGCTGGCTCTGTTTATGCCTATGATTACTAGAATCTTGATAATCTATATGATCGTAAAGACCTAGCGGATGACGTTAAATCTAATCGATCAGCAATGACCAATAAAAGTACTCGACAAGTTTTTGATCTACTGGCCAAAATTTTACCAATCGGTACTCTCCTTCTCCTTAAAAGCCTGATGGTTTCATGTGATCCAGAGGGTTACGATGAATATCCACTGAAAGAGATACCTATTAATTGAGTCCTGACCAAATAAGATAAGATAACATTAGTACAACCGTTAAAAAGTGTCAATGAGTAATTGTAAATTGGCCATGGTGTAAAAAAGGAAGCAAGACAGACGGTTCCATTGGAACGAGTGTCGGATTCTCTCTTGATTGAATAGAGAAAAGAAAACCAAATTTTGAAAATAAATTGTAAACAAGGATAATCAAAGCTCACCTTTAAGGAAATCCATATCAACGAGTATTTCAAACGTCTTATGGATCAAGAAGGGACCACAGTCAGCGGGAGGAAGAAATATCTATGGTTGATCAATGGAGCTGGATAAAGATTTGAAACTTTTATCCATTCTTTTGTAATTTTTTATCTTTCATAATTATTGCACTCCAGACTTTTCTTTTTCTTTCTTTTCTCACCTTTGGTTAACTACTGGCTCCAGAGCCTCTAGACGACTTTCTAACGAGTTAATATCGCGATAATGGTTCCAAATCTTGAATATTAGGTAGTCGGTATGCTGGATTAGTTTAAGAATTACAGATTTTTTGATATAAAAATGTTATTCAAACGTTTAGTAGCTCATGAAAACAGTCGCTTTAAACTACAATTTTTGAAAAAACAAATGAATTGAAACAGTGCCTCCATCTAGTAAAAATTTTAAGAGTTAATTTTTCTAAAAACTCATAACGATAAGTTACCGGTAAAAATTAATTGATTGCAATTTAAACTTGGCTACAATCACTAATAAGATTGATTGCACAAATATAATGCAATCAAATGGTTGAATAGCGAACAGAAAGCTTGCATTTCAAGAATTTAATCTAACTAACGATTCAATCCTAATCACATTCGAATCGAAATAAATTAAATTTTATTGAAAATAGTGTCAAACTTGAGATGAATATAAAAAGTGCATATTTACAAGAGTTGATTAAACTGTAGACTATCTTTTCAGAGAAACAAAATCAGAACATAATTTTATTTCTAATCAACTAAATGATTTAATTTAAATTGAAACTCAAATTTTGTCTTATAATGGTTAATAAATTTTTAAAATTATTAATGAATATTCATTAGTAAATTTGAATTAAAAAAATTGGAGCCAAAGCAGGATGACAAAGTGATATTAGCCAATTGTAATGAATCGTCCAAACAGCTTGGCGGCAAAACAGTGAAACGATGAGCTTTATATAGATGGTGATTTGTGATTTAGGTGATGAAAATGAATCTTTATGTATAATTAGAGAGTATAAAAAGATTAATTAAGATCAAATCTTTATCCAGCTCCATTAATCAACCATGGATTTTTCTTCCTTCAGCTGACTGTGGTCCCTTCTTGATCCATAAGACGTTTGAAATACTCGTTGATATGGATTTCCTTAAGGTGAGCTTGATTATCCTTGTTTACAATTTATTTTCAAAATTTGGTTTTCTTATCTCTATCCAATCAAGAGAGAATCCGACACTCGATCCAATGGAACCGTCTGTCTTGACTCCTTTTTTGTGGTCATTGTACCATGGCCAATTTACAATTACTCATTGACTCTTTTTAACGGTTGTACTAATGTTATCTTATCTTTCTTATTTAGTCAGGATTCAATTAATAGGTATCTCTTTCAGTGGATATTCATCGTAACCCTCTGGATCACATGGAACTCCCTGCTTGTACAAAGAACTTTGGTTGACTGATATTCCAGATGAAGCGTCGTGATTATATCTTATGGGATTCAGATAGTCAGTGTCATACTCATCACAGTGCCAACATGAATTATCCTTACGGTCACAAATGGTTTTCATAATAAACACAACAGACAATGGAATCACAGTCATGGCAAGTACAATACAAATTAATCGAGAGATACTTTGTAATGGCTCATAAGCTTCAACATTGGCAACAAAGTGAACCATCAGGCTAATGAGGAGAAGGAAAACACCGATTGGTAAAATTTTGGCCAGTAGATCAAAAACTTGTCGAGTACTTTTATTGGTCATTGCTGATCGATTAGATTTAACGTCATCCGCTAGGTCTTTACGATCATATAGATTATCACGATTCCAGTAATCATAGGCATAACCAGAGCCAGTTGATAGATCACAGTTTTCAATGGTTTCAATGGAAAGAGGAATAACAGATGATGATTGTTGGTAAAGTCGATCACCAGAGATTGATTGAAACTGTTGATGGAATTGTTTATGCTGTTGCTGTTGGCAAACAGTATTTGGCTCATAAGATAACATGCTTAATGAATAATTGGTGAATGCCTTACGGCTTACTGGGCGGATGCTTCTTCTTCTTCTTCGAGAAGCTGTAATATACACTGTATCATCTAGAAATATTTGAAAAAGATGAAAAATTAATCATGGTTCCAAAAAAGATTTGAAATGATCAAGAAAGGTTAAACAACTGGGAGTAACTTAAATTATTTATTTTATGGATGTTGAAAGATAACAAGCATATCCTGGGATATGTTGTTGAAAATGAAGCAGAAAAGGAGTCTGACGAGTAGAATTAGAGGGTAAAGGATGAGAAGCTCAAACAGTACTGTGAGTAAATCATCATCTATTTTTCTTCCCTCTCTTTTTATGTCAAAAGGAGCATTTACATTGATTCAAGTCCCTTCAATCGATTTTCCTTTCCTCTTTTTCACTCATTCATTCACTCTTTCATTCATCAGACTCTTGCCTTTCTTAAACTCTTTTTTTTATTCTTTTTTTTTGTTATTTCTTTTCTTTTAGGCATCCACTAACCAGAAGTTGATTCTTTTCTTTCACCTTTTTTCCTGCTGACCAAACAACAAGAAGACTAGCAAAAGTATCGATCTTCTCTTGATGGACTGTTCTATCGTTTATCTTGAACTGACTCTTATCTTTCCCTTGATCTTCTCCCTCCATCTTCATCATCATCTTCATTCATTTTCTCATTCCTTTACTTTTTCGCCTACTCCTTGGTAACATACCAAATCTCATCGGATGAATTTGATACTGAACAAGAAAACAAATACAAATAAGAAAAAGTATCATTATGAAAGGAGCATTTTTGGAAATCTCATTTAAATTACCCTTTTGAATGAAGATTGTTCACCAGAAAACAGGAAACCAAAGAAAGCCTTGATTTACATTCATCATCAGGATAAAGCTTATTAACAATAACATTTTCATTTTCATTTCTTCCTAAAAATTCATTTTGTTTGTCTCATTAGATGAATCTCATTCTTTTATGACAACCAAAACAACAACACAAGAAGAGGAAAAACAAAGACACAATAAAGATTTTACAGCTCATAACAAATGGATAAAGAATAAGAGAAGACAAAATGATTACTTTGCTGGTGAATGGTTGTACATTCTGGAAATTATTTTGCTCCATGGTTAAAACTCTGAACCACCAAGAAACAACCATTATCAACATAAGGCCAACACAATTGTTTACTTATTATTATAATCATGATCATCATTGTTCCCTTATGTAAAATAGACATTATCTTTCTTTTGGAAGAGAAGTTTTCTTCAAGTGAACCATCGTAAGCAACTTCAAGATTGTTATACTTTTACCATGAAATTTGTGAAAACTTTATATTTACCAGATAATTTTTTTATTGACGTCTATGGTAATTCAAAAAGATGCGTGACTTTCAATAGGTTTGTTCAATCCTTCAACAACAACAACATCTTACACAAAAAAGGACCAAACTAAATATAAAAATAAGAAAGTACAGATTACTAGTTTACTCAATTGATTTGATAGACAGATTAAGTTAATGTCATATTATTAGATGGTTATGCAAATTGTAAGGTAATCTTGCAATCTACTCAATATTTCAGGTCTAACAGTGAAAATGGATTGATCAAACATAGCCAACCTTTTTTTACCTCTAATAATACAAAAGGTAAATCGACCTACGCAATTGATTACAAAAAACTTAGTCTAACATTGAGCAGTATTTAACCTAATCACACATTTGTACATCTATGGAAACTAACTTATAATTTCAATCTAATTAATTGGAAAATTTATTATCATTTTGAAATGGCTTGATTATCATTTTTAATTTGATAAAACAAATGGATTCATCAATTAGGCAGATCTCTTATACAAACGGAACATCTACTTATTTTGGATCGTAAATGTTCCTTTTTAAATGTTCCTCCTTCAGGCTTCTCAAATTGTGTTGTCTCATTGATTGTCGCCAACCAGAAAGACAATTGATTACCAAAATAATAACATGTACCTCGAGCTCCACTACACTCAATGAATGGTGCGGCTCTGAAATCTTCAAGGCAACTTCCCGGTGAAGAAAGAGATTGGCCACCACCTTCACCTCTAGCCATTACAAATGAATAACCTACCCACAATGAACTCCAGCCATTAGGACATTCAGGGTAAATTTCAGTCTGGGAATGAACAGCCATCACATTGGCCGGGGACTCACAAACAACACAACGGCTTATAAAATCTTGTATAGCTTCCTCTCTGACCGGTCTCAGCGGCAAGGGTTTATTAGTTGATAACCAAGATGATTTATCATTTCGAGAGGCATATGAACAAACTGTACCTTCAGGGTTACAGAATAGGAAAGGCATTGTACTGAAACGTTGCAAACATGAGCCTGCGAAACCAAGATCTTGACCATGGGCATGTCCATTTCCTTCAATGTAGAGTAAACTGTAACCATCCCAAAGTTTCGTCATGTTTTTAGGGCACGTTGGTGGTTTGATGTCCTGAGAGTGTCTAACCAACAGAATATCCGTCAAGTAATTTGGTCCAGGCATACCGACAGGACCTGGTGTTCCAATGTCACCAGGATAACTAGCTTGACCCTTTAACCCAGGTAAGCCTCGATCTCTGAAAAATTGAAGTTGGCCGATTAGAACAAAATTTAAACTATTGTATATTTCCGATTTCTTTAAATTTACAGTTTGAATAAACCAATTTAAAGATCGATTACCCCACTCACCCAGGTAGTCCAGGCATTCCATCGAATCCAGGTGGACCTTGACCTCCTACAAGAACAATTGATAACAGAATGAGCAACAAAAATATACTGGACTGAGACATACTTAGACTTTTTTAAGAGTTGCTAAAGGGTGTCAATTTATAATTGAGAGCAGAAAACAGAATGACCAATTATTGGTTAGTGATAACAGAAAAATTGATAAGAAAAATGTAAAATAAACTCCATCTATTGTCCATTTAATTGAGATTAATTTTAGATTCCAATCTTAAAGTAAATTGTCAATAGATAGCGTTTGGCTTTTAAATGTTAAGCTTCAGGGTTTGAAGGGAGACTTTCCTTGAATATCAACTCACCTTTATTTCCTTTATCCCCTCTAACTCCAGGATAGCCTTGGTCACCTTTGAAACCAGGAATAACGTTATTGATGAATTCAAGATTAGGTTGCAGAATTTATTATCCGAGCAAAATGAATAAAATTCCCTGATCTTTATTTATTGGATGAAGGATGAACTTTCAATTCAACCAAATGGATCACTGAACTATCATTAGGAAAACTTAAGATAGAAAATTGAATCGTTCAAAAAATCTAAAATTCCAACCAATTTAGGTTCTTATCTTATATTAGTCAGATTGATAACGAAAAATGAACGATTGATTCAGTTAAATAAAAATTATGAGTTGATTTGGGATCAACCATTTACAAATTCCAATAAAACACTCTCAATAAATGTAAATCTTGAATTCTTACTTTTTAGACACATTGGACCGAGCATTCCACTTGCACTGTCTCTACCACGATCTTCTGTTTAAGAAATATTTATATTCGAGGCATCGTTTTCAACTCTTCGGCTGTCGGAATTTTACCTGGTTCTCCTTTGATACCGGTGCTTCCTTTCTTACCTTCTAAACCAAGATTTCCCTTGTCTCCTTTTTCACCATAATTTCCTTTATCTCCTCTTGAACCTAAATTTTGCGAAGAAAAATTTTAATCCCGTGTAAACCTGAAGGACCCGGTCATATTATTATTATTATTATTATTAGATGGTTATGCAAATTGTAAGGTAATCTTGCAATCTACTCAATATTTCAGGTCTAACAGTGAAAATGGATTGATCAAATATAGCCAACCTTTTTTTACCTCTAATAATACAAAAGGTAAATCGACCTACGCAATTGATTACAAAAAACTTAGTCTAACATTGACCAGTATTTAACCTAATCACACATTTATACATCTATGGAAACTAACTTATAATTTCAATCTAATTAATTGGAAAATTTAATCAATCAAAGGTCAAAAAGAGCGTCAATGATTAACATTAAACTGATCCAATCTTATTTCACTTTCACTTTAATTAAACTCTGATTTCTACTTTTTTAATTCTTGCTTCTAGATCTAAATCAACATTTCCAGACTAATCAATTAATTGTCTTTAATGGCCATATCGATGTAATGTTTAAAGTTTAAATTCAAGATGTTACCTTCAAACTGTGTAAGTAGATTTTTCATATTTCATGTTATTCTTGGGATTTATTGACTTCACTGAACTTGATTTTAAAATTTTCAATTTCCGACCAATTTTCATATATAATTAGCAATAATTTGAATTGTAACTCTTTGTTCAACCCAAAGTTTTGTTTTATTATTCTCTCCAAAGGGTAAAAATAAATTAATTGAAACAGGAAAAATCAACAGCAAAAGACAGGGATTGACAAAATTATAACAATTAATGGGTAGCTTTTAACATATTATCTAGAAATTGAATTGATAATTGTTTTCGTTTTTTTATTCTTCTTCTTTCTGTATTAAACTGTTTGCTTAATTGTTTAATTAGAATTGAAAAGCTTTTATAATCCAATCGTAATTAACTTTTTATTTTGTCCTTTTCTACTAAAAAAAAGTGGGATAAGAAGATGAATTCAGTGAAGAGAAAGAGTTTTTGTAAAAGAAGAGTTGAAAGTTGAAGGCATTTTTTGGTGGTTGGTCATCAATGAATTTCAATGGAGTTAACATGGAGTTAATTATCGATAATTTAACCAGTCATCTCCAATAATTTGATTTGGTTATAAACATGATTAACAAAGCTTTTTTTCTTTGCTTCTTTTTCAGTTTGAATAATCCATCATGACACTTTGGATCAACCCTGTTTTGTTATTTTTAATTTGAAATATTCACAGAAATGTTCGTCATCAATCGCTGGCAATTGGCTTGATTATCATTTTTAATTTGGTAAAACAAATGGATTCATCAATTAGGTAGATCTCTTATACAAACGGAACATCTACTTATTTTGGATCGTAAATGTTCCTTTTTAAATGTTCCTCCTTCAGGCTTTTCAAATTGGGTTTTCTCATTGATTGTCGCCAACCAGAAAGACAATTTATTACCAAAATATTGACATGTACCTCGAGCTCCACTGCACTCAATGAATGGTGCCGCTCTGAAATCTTCAAGGCAACTTCCCGGTGAAGAAAGAGATTGGCCTCCACCTTCAGCTCCAGCCGCAGTGTGCATTGCAAATGAAAAACCTACCCACAATGAACTCCAGCCATTAGGACATTCAGGGTAAATTTCAGTCTGGGAATGAACAGCCATCACATTGGCCGGGGACTCACAAACAACACAACGGCTAATAAAATCTTGTATAGCATCCTCTTTGACCGGTCTCAGCGGAATGGGTTTATTAGTTGATAACCAAAATGATTTATCATTTCGAGAGGCATATGAACAAGCTTGATTAAGGCCACAGAATAGGAAAGGCATTGTACTGAAACGTTTTAAACATGAACCCGCAAAACCGAGATCTTGACCATGGGCACGTTCATTTCCTTCAATATAGAGTAAACTGTAACCATCCCAAAGTTTCTCCATGTTTTTAGGACACGTTGGTGGTTTGATGTCCTGAGAGTGTCTAACCAACAGAATACCCGTCAAGTAATCTGGTCCAGGCATACCGACAGGACCTGGTGGTCCAATGTCACCAGGATAACCAGCTTGACCCTGTAATCCGTCACGTCCAGGAGGCCCTTTGGAAGACAAAATAGGTAAAAAATAATTTAATTTGCATGATAACAATAAACAACATGTTTAAATCACGATTTTAAAATCAAACTAAACTGTCGAAACAATTGAATCACCATCAAAGTTGTTTTTTGTTAATTTTGAAATTTCAATAAAATTCTTGAAATTTTGAAATATTGTGAATTAACAACTTTCCTCAATGTTTAACCATAATTTTGGGTTGGATTAAAATTGATTTGTAATTTTTTATTTCAGTGTTTATTTTATTGAACTAACCTCTCATTCCTTTATCACCAGGTCTTCCGGCTTTTCCTTCTGGTCCTGGAGGTCCTGGGAATCCACGTTCTCCTTTTTGTCCAGGGAAACCAGGTAATCCAGGTTCACCCTTTAACCCAGGTAAGCCTCGATCTCTGAAAAATTGAAGTTGGCCGATTAGAACAAAATTTACACTATTTTCTATTTTCGATTTCTTTAAATTTACAGTTTGAATAAACCAATTTAAAGATCAATTACGGCACTCACCCAGGTTCTCCAGGAGCACCAGGGAAACCACGATCACCCTTAAGAGAATCAGCTAAAATGTAATCTCCAGGTGGTCCTTGAGGTCCAACATCACCCTTGTCACCTTTGTCACCATAAGATCCACGAGGTCCAGGAGGTCCTTGAATACCAGTCATTCCCTTAAGTCCAGGAATTGCCGGTATACCAGGGAATCCTTTGTCTCCTTTTGGTCCTGTCAATCCGATGTCACCTTTTGGACCTTGTGGACCAGGTAGTCCAGGCATTCCACCAAATCCAGGTGGACCTTGACCTCCTACAAGAACAATTGATAACAGAATGAGCAACAAAAATATATTCAATTCGAATCCTTTGACTTATTCAAGAATTTCCAACCAACAGAAGTAATTTTGCTCAACCTTGTGATCTATGAATGCTTAATTTTGTAGCTAAATACATGTAAGTTACTTGTAAATGTTAAGCTTCAGGATTTGAAGGGAGACTTTCCTTGAATATCAAATTTGATATCAACTCACCTTTATTTCCTTTATCTCCTTTAACTCCAGGATAGCCTTGGGCACCTTTGTAACCAGGAGTACCGGGAATTCCATCTTTTCCTGATACACCAGGAAGACCACGATCACCAGGAGGACCAGGTTCTCCTTTATCACCACGAGACCCAAATCCTGGTAATCCAGGAGCTCCAGGAATTCCCATTGGACCAGGATCTCCCTGATCACCTGAAAATCAATGAAAAATGAAAGATTAGCGAAAAATTGGTGAAATTGTGTCACATAAAACACTTTTTTGAGATCAATAAATCGCGTTGATTATTTTGATAAAATAATTTGAAGGAATTGGTAAAACTATAAAATTGCGGTAGTTTAATATCATTTTTCAGTTTTGTATTTTCTGACTAAAAAATTTACTGACAAAACAAGATGCTTATTTACAATAAAACAACAGCTATGGAGGCAATCAAAATAAAGATAATTTTTACTCCATTTTTGTGGATTAGACCTCGATTTGAAATGATAAAAGTTCATATAAGTTTTCATGATAAGCTGTATCTTATATATTGAATTCTGTATAATTGAAACATTAAAAAAGTAACTAAACCATCAATTATCTGTCCTCTGATAAGAGACTGTATGAGTTTAGGTGACCATTATTGATGAAGATAAATTCAAGATTAGGTTGCAGAATTTATTATCCGAGCAAAATGAATAAAATTCCCTGATCTTTATTTATTGGATGAAGGATGAACTTTCAATTCAACCAAATGGATCACTGAACTATCATTAGGGAAACTTAACATAGAAAATTGAATCGTTCAAGGAACTAAAAGAATCTAAAATTTCAACCAATTTAGGTTCTTTTCTTATATTATAAAGATTGACAATGAAAATTATTGATTAAGTTAAATAAAAATTTGAGTTGAAATCAACCATTTATAAGATTTTCATAAACCACCATCAATAAATGTAAATATTGAATTCTTACCTTTTACACCGATTGGACCGGGCAACCCATTACCACCGTTTCTACCTTGATTTCCTGTTTAAGAAATATTTATATTTGTATATTAAAATCTCATTCCAGTTTTGAGATTACTTTTTGTTATTGACTCGCTAATAATTTCAATGAAACTAACCTTTATCTCCCTTTTCACCAGGTACTCCAGGGAAACCACGATCTCCTTTTGGACCTTCAAGTCCAGGTAAACCATCGTATCCTGGATTGGATAGATATACGGTTTGACCAGGAGGACCTCGGTCACCCTTGTCTCCCTGTTGACCCAATGGACCAATAAAACCAGCAGGACCAGTATCTCCAGCTGGACCAGGGAATCCTTTGTCACCTTTTAATCCAGGCAAACCTGGAAGTCCATCAAATCCTTTAGGACCAGGGAATCCTTCACGACAAGGTTCTCCTGGTTTACCAGGTTTACCAACCTCACCCATTTCACCAGGAAAGCCGATACCACGAGGTCCAGGTTCTCCTTTGTCACCTCTTTGACCCATTGGACCCATTGGTCCCGGAGGTCCTGGTGGACCTTGAGGTCCGATATCACCTTTATCTCCAGGTAATCCCTGTATAGCAACAATATTTTCCAATGTTAGTAAACTGTTAATTTTCAATTGAGCAAACTTATTAGAATGAAACATTCAAAATCTATAACAATTTTAAGTTTTCATGGTTAATCTCAAGACAATTTTAGGATTTTTGCTCAAGATTAAAGTACGCTGTAATTTGCTCAATAATGAATGAATTTTCAATGTTTTTTACTTACACTTAAACCAGGTTCTCCTTTGAATCCTTGTGTTCCTGGATATCCAATGTCTCCTTTTGGTCCAGGCAGACCTTCAATTCCTTTGGGTCCAGGATAACCGGGTAATCCAGTTGGACCAGGAAGCCCTGGAAGTCCAGCGTAACCAGGTTGTCCTTTATCTCCCTTTTTCCCTGGTGGACCATCGACACCGTTAACTCCGTTAGTGCCATTAACACCAGGAGGACCTGGTTGACCGTCTCTTCCATCATTTCCTCTGATACCTTTATCTCCTTTCGCCCCTTTCCAACCAGGATAACCAGGAGAACCAGGCATTCCAATATCACCTTTAGGACCGCGATCTCCTTTAGCACCAGGAGTTCCTGGTGTTCCATCAATTCCAAGCAAACCTGGAGGTCCCAAATCTCCTTTTTCACCTTGATATCCAAATGGACCTGGAGGTCCTGGTGGTCCAATGTCTCCCTTATCTCCAGGATAACCTGGTGGACCCATTGGTCCGATGAATCCTTTGAATCCAGGATTTCCTTTGTCTCCCTTTAAACCTTGCAATCCGATGAGACCGGGTGCTCCTGGTATGCCATAACCAGGTTCACCTTTGTCACCCTTAGGTCCAGTTTTTCCGTTATCACCAGGAATACCTCGATCTCCTTTGTATCCAGGAACTCCTTGCAATCCTCCTAAACCTTTATCTCCTTTGTCACCCTTTTCACCAGGTGAACCTTGTTCACCAGGAGCTCCAGGAGCTCCATTGACACCAGGTTCACCATTTAATCCAGGCGGTCCCATGTCTCCTCTAACACCATCTCGACCCATTAGTCCTGAAGGGCCAGTTTCTCCCTTCTCACCCTTTGTACCCTTTTCACCGGGTGGACCTGGAGGCATCGTTTTCAACTCTTCGGCTGTCGGAATTTTACCTGGTTCTCCTTTGATACCGGTGCTTCCTTTCTTACCTTCTGGGCCAAGATTTCCCTTGTCTCCTTTCTCACCAGAATTTCCTTTATCTCCTCTTGAACCTAAATTTTGCGAAGAAAAATTTTAATCACAGTTCAAAGGCTTTTTCGTTAACATAAAGTTATTTTATAGATCAATACCTAATGCACTTAAAATTATTTGCTGTAAATAAACTAAATGTGCAAAATTATAAAAGTTAAATTTTAAAACAACAATTTAATTCTAACTATATTTTGTTTCTGAATTGCGAGCTTGAAAAGCTGAAGCGAAGTTATTATGAAAAAGTTACAATTAATGTTTAAACGGCATTCAATGAAGAGTTTATAACTCTTGCTGAAGAAAGTAAGTCTAGCCTGATTCTCTTGTAAGTTTTACTTGTTCAATAGCTAAATGTTTCATATCTTTTCTAGTTCATGATCTATCGCGAACTTTGTCTTCGTAAAATGTTAAAATTCAATCGTTGTACCAACAACTGTTACAGAGGAAACATCAAATTCAGTTAACCCGAGGACAACTGGTGTAAATATTGTCTCAGGTGCAACTGTCTCATCTGGTTGTTACCGAAAAGACACAATTGCTACAATTGTCACATTTTAGCACAAATTGAAACAAGTTGATACAATAATGAGCAAAAGGAGTGTTAAAATTGATTTCGTTCAAATTTAGACTAACCTGGTTTGTAGGGACATAAAACCTGAGTCCGTTAGTCTGCGTTAAAAGTTTCTCTGATGAATAGTTCTTGAGAAAATCGAGATCGAAATTTAAACTTCGATCGGCTTTTGTACAGTTATGGATGCAGATTTTCTTATTAAACTTATGCACCCGATGAAGCTTTTGATGTTTAACCAGAAAATGTACTTATTTTGAGAAGCAAAACTTTTCGTTTTCTAAAAAAACGATAAGTTCGATTTGCATTCAAACCGACCTTTTTCTGTGACCTAAATAGTTAGAGAGCTCAAACTTCTTATCCGTCCATAAAAATTGTTGCATCAATTCATGGACCGAATACGCTTTTCAACTTATCTACAGTTCTCTTGATTTCGGTCATTCGTCTTAAAAGTTTGACCTTCGATATTTCGAGAATAGTGCATCCTACAGGCATCATTCTTTCACTAATTTAATCCTTTACTAATATATAATTCAATTCAACTTACTAACTTTCAATTAGAGCGTTTGGGTCATGATATTTGGGCTGCAAATGGGAGAGAAACAGCTAATTCAACAAAACAAACTCATCTCAACCCATTTCCTGGTTAATAAACCAATTTGCTGTTTAAACTTGCAACTGCAATGCAAAGATCACTGTCAAAGGCTCGAAAATTTGAGCTAAGAGTTGAGACTCGGTAGGTTTGTAGAGACATGAAACCTGAATCCTTTTGTTTGATTCAAAGGCTTCTCTGATCAACAGTTCTCGAAAAAATCGAGGTTAAAGTTTGAACTTTGGTGGTCTTTTGTACAGTTATGGAATTAGATTTATTCATGAAACTCATTTTCCTAATGAAGCTTAAGATTGTCAATCAGAAAATATACTTATTTCGGTAGATAAATTTTCCGTCATCTGTAAAATAGATAAGTTCGATTTTCATTTAAACCGACCTTTTCCTATGACCAAAAGAGTTAGCAAGCTGAAACTTCTCATCCGCACATAAAATTTATTTGTTCACATCATGAACTTAATATTTTTTTCAATTTATCAATAGTTCTCTTGATTTTGGCTATTGGACTAAAAAACTTTGAACGTCAAAATTTCGAGAATGGAAAAGCCTAAAATCATTAAACTTTGACCAAACATTAGTTTACATTATGGGCTAAAAAATGATATGACTAAATATCGATTAAAATCTGACTTATTCATTTAATAATGAATATCCTTCTTAAACATAAGATTTGTGTTTGGGTTAACATTAAACTTTATAAATCAAATCTAAAATCTGGTAAGAAAAGTAATGCAATGCTCTAACTTTCTTTATGGGATTCTGAATAATTTAATATTTCGCTATATTATAGTCCATAATAAAATCTATTGTTTGGTCAAAGTTTGATGATTGTAGGTTATTCCATTCTCGAAATATTCAGGTTCAAAGTGTTTTAGGCCAATGGCCAAAATCAAGAGAACTGTAGATAAGTTGAAAAGCGTATTCGGTTCATGAATTGATGCAACAATTTTTATGAACGGATAAGAAGTTTAAGCTCTCTAACTATTTCGGTCACAGAAAAAGGTCGGTTTGAATGAAAATCGAACTTATCGTTTTTCAGAAAACGGAAAGTTTGGTTTCTCAAAATAAGCTCATTTTCTGATTGACAATCAGAAGCTTCATCAGGTGCATAAGTTTAATAAGAAAATCTGCATCCATAACTGTACAAAAGCCGATCAAAGTTTCAATTTTGACCTCGATTTTCTCAAAAACTGTTGATCAGAGGAACTTTTAACGCACACTAAGGGACTCAGGTTTTATGTCCCTACAAACCAGGCTAGTCTAAATTTGAAAGAAATCAATTTTAACACTCTTTTTGCCCATTATTGTATTAACTTGTTTCAATTTGTGCTATAATGTGACAATTGTAGCAATTGTGTCTTTTTAGTAGCAACTGTTTCATCTAAATCATCAGCTTCTTCTGTGATTATTAACTTAAATTGTCTCTTCAAGAAGCTTTGGATCAGAATAGAGATCTTCGTCAACGTTTGTCTCAAATTCATGCAGACTCAGATATTTGATCATCGTCGCAGCTCAATATAATTATGAATTAGTGTTGAATCGTTGAAGAAGAGGCAGACGAGAATACTATTGTCCATCAGCTATCGGTGACTCTAAATCGTATGAATCATTTCTTTTCTAAATGCCTAATGAAACACTGTGAAACTTGAGATCTTAACTAATTGTGACCAGTTAACTTTTCCGCTGAGAGAGAAAGTTTAACTTCATTAAATTGTCTTTCAACGATCTTAAATAAGTTTACTCAAAGCTAACTGGAATGATGAATCAAAAATATCTACAAATAAATCCATTCCAAATTGCACAAAGATCGGAACTGGAAACCAAAAAAACTAATCATAATGCTATTTACATTATAAGGACAATAAATAGCTAAGAGAGTTTTGGAAGCGAAATTAAAATTGTAATTTAAGGTTTTCAAAAGCTTTAATAACAAACCTTTCTCTCCAACTGGACCGGTAAAACCGACAATTCCTTGTAAACCAGGGAAACCGGGCAATCCTTTATCACCCTTGGCACCCTTTGCTCCTGGTGTTCCTGGTGTACCATCTTTACCAGGTTCTCCATCTCTACCTGGTCTACCAGGAGTTCCAGGAGGACCAATATCTCCTTTAGGTCCAACTGGCATATCAGCAAGCTCCAGTTTACGAGGTTCTCCTTTGTCACCTAAATGGTACATAAAATTTCTTTAATTTTGGTAATCGGAATAATAATTGCAGCTTTCAACCCTAATCTATTGGTCAACATGGTTCGATCCATTCATTAACCCAAACTCACCTTTTTCTCCATCTCTTCCTGGCATACCAGATTCTCCATTAGCACCAGGAGGTCCAGGGATACCTATTGGACCAGGTTCTCCAGGTATTCCCATTTCACCCATTTTACCCTCATTTCCATCTCGTCCAGGAATACCAGGATCACCAGCCGGACCAAGCTCTCCCTTTTGACCCTTTGTACCTTTGAAAGACAACATCCAGTGTGATAAGTTTGTGAATCAACAATTTCGTCTGAGTAAACTTACCTGGATAACAAGTTGGACACAATTTTCCTGAATCTCCTTTGTCACCTTTAAGACAAAAAAATAAACTCGTTCAATTTTATTCATTCATTAATTTGATTTGATTTTTAGCATTGATTTGTCTCATTTCAAACACAGCAACTTTATTGTATTATAAGTTTGAAAAGTTGGAGTGAAACAAGTTAATGGAAATGAAATAAACATGCAAACGATAGACTGATCGAATATCAATACTCACCCTTGTCTCCATCCCGTCCTGGGTTTCCAGGCATTCCTGGGTAACCTCGGTCACCTTTAGGTCCCTGATCTCCTGGTGGACCAGAGATACCTAATAAAGCATCTCCTGGTATTCCTCTTTCACCCTTTGATCCTTTGTCTCCTTTGACTCCAGGGACACCAGGAGATCCATCGGTACCATCACGTCCTGGTGGACCAATAATCGATCTTCCTGCATGTCCTTTCGGTCCAGGTTCACCCTTCTGTCCTTGTGGACCTTGAGCTCCTGAATCACCTTTTTTACCCGGAGTACCATCCATTCCTTGATTACCTTTCTGTCCTTTAGCACCAGGAGTACCGTGTAAACCTGAAGGACCTGGTGCACCAGGTCCACCCATTGGACCAGGCGAACCTTTGGGACCTAATTGTCCACGCGGGCCATCCAATCCTGGTGATCCAGGAGGTCCTCGTGGTCCTGGTGGACCTTGATCTCCGACTGGACCCGCTCTTCCTTCAATACCACCAGGAGCACCAGGAGCACCAACTGCTCCAGGTAGTCCAGGAAAACCTTTATCTCCCTTTATTCCTCTTGGTCCAGGTAATCCTTCTAAGCCAGGCAGTCCCGCAACACCCATATCACCTAATTTAGTACAATTAAATAATCGAATCAATTAATTGAATCAATAAGTGAAAGCGTTCGAAAAATTGGCATAAATTGATCTACGAAATAAAGATCACTGATTTTGATTATTTCGAGTAGATCTTAAACGATTGTGAGCTAATCTCAATTGAATATTTTGTTTTTAAACTCATTTCAGTTTACCTTTGTGACCAGGAGCTCCAATTTGACCTGGGTAACCAACTTTTCCTGGTGGCCCTTGTGGACCAATCGAACCTTTATCTCCTTTTTCACCCACTAAACCATTGAAACCTGGAGCTCCGGGTAAACCTTCAGGTCCAATGTCACCCTTGTCACCAGTTTCGCCCTGTTATTCAACACCAATCAGAAGTCAAAGTTGTACTTGGTTAAAATTTCAAAATTGTGTTTCAAGTAAATAATTTTACAGCTTTCCAAATTACCAATTCAATTACGAGAAATGATATTTACTTTATTGATATTTTTAAATATAAATTCACTGAGAAACTGTAAAATTATCAACTCCAAACAACAAACAGAACTAAACAAACCTTGTTTCCTTTATCTCCTTTTTCACCCTTTGGTCCGATAAATGTGGTCGGAGGACGATCTTGTCCATCATAGCGATCACAGGCAGGTCCAGGCAATCCTTTCTCTCCTTTATCTCCTGGTGGTCCCTTAATTAGACAAGTTTATCATTCATTAATATATCTCAGATATTCATTCAAGGCAATTTATTCACAGCTATTCAAACAATATTTCAATGTAATCGGTTAAAAATGAAAACCAGAAAAGTAAACCAGAAATTTCAAGCTTCTAAACAAAGTTATTATAACTTTCTTCCTTGGAGTTAAAATTTTAATTTTGCTATGAATCCAACAAATATTTCCTGTCATTGATAAAACTAACAATATTCAAGGAATGAAATTTTGGTTAAAATCTAATTTTCTGACAAAACTAATGATTGAAAACAAAATGGGAAATCATCATTTAGAAATCACAATTTACTGTTTTTAAATAATCTTCACCTTCATCTAAATAATTTGTATTTTATGCTTTGATTGTTTTTAGCAATTAGGGCTTGAAAGGCAATTTAAAAATAGTTACCATTGATCCTGTTATGGATATGCCACGTTCACCTTTTGGTCCAGGATAACCTCTATCACCTTTTATTGTACAAATTGGTATTAAATTCAATAGGTTCATTTTTTGGTTCAATATCAAACTAACCTTTATACCCCATTGGACCCATTAAACCCATTTCTCCTTTTGGTCCAGGTCGTCCTTCAGGTCCTTGTCTTCCCTTATCACCTTGTCGTCCATCACGACCAGGTTCACCCTATCAAATAGCAAACAAATTATACGTAAAAATAATCAGTTATAATGGTTATCTATTTGAAAATTTCATTCTGATCAAAGTCAGTCCATTAAACACTGATTTTACAAATGCATCATTTAAAATGTTTTGTTAAGTGTTTTGTCAATAAACTTACTTTTATACCTTTAGTACCAGGAACACCGTAAGCAGGTTCACCTTTCGGTCCAGTATCTCCGGCTGGACCAGGCATACCTTTTGGCCCTGGTAACCCAATGTCACCAGCAGGACCCATACTACCATTGGTACCATTACATCCAGGAGGTCCTTGTAATCCTTTAGGTCCAGGAAGACCTTGTGATCCCATCAAACCATCGGTTCCAGGAAATCCTGGCATTCCGGTTAATCCTGGTTCACCTTTTAGTCCCCTTGTTCCTGCTGGTCCAAGATCACCTTTGTCTCCTTTGTCCCCTTGTGGTCCATAAGATCCTGGATAACCTCTTTCACCCTGTGAACCCTTTTCTCCCTGAGGTCCGGGTACACCCTAAGTGAAACAAGAAAAACAAAATGTTGACTGACGAATCAAAGGGAAATGTTGAATCAACAACTTACTCGAGCTCCTTTTTGTCCTACACATCGGCATTTATCACCTACACACTCGGCACATCGTCCTTTTGTATTGTTATAATTACTATAAGAAGGCAACAATACTTGCTGAAAATATAACCAAATAAAACAAGGAAACATTAATACAGTTGATTGGGATTCGCATTAAAAATGCTCATTTTTAACTTGAAAAATATATTTCGGTTAGTTTATGATAGAGGGATTTATTCAGGTTGAATTTTCATTAATTGAGGTTTTAATTTTGCTCAAAAAACTGCTAATTAATATTAACTAGACCCTGCAAAAATATCAATTTCATTGAATGCGAATCAAAATATTTTTTTGCCCATTTCTTAGCCAACTTCATCAATCCAAAAAAGCATTTTCATCTTGCTTAAAAAATTTTGATAGAAACTCTTTTGAACATTTTATTTTAGCTTCTGAAATTACTGAAAAGGCAAAACTAAATTCAGTTTTTGCAGCAAATTTAAGATGATTTTATCAATTAACAGTCTTGCATCCATCGTAGACTAAGATCGATGGTTTAACTTAAATGGTTTAAATTAACTTAAATTTTGCTTGTTTACAAACTGAAATTAAACACACTAATGGCTAATGACTAACTAGCTAGTAATGGTAAATTAATTTAGCTGTTTAAGGATTTTAAGAGTTGATAGATTTATGAAACCTGAATATGACCAATTGACTCTAGTTATTGATAAATTATAGTTGGGATCATGTTGAATTGCTGATTCTTTGAATGAATTTTACAAACTATGATTATGAACTAAAAAGCATGATTAATGTGAATGTCTTTTACAATTCTAACAATTTATCTTGGAGTTATACCAATGAAGTCCACAAACAGTTTGTAATCATTTGCATTTCAATTTTTTGGTTACAATTAAAAATTAGAATCCTTCAAATTTGTATAAAAGTGTATATTTATTTGTAATAATTAATAACAAATATTATTTATTTTATGCTTAGTTTTAAGTCTAAAGTGTATTTAATAACTTCAATAGAAACAAATTTCGAGAGATTTAACGATCATTCAATTCAGCCATTAAGGTTGTTCAATATTAACAATCAACCAAATATTGGCGACTTGCAGTTTCTCAGGAAATTTCATGATTTCTGGTTGATCTCGTTTTTGCAAGCGATTGTGACTTGAGAAGAGTTATTTAGTTATATTGAAATGCAACTAATTATTGAGTGGAACCAGAATTTATGGTGAACATTCTGATGATGTTGAAAAAGTTGAAAATTCTGAGTGTTTGCGGAAGTTCAATTTAACTCCAGAACGAGACTGGGTTGGAGCCAAATCAGTCTTTTCTGGTTAACTATCAATGTAAACAGTTGAGCAAACGAATCCAAATAAACTTTAATTGCTGAAGGTGATAAATTTGGATTAGCAGAAAAAATCAGCAGCAAAATGATGAGCAATTATCAACAAGTTTCAAATGAAAATCAATAATTCCAACAGAATGATCCTTCGAAAGCAACTCTTTCAATAGTTAAGATTTTTTGGCAATCACAACCATTTAATATGGTTAGATTGTAATCTTAATAGGATAATTAATCATGGTATACAATTGTTTAATTAACTGTAGCAACAAGAGTGATTAAGATGAGTTGAAACTGGTTAAACCCTAACCTTTCAAGGTAAAGGTTGGTCTAGTCTTTTTACCATTTACTGTTCATTGTTAATTGTATTTTAATGTAGATTAATGAAACATGTTTTTGGGTTTTGGGTTAACTTAAAAGCAAAGATCTTAACAAATTTGTATTTTAATGTTGCTTGGGTTCATCAGACTGTCAACATTGTTCAAAGTATCACAATTTTGTTGGTGTTAACAATTTGTGATCCTTTTTGTTGATCATAATTATCATTATGTTAAACTGTCATGCAATTTATAATCAGGATAATCCGCGACAATCTCGTTCTCAGCCTACACTAATAGCAACTTTCCTAGCCTTGACAGCTCGACATCCAGACTAAATTTATCTTTCAATCTTGATGATTTTCATTTGGATCCTCATTGAAACCAGGAAATCAACATTGGATAATCTGTGATATTGAAAAATTGTAGTTCATGAAAACACAATAACCATTAACTGAACAGTTGTTATGCATCTAAATTGGATGTAAAACAGTCTATTGGGTTAACCTGGTTAAACCAATTGAAAGACATAATTAGATTTGTGTAAATAATTAAAGGGTAAACAAAAAGAGAGGCTTCCATTGAATATAAACACCAGCTCAAAAATAATGGCTTTAGTATTCATGTTAACTCTCTATCAAAAGTTTGATAATTTACAGCTTCGTTATCATCAATTATTTCATATTTAGTTCTATTTCTTCCTGAATCTACGTCAGATTGTAATAACCCTTTTCCTAATCAATATCACAGATTTTAGTTGCTCCGTGTTATACTCTTTGCAGTAATTAAAAGTGGAAGATGGAGAGAAGAGAAAGGATGATCAATGGAAACAGATCAACTGTAAAAGCCATTTAAAAACACTGTTAGACGAAATTCTCGAAAAATTAGCTGAAAAGATTGAATGAAAAGAGGAAAAGAGTGAGACTGAGTAAAATGAAGAGTGGGTCTAAATATAGTCCAGATCGTATGCTATTCGGTAAAAATAATCAAACTTTGGGAGTTGCTATGAATATGATGATGAAGATAACTTGGTGTTAAGCAGCAAATGTAAGGGAACAAGGAAGATCTCCATTCTCATCATCATCACCATCGAGCTCGACTCTTTTTTGCTTTGCCTTCATCTGTTTACTTGTTGAAACTAAAACACATATCTTTTCTTGGAAGCAAATCAAAATAAACAGCAAAATGCAAAATACAAAAAAAAAGGAGAAGACGATGATAAATAAGGAAGATGTAAAGGCAAGCCGAGAATCATCTCTGCCTAGGAATATGTTGAAAATAATTTTTTAAGGCAAAAGGACCACTGGAAGAGGCTAATGATGGTACTTCACCATTTTTATGTTTGTCTTCACTGAAATGAGGACAAAAGACAAAAGAGAGAAGAGGAAGTCCAAGTATAAGATGTTAGATGATAAATTAGCTTTCTCATCTTCATTAGCTTAACCCTTAGCAACCTTAAGACCTAAAGGTTAAATTTTCCAAATGTAGGTCTAGTCCATTCCATTCTTGGTTGCTGGCCTCAAATATCAATCTTTTGACTGCATTAACAAGATCAGTTTACGTTTCCTCTTCTGGATGAATCCTTACTGGTAATGATTGTCAATTGGCATTGTGAATGTCATAATCCATGTACATTACTTGACCAAAATCATGATTAGTATCAATATAAAATTAACTTGATAGATTCCTAATCTCATCTGGGTTTAATCAACATCACTATTGACTTTCCTGGTATCTAATTCAGCTCATCCTGGAACTATTCTCGAAACACTAGAGCAAATAAGGTCTTCTTTAGTGTCAACAGCTATTTCATTACCTAAAGATGATTACTGACTTTTAACTCCTAAAAGATTATTATAAGCCGGTGAAATATAATTCCAATAGTTATCTGGTCACCACTGATTGCATGAATCAAATTTCAATCATTCGTATTTCTCTAAAAAATACAGTTAAATCTGGTCCGAACATGCAAAAAGACAGCAAGTAAACAATAAAATAGCCATAATCTTCTATCGGTCAATGGTCCTTCAATGGAAATTATTGAGCTTGTTGAATGTAACCTTTTTCACCTTTTGACAGATTAACTCGAAATAAAACACGAAAAAACATACAAAATAATGATAAAATCAACAGGAAGGTCAGCATCAATAAATTACTTGAGCGGTTCTTTTTGTATACTGTTGGTTGTTATGGTAAAGCAAATCTCTAAGGAGCTTTGCTTATCTTTCGCACTAATTTAGAGGTTAATTTGAATGTAAAATAAAAACAAATATTGCTAGGAAATTTGAACGAAGAAAAGGCCCAAAAAGCAATATTGTCTTCATTTATCTTTCCTCACATCCTTTTCAATCTTCCGATCTTCACCATAAAGTCAGCTACACATGTAAATTATAATGAAATTAGCAGCAATATGAGCATTCTTAACTAACATTCGTAAAACATTAACATTCTTGTTTACATTACATTTTCGCAAATCCTCACTTTAAAGAGACTTCAAGTAATTCAATAGATTAATTTAGAAGCAAATTGATCCTTCTGTTTACTCAATCATACATTAATTGTTAACAAATGTTTCTAGGTTAAGAATCAATCGGAAAATTCAACCCAAAAAGATAATTGTCAATGCAAACGATTGAAAAAGCATCCAAATGCAGTTAAATGTTGAACATTTATTCTGGGATTCAAGGAAGGCAAATATTTCAAATCTGAGTCAAACCTTAATCTAAATTTGATTTGTTGATTGTCAATGAAATTACTGTAAATTGTATTTCAGCTTTGGATTAGTAGATTTGATCATAAGCAAAGGTAATTGATAAACTTACCGAGTATACAAGAGTTATTACACATGATAATATAAACAATTTTAATTGCAGCATTTGCAATGATTTTAATTGGGTGTTAACTGGTTCCAGTTATGGTAACACCGCAATTCCTAATTAAGTGAACAATTTTGTTGCTTGATACTTGGATGGATGAAAGTTGAAATGTATAATCAACTGATTGGAGTGAAATAACTCAATGATTAACAACAATAGCAATTTGTATAGATGAATTGTGCAAATAACGGAAAACCAAATAAAATTAAGTTTGATTGGAAAATAAAATAAAACAAAAAACACAGCAATAAATGATAATTGTGAATATAATTTTATAATAATATTAATAATAAAAGTTGTAAAAAGGTTGACTAATGGACAACAACGAGTAAAATTGTTGCCCACAAAAACTAGAACAATTGATTAACTAGATGAATGTTAAATTGTTGATATTAATTTCATTGCAAGACAATTACATAACAATCGAGTGATGATCATTCTCAATCAATTTTACGTGATTTATCCAAATGTTTGACATAAGGAAGATTAAAAAAAAAAGGTAAAACGCAAAATGAATGTAACTAGTTAATCGTGCAACAAGCACCAAAATAATCAAATAATCCTAAGGAATTAACAATATCTGTGAACTTTTTTTGGTCCAAGAAGACAGAGTTGAATAGACAGAGAAGATGAAATGAAAGAGAGTCTGGGAAGGAAGAGGATGATGATGAAGATGGTAAGATGAAGCTAAGCTGCGAATGGGTTTGTCAAGTTTGTATTTTTTTCCCAATCATTTTCATCTTCTCTTTGAAAAGGAGGAGGAAAATGTAAAGAAAGGGAAATCTTTGTGGCTAAGATGAAGATAAAGACGATGAAGATGAGTTTTTCAGTCGCAATCTGAATCATTTTTGTATTCCCACCCACATACCAATGTAATGTTTCAATTATTTGCAAGCAATTAAAGTTGATCTGAAGCATCTTATCACAATTTCACGATATTATTGAATTCACTTTTAGATTGTGTATCATTTCAGGCTTAAGCTAATTCCTGTGAAATAACATTTTAATGTTACAATCGTTAGTGATCTCAATTGGCGTCAGGCCAGATCTTGTAACAATCATTTGTATAACAATTAGCTTTAACAACACTGTAAACCTAGGATAAGATCTGGAAGGATTTGACCATAAAGTGTAACTATCCAACATTAAAGGTTTAAGTGTAAATTTGATTCCAGTCATTCATCTCAATGGTTACAATTGGATAGATAATCTTGATTCCAGCGAGTCGCGATAATCAGGAGCTTGTTGAGGGTTGATCAGGTTTATGCGAATTAATTTGATCGTTGAGCAACCACCAGACACGGTCCTTGAAAACAGGCTCAATAATTGGAATTCTATTGAAAAAAATGAGAAAATGTGAAATCAATTTGGCTTGAAACATAAACATAAATATAAATATATTTTTAGCTTAAAAAGAAGTTTCCTTCGAACATTTCTTTTCTTTCAGCATTTTGCTTTCTTTTTCATTTCTTCTTTATCTTCTTGCACTTTACTTTTTTTCCCTTCATTTTAACTTTCAACTTATTCCAGTTGTTTGGTGGTTTGCTGAACCATCGTTTCCATGATTATCAGTATCATGTAGTTGTTGGCATCGACCAGGAAAAGGAAAAACATGCTAGAAATGAATTTCTATCCAAACAAACTATAATTTTAATCATGAATTTCCTGTTCTGTTAGTTCTAGACCGTTAACAAGATATAAATTTTTCACTCATTTAACATGCTATACTTTCATTCAAGTGTTATTTTAAGTTGGTTAGTTTTATGACTTTTTTTGCAACCGACCTTATGAATCAAGCATTTCATTAGTTTCCAACGATTTACTCGATAAACTTATCAACATTATAAACAATGACTATTAATCAAGATGGCAGTTCCACGAGTTATCCAATCATCCTGAGTATTTGCTTTACAAGGAACATCAAACCAAGTAATCAAAATCTCTCTCGATTTTGATCCATAAACAGGTAAAACTACATATTCAGTTTCATATTCAAACGTTAAGGCCTAGAATGGAAATAAAGAAATATTAGATTATTTAATAATTCAAAAATCAATGAATGGTTACCTTTGGAGTAAGATGAAGTTGCATTGGAGGCAACTCTGATTGAAGATCAGAATTAATATTGCAGTCTCTTAAATAACCATTTTCAAACAAAGCTCCTTCCAAGAGTAAACCTTCAATTGTTATAGTAAATGATTCTTTCGGGTTTAACCGATTATTTGTGACTCCAGGCCAAGAGCAAAATGTTTTAATGTTATCTATTGTTGTATCCATTAATCGGGAGGCTTTTTGATGAATGGCGTTGATAAAAGCCATTGGATGCAAAAATGAGCCGAGATTAAAGCTTGGCGAATCATTATGACCATGAGAATAGTTTATCAATGAATTAGTTATGTAATTCAATCCTTGAATAAATTTATCGACTTCATTTGAACCAGTTGGCCATTGGATCAACCAATTGTCAGGAGTTTCCCCACGAATTGTTGAGAGATAAGCTTCAGAATCAACTTCACTTAGGTTAACCAAAATTGTTTGTATCAGCTGTTTAAGGTGTAATTTTTCAGATTCAAAAAAGCGAATTAATGAATCTTCTTTGATTGATGAACGACGGCGATTCCGATTATTGAATTGATTGTCAATAATGTCTGCTAAATTTTGAGCCATATCTAGCAACTTGTTAATTGATTCAGCTGTTGAAAAGGCTTTGTCAGACTTTACTTTACTGGTTGATTCCAAAATTTTCAAACCCTTTTCCACGGTTTCTTCAAACATTGAGACTTTCCAACGGTTAACATTTGGTGCTAATCCAAGAAGATTAAAGTCACTCTTTTCGTCAAGAGATGAACGGTTAATTTTATCTGATGAGTTGAACCATTTACGTAACAAAGCTGACAGTATTTCAAAATCCATTTGAGTATCCAAACGAGCGCCATAAAGTACACTTGACATTATTCCCCGTATATATTGTAATTGCAGACTTCTATCTTTCCGTGTTTTTACTGTATCTATGATATTAGTTGCTGTTCGATAATCATTAAACCCGAAATCGTAAAATTTAGTCCAACCAATAGGAACATAATTGCATCTTTCACAAACAATGCTATGGAAATAGGTTAAGCGGGAAACTTGTTGCAGGCGGCCATTCATTGTATTGGATCCAATTTCTGACTCTAAATTATCGATCGAGTCTCTTAGGCCAGGAGATGACAGGTAAACAAATTTGATACACAGCTCAAGAAGAGAAACGGGAATTCGGTCGTGAATTTGGGTAACAAGAACGATAAATGATCCAGGTTGATCATCATTAGCTTTACGAGATGACAAAAGGCGAGATAATGTGGGTAACCAATCCAGAACAACATGAAGATTTGACAAACAGATGAATGATGTCAAAGAACTTGATGAAGATGAGGAAGATTGAACCTGACGATTGTCACTAATTAAGAGTTTTTCAACTGTTGGAATAACATCAGGCCCCATTGAGTAGAAACTTTGTTTACCAGCTGATTGTTCATTTATTAAGGATTCACGAATCTCTCCGCTTGGGTCAGTCCCTTTTGAGGTAATTATCAATACTATTCGGCAATCAGTTGTAGATAAACATTGTTTTAAAAAATTACGTAAATTAGGATTAACATTTTCATCAAGATGACGAGAAATTGGTATTGTTGATTCAAGATATCGACGAAAGATGGCCTTGTCTTGGGGAAATAAAGCTTGACCAATGTAACTGTAAACAGATGATAATAATTTTTCGTCTGTAATGTTTTTAGTTGAAATTAATGTTCTAGAGTAAAGTGATTCATATTCATTAATTCCAAATGAATAAATTGGGTGTAAATTGGATAAATCTCTGATTGAGTGGAACAACAGTGATCCCATCGATGCCAATGGTTGATATTGTTGGCGCTCTTTGTCTATGTCTATGGTTAAATTATTTGATTCAACCAACGATGCTTCAATGTCTTTGGCAGATGCTTTTATTGCCTTCAAGCTTGCCACTAATTCACGGTCATCCAAAATGTTACCAGTTGATGAGTTAAGAGTAATCAGCAATTGATCTTCTAAACCTTTCAATTTACCTAACAGTTCACGTGAAGTATGATCAGCTGCCAGCTTTTTTTCCTCCAATTCAGGTCTTCGGATGGTTATTGTTAATCGCAGTAAATTGGCCTCTGTGGTATCACTACTAGGAGACATGTTGATTAGATTAACCAGGGACCAAGAAGTGAAATCATTTGGATTGTTGTGATCAATTGAGTTGGTCAGAAGGTAACATCGAAAATTACCATTGTAATCAACCCTTTTGTCACCCAGATATGTGTAACAACGAGAACCTTCAACCCCATAAATATCAAATCTTAATAAGGATATTAAACCAACTGATGGACCAGAGATGGATTCAAGAACAATTGTTTTGCCAAATCGAAGTGCTAACTCGACCAATCTAAGCCAATCACTTCTAGATGTGTCAATTATTTCGACTGCTTTGCCAATTGCGGATAAACATTTACGAGATGGGTCAATAAGAACAGGAGTTAACAAGAATGTTTGGAAAGCGTAAAAGACTTCATTATCGTGTTTAACATCAGCAAAATCACAAATGGAAAAGGTTTCAATACCAAGACTCGAGCAAAGAGTTTTTAGAATCGATTTTTTGACACTTGTTGATTCTTGACGTCCAGTGAAATGAATATAAGCTGAAACTATCAAACATTTCAATGGCAACGTTTCAAATGATACATTGATGTCACTCAGTTGTTTCTTCCATCTTTCATATTCTGAACTCAATTCTCCAATAAGTTCTTTGCTTGCAGATAGAATGGCGTTGGTTTTGTTCAACCCAACTTCAATTTGAGCTGCTTCAATAGTTACCTGGTTCAATTTATCTCTCAGAGATCCAACTTCGCGTTCAACTCCATTCAACTCTGATGCCAAGGCTTTCATACGGTTTTGAGCTGACCTTAGATTCGATTGAAGTCGAGCTTGTTCATCTTCCAATGGTTTTATTTTATGGAGTACCTTTGAATAAGCTAGGTTAGCTTTAACCCAATTCGCTAAAGGAGCAGCAGCTATTGAAGCTCGCTTTGCTTGTCTCTCATCAAAGCTGTCTGGTTTATTTGCCAATGAACTTTCAACCCGAGCTCGTATTTCTGGTGTTATTTTTCTTGCATCGAAGTTAATTATTTCATCTTTAACACCGCGACGAGAAAGAAACGATTTCATTGAAACCCATGAAGTATCTGAAACTCCCATTAATCGAAGGACACCTTCTAATATATCACGAATCACTTCAGGAGGAGCTCTAAGAGATCTGATTTCCGACAACGACTCAGATTTTATTCCACCAACAGCAGCTTTCGCCGATTGAAGAATAGGCTCGATTTCTTTCAATTCAATTTCAATTTCTCCCTTTCTCTTGGTTAATGTCATAGATTCACGCTCAGTTTGCTGTTTTATTTGTTCCAGTTCAACCTTTTGTCCTTCAGAATCATGCATAGATTCGGTAATCATGTTCAGTGCTGCATCAGCTTCAGACCTTTTGGATGCTAAAATTGCTTGTTGGTTTGCTGCTTCTTCTTGAAGTTTGGCCACTTCTGTAGACGCTTCTTCCAACTTCCCTAAACCTTTCTCAAGCCTTTCTTTTTGATTATTTAACTGGGAAACTTTGTGATCTCGTATAACCTCAAAGGTTAATATAAATGAAATATAACGTCGACAATCACCTTTAACTTCTGGAGAAAGGTTCCAAAGTTGAACAAATTGGTTACAAATTGTCTCTGTGTTACCTAAATCAGACAAAATGTATTTTGGTAAATCAAATAAACTTGATTCAGACCAGGGACGCACTGGATATATAGAGTAGCAAGCTCGTGACCAGATACGATCAATTGGTGATGCTAAATTGTTCATCGTCAAGATAACTCGCACAATCAACGATCCTGAATAGGTTAATAAAGTATCTGAAAGTTTCTCGCATAACAATGAAAATAAAGAGAAATGCATTTGATCAACCAAGATAACGATTCGTTCGCCTTTACCACTTTCTACCTCAGAATCTAAAGTCGATTTAAAGTCAGCCATCAGTTGCTTCTCAGATGAAAATTTCGGACTCCACACTGTTTCATAACCATACAAATTGGCCATTATTTTACAAGATAATTTACGACATGAGCCAGATGGTCCTAATAAAACCAGCCCCTTAATTCCAACAGTTGAATCACCCAAGAACACTGATACTTGAGAAAAAAGATCAAGAACTTCAGGAATCAGAGCTAATCGGGGTAATTTAGCCTCACTTATTGAAACATATGAATTGAATGATTTATCAATCAAATCTGCAAATGATTGTGATTCAACTAATGATGTATTGGCACCAAAATATGAACAAAACGGATACTTGATTATTGATGAATTATTTGTACCAAAGATGGAATCACAATTGGATTCTAAAGCATTTAAAAAGTTGACCGGAACATAGTTAACCAAAGACCTAAGAGACTCTTTTTTCAAAACATCATTCGTTATCGTTTCATATGAATTGATTGAATTGATTGCTCTTGTTGCCGCTGAAAGAATTGGGATTGTTTTGGAATCAATCAAATTTGCTGCCTTGGAACAAAGTTGATTAAAGCCCGAAGAGAATGATGAAGCCCAAGTTATCTGTGAACCAATCTTGGACTGGATGACTGATTCAATTTCATGGGAAGACAATTGAGATAAATGGACACAATTAACTACGGACAAAAATCTATTATCTACATATTTTGTGTCATTAATGGTTGCTATAAGTTGAAAATCTTCCAACACCATCCAATCTTTTGTGTCGGGATCGTGAAAACCTTTATAAGTTATAAGAGTAATTAAAAATGTAACCAAAGTCACACAATTCCAGGAATCAGCTTGAATCAGTTCAAGATTTCGCATATAAATGACAATTAGCCCGCCATCTTTTGGTTTGAGAAGCTTTCTGTTTCCAGTGCCTGGTGATTGAGTCTCATGGCAAATCTCTTTTATCAATTCTATCAATCTTATCGGTGAACTTGTTGGTACACAATTGATATTGATCCAAGATGTTGTTGATTTTAAAACAATTTCATGGACAATCAAATTCTTGCCCATCCCTTTTGATCCAATCAATAACATGTGTTGTCGAGTCTCATTTAAGATCTTGATCAAATCAATTGTTGAAATCAATGAAGAGGTAACAATCAAGCTACCCGAAGTGTAATCAGGTTTAACAATTGCCACTGTTTCGCTTTTGAGAAAATTAAGAGCCTCGTATGGAGAAAGTGATCTGTTAGCCGAATGCTTCAACAATTGACATGCTGTAAGGACTTGAGAAAACGCTTGATCACTCGATTCATCCAAAATACTGATAACCTCATCCACTGTAATTGACAATCCCAATGACATAATTGTTGATTGTATAAACAAGCTGGAAACACTAAAATTAAGGGAAATAATTCCAACACGAGAAATTGTTGCTGGAGACGCGTATTGAAGAGAAGTCGTTTCAAATATTAATGAAACCTTATTCGGATCAAAATCGATACGTTCTCCTGAAGGCAAAGTTAGTACATGGTTATCGTCAAGAACCGAATTCAAAGCTTCCACCCAATCAGGATCAATTTCACCATCAAAAATTAACCAGAAACGATAAGGTCCTTCATCGCGGGCAATTGTGCGAGTTAATTTGGTCAACACTCCATCTTGCCATTCTCTAGTTTCTTCATCAATATACCCCAACAATTGTACTCTAGTCATTGATTTAGGATTAATTACAACTGGGACTACATTAATTGATTCTGCTTTTCGTTTGTAGATCATTAAAACTCTCCAAATTGCTGATTTACCAACGCCAGATGGACCAAGAATGACAACACCTAAACGCGAGTTCAACTGCTCATCAAGCACATTGATTCCTTCAATTTGTTTCTCATCAAATGTCAACCCCAATTCATTATAAATTTGTTTCAATACATCAACATCTAGATTCGAGGTTAATTTCAAGTTATTCAGCTCAGCATCTTTCAAACCAAAAACATCGGATACTAAATCGGTAAAACGGTGTTGATCTTCATCTACTAATTTTGATCTAACTTGCCTTCCTAAAGATTGAATCACTGTTGAGAGTTCTTTCTTGTTATAATCACTTGATTGTGACGATCTCAATAAACGGCCACAGGAGGATAGACATGATTTAATAGCTCTCAACCCCCAATCGTAATGTTTTTGGTAAGACATCGAATCTTTTGCTAAATTGAACCAAGCAGTCACCTTTTGGCCCAATGGTTCAGATTCGGATAAACTAAATCCTTCAGAAAGCAATAAAACTCTGGCAATTAAAGCAGAATCAGGAACTGTCATAGCAACTGGAAGAAACAACGCCTTAAGATTATCTGGTAGCTCATTCCGTCCTTTGTATTGTTTACCAGCTGGATTAAGAGTGACAAATATTCCTGAGTTTCGATTGAATTTAACTTCACATTGGTTTGGTCCATTCAAGTGAATCAAATCTGATGTACTTTTGAATCCAACTTGAATTGAATGGATAAGAGTTGATAAAGATGACAATACTTCGATTTGTAAACGGTTAAACTCGTCAAAACAACCCCAAGAACCACACTTGATTAAACCAATCAAAATGCGAGTCATAGCTTTAACATCAATTGCTTCATCACAATTAAACACTAATACTTGTCTTCCAAGCTGATGTCCTAAAGCTTTTACAGTTTCAGTCTTTCCAGTCCCAGCTGGACCATAAGGATTGCCGCCAAGTCCCATCGATAAAGCTATCAAAAAACGAAATAAATATTCAATGTTATTGTTGAAAATATTATAATTTTTATATGCAATAAAAAACGTTTCAAAAACACTGATCTAAAATAGTTTGTCATTTAATCATTAATTACTAATAAACATGGGTTAATTTTTAAACAGTATTTATCTTTTTAGTTAAGCTAAATATGATAATATCGAGGATCGCAAAATGCACTGTTGATTTTGTAATGAATTCATTGATTTATGCAAGAAATGTAAAGTTTATTGCAAGAAAGTTTAATATCACTCATTTAGCTTCAAGCATACATTCATTAAACACAAGCTAGTTGAATTGACCTAAAAATTTTCCCTCAAAATGCTTTCGAACAGGTTACAATTATTTGATGAGCGAAATTGATCTGAAAAATGATAAAAATCCGAGAACACAACAAATTTTTATGGTTGTTACTATTTAAAAGACACAATTGTCACATTTAGCACAAATTGAAACAAATTAACACAGAAATGGGCAAATACGGGAGGAAATTAATTTCTTTCAATTTAAACTCTGCTGGTTTGTAGAGACATAAAACCTGAGTCCCTTCGTACCATTTCAAATTTTCTCGGATCGACAGTTTTCGAAAAAATCGAGATCAAAATTAAAACTTCGATCGGCTTTTGTACAGTTATGGATGCAGATTTTCGCATGAAACTTATTAATTTGATGTAGCTTTTGGTTTGCAATCAGAAAATGTACTTATTTTGAGGAACAAAATTTTCCGTTTTCTGAAAAAACGATAAGTTCGATTTTCATTTAAAACGATTTTTTTTGTGACCGAAATAGTTAGAGAGCTTAAACTTCTTATCCGTCCATGAAAATTGTTGGATCAACTCATGGACCGAATAATCTGTCCAACTTATCGACAGTTCTCTTGATTTTGACCATTAGTCTCAAAACTTTGAGCTTCGATATTTCGAGAATAGTGGCACCTAAAGGCATCATTCTTTGACTAATTTAATCTTTTACTAATATATAATTCAATTCAATTTACCAACTTTCAATTAGCGCGTTTGGGTCATGATATTTGGGCTGCAAATGGACGAGAAACAGCTTATTCAACAAAACAAACTCATCTAAACCCATTTCTTGGTTAATAAACCAACTTTCTGGTTAAACTTGCAACTGCAATGCAAAGATCACTGCCAAAGGCTCGAACATTTGAGCTAATAGTTTAGACTCGGTAGGTTTGTAGGGACATGAAACCTGAATCCTTTTGTCTGATTCAAAGGCTTCTCCAATCAACAGTTCTCGAAAAAATCGAGGTTAAAGTTTGAACTTTGGTCGTCTTTTGTACAGTTATGGAATTAGATTTATTCATGAAACTCATGGCGCTAATAAAGCGTTTGATTGTAAATCAGAAATATACTTATTTCGGTAAATAAAACTTTGCGTTTTCTGTAAAAACGATAAGTTCGATTTTCATTTGAAGCGACTTATTCCGATGGCCAAAAGAGTTAGCAAGCTGAAACTTCTCATCTGCACATAAAATTTATTTGTTCACACCAGGAATTAAATACTTTTCTCAATTTATTAATAGTTCTCTTGATTTTGGCCATTGGACTAAAAAACTTTGAACGTCAAAATTTCGAGAATGGCAAAGCCTACAGTCCTCAGACTTTGAATAAACATTAGTTTGCATTATGGGCTAAAAAATGGTGTGACTTGATGCTGAATAAAATCTATACTTATACATTTAATAATGAATATCCTTGTTACACATAAGATTTGTGATTGAACTTTATAAACCAAGTTTAAAATCTGGTAACAAAAGTAATAAAATGCTCTAACTTTTTTTGTGGGAACTTGAATAATTTAATATTTCGCCATATTATAGTCCATAGTAGAATCTAACGTTTAGTCGAAGTCTGATGATTGTAGGTTTTGGCATTATCGAAATAATGAGGTACAAAGTTTTTTAGCCCAATGGCCAAAATCAAGAGAACTATTAATAAATTGAGAAAAGTATTTAATTCCTGGTGTGAACAAATAAATTTTATGTGCAGATGAGAAGTTTCAGCTGGCTAACTCTTTTGGCCATCGGAATAAGTCGCTTCAAATGAAAATCGAACTTATCGTTTTTACAGAAAACGAAAAGTTTTATTTCCCGAAATAAGATCATATTCTGAGTGGGAGTCAGAAGCTTAATCAGCAATATGAGTATAATCAAAAAATTTGCTTCCATAGCGAAGCAAAAGACGGTCAAAGTTTAAACTTTCAACTCGATTTTTTCGAGAACTGTTGATCGGAGAAGCTTTTAAATTGGACAAAAAGATTCAGGTTTTATTCCCCTACAAACCAGGCTAATTTAAATTTTAAGGGCGTCAGTTTTTACTAACTTTTAGCCTATTAATATTTCGGTTTGAGTCAATTTGTGCATAAATCTCACAATTGTGTTATTTGTGTCTTTTTAGTAACTTTAAATTACATCTTTCATGTTTAAGACTACTGGTATAACTTTCTTACCTTGCATTAAAACGAGAAAACATTTGTCCGTTAACGGAGTGTGAACCAATTTAGCCGAACCATAACAACCGATGTAATCAAAGGAATAATTAACTGTTGAAAGTCCCATTGATACTGAAACAAGTTGTCGGTCAACATCAGCATAATAGCGAAGTTGTTTCTTCCACCTCCAATCTTCAACATCGGAAACATTGGCTGCTAGCAGTTGTTCAACTACATCAATAAAGTGAATTATATCGAGAACCATTGATCGAATTTTAATTTTAATAACCAAATCAGTGACTTTAAAACCTTCAGTAATTAAATCAGTCAACTGTCGAGCTAAATCATTATGAAGTATCTTTAAACGACTTCGTCTAATGCAATCTTCTGTTGACGCTGTCCACCGAATCCATTGAAATAAAGAGACTATTTGAGATGGAGCTGACCAAATAAGCTCATCGCTATTATCCTCTTTACCAAGACAGTCAAATAAATCAGTTTTCAGTGATTTAGATACTTCACTCTCCACATTTCGAAGCCAATTTTCAATTTCAATTGAGCCACCATTGAAATTGACTGCAATTGGAGATCGAAGGCGAATCTGTTCACCTTCAGGAGACTCAACAGCAACAGAATTATTTCCATCAAACAAAATCTTGGTAATTGTATTATTAAACAGTTTCTTTAGCAAACCAGATTCAGTTATGGATGTTTTACCAGCCAAGACAAGAAGTAAATCATCATCGGCAAGAAAATAGAATCTAGGAAAACGATTTCTCGACTCTTCCATGAAAAGGTTCAACTTTTTCTGACAAGAGGCCAAATGTTGATCAATGGATGATAACCGTTCAGACAAACCAGAAATCCTCAAAAGTCTAACAACATGACAATCAGTTTCAATTGTTTTCATTATATTGATGAAGTCTCTTGAAGCCAAAGTAAAAGATGAATCGTTGAAAATTTCTGGCCCTTGGTTTCGACTATAGATTGGTTCAAGATAAGTCCATTTACGTTGAACCGTATTCAGAGAGTTAATCAATGAATTAAGACCAGTTAACCGTGTTTCCCACTGAGAACCAGATTCGGTAAATGAATGATCAAAAAAGTCTGATCCTTTGAGTGAGTTTAAGGTTACAATTGATTCCGAAATGGAGTTTAAAATTGATCTCCAATTTTTAATCAAGCTAACCTGTTGACCAGAATCCATTGTGTAACGGGTTAAATCAAATTTGGCTGAAGCAGCTAAAGACTCCAGTTCGGCAAATGTTTGCCTGACAGATTGTTCACCAAGTGCTCGATCATTTAACGCTCTCAATTCATTCTTAATTGTTACAAGAGTTTCTCGTTTATCAAACAAATTTTTCAGCTTTAGAGTCTCAATTGCTCTTGAATCGTAATCTATTAAAGTTAAAAGCTCATCCCAGTGTGATTTAGCAAACACTTCACCTTTAATTAGCTTTAAAATTGCAATAAAGCTTTTCCATTCTTTAACTCGCATTTTAATCACTTCATCAGCTTCTTCGTCATTATTGTTGGCCTGTGATTTATCCCAAGATTCAATGTAATCTTCAAGAAGTGGCACTTTATTACGAACAATTATCCATTCGGTATCCAAGTAAGGCTCCAATCCATCATCAAATTGTTTAGCTTTCAATAGTCTTCTATGGGAATCAATGATCTCAACACGGAAAGAGTTGAACATTTCAATAGCCTCTGGAACTGGAAGATTAAAGTACTTGCAGCCTTCAAGATAATTATCAACATCACTGCCAACCGATTCAAATTGTTGCTTCAACTCTTCAAGTTGTGAAGGATTTGGATAACCTCGAGACTTAATTATTTTCCAGTTTTGGGTTAAACTCTCAAGACTTTTAACCGTTTCACCTGATCTAGTTTCAAGCCGTGATCGAAGTAACTGTTTAAACGAAGCAATAAGCGACTCTCTGTTGTCAACAAGACTTTGAAATCGACCATATTTCTCGTTTAAATCAGCCAAGTTTGGGATTGATTTAGCAGACCATTTGCTTAAGAATTGGCATCTTTCAGACAATTCATTGTAGGTTGAAGTAATTGAAATGATTGTAGAGGATGATGAATCTAACCAGAATGATTCCAACTCAATAACAGCTTTAACCTTATCTGGCGGAGATGTTAATTGGGTTAATAATTGACTCAGTTTATTGTTGAGCTCGGTAGACATGGACTCTGTTTCACGTCGCAATGAGTTGATTAAAAGCCGGTCAATTTCACTGTAAATCCAATCGACAGAGACTTTGATTGGAATCAAGTTAACAGTGATATTACTTGTAGAGCAGGTTAAATCGTTGTCGATAAATTTCTTGTTAAAATCTTTTCCTTTCTGTTTAACCAGCGTTAAATTATTCTGGTAATCTTCCAATGTTACCAATGATAAAACGGTCGACAGCGAAAAGTCATCTGAATGCGATTCTTGGATTACATTGAATAAACATGTCCATTCATTGAATTGTTGACGGATCATAATCAATTCAGATAAAATACGGTCAACATGTTGATAAAGGCAAGACAAATTGTCAATGTTTCGTAAATAGATTGTTGAGAAAATATTTTTCATCGCTTTCCCTCCCTTAGATTGAAACATATCTGGATTGATTGACTCAAGAAAACCTTTAAACTGTGTAAATGTGGTTAAAAACATATTGATCCGATGATACAACTTAAACTGTATCTCTTCAAGTGATGGACGAAATATAATTTGACCATTTTTAAAGGTTAAATCAATTCTTAGTGAAGACACTTCAGTTGAATGATGACCACAGTAGGGATTCGCATTGAATCCAAGCCAATTTGCAGAGGAAATTAGCGCTTTGTTGAAATGGTAATCCAATATTTTGTACAATTGATAGTCCCAATGTTTCTTCCAAGTGTTTGTATTTGAATACAAATTGTCGACTGTAACCATAACCGAGATCATTTCATTCATCAATGGACGCCATTTGTTGAGTGGAAGATCAAACAGTTTAATGATTGACTTGAGCAAAGATCCATGATATCGATGTAAACGTCTATTTTCATCGGCAAATTTACGAGCAAAATCTCTTAATTCACTTAACCAAGCTTCCAGTTGGTTGATGTCACAATCCCAGGTCATTGTGTTGTTTCGAGATTCAAGGAGAGCTGTAAATGATCGAGCAGCGTCAATCAAAATTGGCTGTTGACAGAGTAAAATGGAGTCACCAATGGTACAATAAAAGTTGACTATTTCCTCCAATTGTCTTGCCAAAGATCCATATTTAACCAAATCGCGCTCCTTTTCAACAACATCGTCTGGAAGTTTAAATCCAAGACATCTAAGGGTTCGACATTCACGGGAAAGTGTTACCAGGCGAGGTTGAAATGTTACCAAAGGTACTTGGGATTGTGGATCAATTGTTATACAAGGTTTATGTGAGTCCAAGTCAACTGTAAGCCAACTTGAACACCATTTACGGTACAATGAGTTAACCTGGGAAGTCAATTCTCGGACAATTTGCTCCATATTACGCCTTGCTTCATGATAACTGGTTATATCTTTGAATAGTGGATCACACACTTTAATCACAGCTTTCAATTTACCTTCACGAGCTTTCATCAGGCAAATGTGCTCTATCAAACTTAAATTTGATCCTGTTTCAATTGTTACCGAATTTTCAGCCCAATTGACGACCTTCTCCAACATTTCGATTCGCTCTGTTTTAAGAGCTTCCAACATATCAGATGATTTAACATGGCTTCGAAGTTCACTCAAAATGGATAATACACTGGAATGGGTTCCATCACATCTGTTAACCAATGATTTAAGTCGTTCAAGAGTTCGAAAATCAGCTTCCTAAATTTAAATAAAAAGGCGATTAAATTAAAAATCAACTCTTCAATTTTATCATTAGTTTCTCAATGCTTTCTTCAAACTAAAAATGAATTCTGATCAAACGATCGCTTTTCAATTTGATCCTTCAATTCATAACAACTTAAACAATCCCAATCACGGATTAATAACTATTAAAAACATACAAACCTGATCCATTTTTCACAATTAGTCTATTTTCAATTTAAATATTCCTAAGGTTTATCGATTCACAATTTTAAATGTCTTTTAAATAAATTCAGATCAATTTCAAGTATTGAAAGACAAAGTTGTTAATATTGAATTTAACCTCTTGAATTGTTGATTTTCGGGTAACCAAGTTAATTATTCAATCATTTATTTTCACATTTTCACAAATTAAAATTGACCCGATATTTTGTGCAACATTTATCATTGGCCTTTGTTATGATTACCTTCTTACCTGTAACCATTGGTGATGCTTTGACGGTAAATCCATCAAATTAAAATAGCAACAATTATTATGATATTATATTAATAGACGATTTTGATTATTTGAGGCGATATTTTATGAAATTAAATTCATTGATAAAATGCGCGATTTTATGGCGATAAATTAATGTGAATGTGATAAAATAATTGGACTACTTTGATTTAAGTTTGTTTTTTACATTGTTTTTAATATGAGAATAATAACAATAGATGACAATTGTTGGTGTTTTGATAGTTGATTAACTAATGATATCTACATAGACTTTTCAAGATAATTGTCACGGGACAATTGCAAAGAAGCGAGTTAACAATTAAAGAAAGAAAACAAAATCATGAGTTCGTCTATCTTTTCAATCAATTTTATATATTCTCAGTTTGTTGGTTATTTATTTTTTTGTATTAATTTTAAGTTATCACAATTAATTTAACCTGTAATAAATACTGACAACAAAATAAATTATTAAATCAACAAGAAAAGTGTTGTTTCCAGGTTTCTTGGATAAATCTTCATCTCAAGCGTTTCCGTAAATTGGTTTTTCCAATTGATTTGCTTTTTCCAATATCAGTTGTAATACACAATTTACTCCTTTGTCAACAAAATAAAAATAACAATTGTAACAAGGTAATTGATTAAGCCGTGGAAGTGTCAATTTTGCCTCCTTCTTCGTCCATCAGCATTCAGTCAGTGGCCATTATTTTTACTCTAACGGAATCTTCAACGAATAAATATGTACAGAATTATAAACAGGTAAAAGTGTCTCTTTAAGTTGGATATCTTTTAGTAGTTAAGCGATGGTGTTGAATCAAGATGAAAGAAAGACAATTATTCATTGATTCAAGGCTATATGATGATACTAATTTTCTTGTAATCACATTTTGACAAGATGAAAAGATGAAGATATTAATGGTGAGAAAAGAGGAAATCAAAAGTCTTTGATTCCGTTGTTTTCCTAAAAAAAGTTGATTTAGCAAAGGCCGATTCCGTTCTTGATCTTTGAGCAACTTTATCTGGTATCATAAAAGGATTATTAATAGAAATTGTGACATTTAAAGTGGATTCTTGTTAATAAAGAAGAGGTGATTTCATCTAAAATCAGACTTGATTGGTTATCTATGATGAAGCAGTCATTTGGTGGAGGCAGGCATTCAACAAGTACACGTAAATATGGTTTGTAATGATTGCGATGATCGTCAACAAAAACAACATAATTTTATGCATTTTATGCATAAAAATTTATCCATCACAGTCTGTTTATGTGATAACTCGGGGATGTGGATTGAAACCAGGTGAATGTGCTACAGAATCCAAGATATCAATAGGCAGGTAGACAAATGTATGTCAATAATAACAAAAAGATGCAACATCCAGTGTAATCCAGTGCAGACTTTCATATAACAATCAATTTAACAACTTAGATTGCAACAATTTTAGGAGACTAGCAGGTTAATTAAGGTCTATGGCTTCCATTACGTCGATTGAGTTTATCTTTGTTTAGTTTTTGATTGGTAGTTTTTCAAATTAAAATATTTTGGCTCAAAAATATAAAACAATTAACATTCTTCTTGACCGTAACAGTTTAACGAAATTGAATCCAAACGAGTGATATTGATTCCAATAGATTAGAGGATAAAATTCATTATATAATTGATGATGATGAAGATATCAAATTTGAAAGGTGTTTTAAGTCCGTTTGATGACCAAATCGCAATAAATTGAGAGCTCATTGGTGGGTTAATAAATGGTGAAATCTGGGTGAAAATCTTGCTTATTTTTTCTCAACGTATTCCGTGATTGTCATGAATGATTGATGGCAAAATCTACTATTGTCTTCCATAGTTGCTGATAAAGATGCCAGAAAACGGAGAAATAAAATATATTATCCAATGTATTGACTTGTGTATCATAATCGAGTTAAATTGAAACTTAATCTATTATTGCCATGACCAATGCATTCTCGAGAAGCTTCAAGATCCATGGTTACTAATTTTTCTTTTCTTTGGAAACTTGAATTATATTATATTAAAGAAACTTGTAACTTCTCGAATCCTCCATTGAGATCCATGTTTGTTCCATCCTCAATAGCAATAAAATTGACTATAAACAACTCAAGAAACCAAGATAAATAATATAACTCAACAGTGAATTGCGGTGAATAATGATGCAGCAATGAAATAAACTTGTAAACAATAAAAGGTTTCGAGGTGTTTCATGTTATGGTTGATTCGGTAAGATCAGAGGAAGATAGTCATCAAACGTGAAGGTTGTATATTCACTTATATTGTTCAGATAATTCTCTCTGAATAACATCTTCAGGCCAAAGATTCTCTAGACCAAGACAGGAGAAACCTATACCATCTCTGAACATCCAATATTCATCATTTGACACCCAATTTAATTCATCATCAACAGGCTCTTGTCTGATTGAGAAAAATGAAAAGGGAAAAGAAGGAGAAAAATAAAGGATTAGATATCAGATTAACAATGTTGATAATAATAATGATTAAGCACGCCAAGTATAACTGTTCAGAAAAGTATAAAAGAAAATCATAGTTATTATGGCATGATTATCATGATTACAGAACTTACTTGAACCATCTTGGTTTGTGTGCCTCGCCTTTTTCCTCTCTTTCTTTCCTTCTTTCTCGTTGAAGTTGCTCCAAAACCATTTTTATATTCTCAGCTTTTTGAATTTTACCTTCTTCCAGTAACCTAGAACGTTAAATCAAGAAGATAATATAATTAATAAGGCTTCATATTACATTGAAGAATCAACAATAACTCCAAGATTAAATGAGTATAAGAATGGGTTAACAATTTTACTTTAATGGTTAACAATCATTTTCATTACTTGAAAGATTTGACCTGAAAACAGAGTCACAATTGGAAAGTTTCCCTAACCATGGAAAAAGTCAATTTCATCAATAATGATAATAAAATTACATGTAAATGCAAATATCACAGAAAAGCTTTTGATTCATGCCAAAACCAGTGTCAGAATATATTGATAATAAATAAAATTATTTCTCATTTTCAGTGAAATTTAATCGAAATTTATTGGGCGAGAAAAATAATGTAAATATTAATAAAATTAGATGAAAGGCAAACAGATCATTGAGAAGCTGTAAGAATATTAAATTACATTATTGATCAATCGAGTAGCAAAATTTGAGTCAATTTTTTCGCTTATCTCTTATTGTAGACTTCAATACTGCAAGTCAAACAATGAAAAGCTATAATTTTCAATCCAATGGTGAATTGAATAAAAAATCAAGATTCAATTTTCATTTAATATCAATGATGATATAAATTGCAGCGTCAGGTTGTTTGAAACAATAATCAGAAAGATTGTATTGTAAAATACATAAATGACTCAAAACTGTCATCGTATTGATTGAAATGGTTAAAAGGAAGTGTAGAATTGGTTGAACGTTGAAAGTTCCGGTAAAAATGCAAACCTAACCAACTGTTAATGATATTTGACAAAAAAATCAAGTTGACATTGATGCAATTTTTTTGCTCAAATCATTTTCATTCAAAGTTTTTCCACTCTTTTTCAATGTGACACAGATTTGTACATATTTTTGATTCAACCATCTTTACTGTTAGCTTTGACTATTTAAGATTGTTGAAAGATAATTTAATGAAGTTAAACTTTTTTTTCCTCTCAACGGAAAAGTTAATTGATCACAATTAGTTAAGCTCTCAAGTTTTACAGCTTTTTAGTTTTCCTTTGCTTGACGTCAAATCTTTTTTCCAAAGCAATCTTTTTTTTCTGTAATTCAAACTAACTAATGGAGTGTTTAATTTAAAGAAAAGGAAAGGTGAAAAGCGTACCTTTGATCAGGCCGGAACCTTGTATCAGTAATGGGTAATTTATTAGCCAAATTGGATGTTAACTCATTCAATTCCAATGCGTATCGAGTAAAACCATAATAAAGCTTATAATCGTCAGGCATAGCACCAGGTCTCCATATACATCGAGTTTGCGGTGGGTTTCCAGTGTAAAGTGCTTCAGTCCATTTACCAAAAATGGATTTAATCACTTCACCATTTTTATTGGTGATGGTACCAAAAACTTCGTGACGCTTGTTAGACCAATAACTAGTTTTGGAGAATGTTAATTTACACTTGAGATCACCATTAGTTATAATCATTTCACCATATTGATCTACATAACGTTGACCTTTGAAAATATTGTGAACACAAGTTGTAACTTTATTCCATCTGTAGACGCTTTTGGTACGTTTGAGCAAAACGTTTACATTGCCAAAAGGAATAATTTCCATTGATTTACCCCAAAATTTGGTTTTAATTCGCATTCCTGTGAAATATAAGATCATGCATTTTAGTGAGACAGTTTTTACAGGGTCATTATCAGACATTTAGAGAAAAAGAAAACATTTATAAGAAAACAAACAAGTTACCTTGCCAGAAAACATAATTTTCAGATTCTGCATGACAAGCAGAGATTGGCGGATGATGAGAGACTTGTTCAGCAATGAAGCGAAATCCTTTATCTTCACGAACACATTCATAGGTTTCACCTAGAAGGGGATTAAATGGTTTGTGACCAGCTCGATAAGCAGAACCACTGTAAGCTGACACTGCAAATGCTGCAACATAAAGCATTTGTTCACAAGGATCATCAATGGCTGCAGCTTCATCCAGAAGCTCACTGTATTCCAATTCCTCGCACAGTCTTTGTAAAACATTTAACGGTTCGTTTAAAGTAACAGGCATACTAATTTTAGATAAATCTTTACCAATATTTTTACACAATAAGCTCCATAAACTAATATCGCCAGTTTCTGGCTTTGGACAGGGTAACTTTGATCTTCTACCAGTCACCCCTTGAGAAGTTTGTTTAAACCCGGCCGTTTCTTCTTCACTCAGATCCGTTGTTACACTGCGATCATCTTCTTCATCAGTAGAAGAGGTACACGTTGAGAAGCGTTCAGCAGCATCATAATATTCCGATAAACTTAAAACTGAGCAGCTTTCATACGATTTAGAGTCACCGATAGGCTGATGGACAAGAGTGTTCTCGTCTGCCTCTTCTTCAACGGTTGAACATGAATTCATGATTATATTGAGCTGAGATAATGATGAAATATCTGAATCTGCATGAATTTGAGACAAACGTTGGCGAAGATCTCTATTCTGATCCAAGGCTTTTTGAAGAGACAACTTTAAGTTAGTAATCACAGAAGAAGCTGATGATCCAGATGAGACAGTTGCACCTGAGACAATATTTACACCAGTTGTTCCCGGGTTAACTGAATTTGATGTTTCCTCTGTAACAGTTGTTGGTACAACGATTGAATTTTCACGATTACCTCGCATTTTACGAAGACAAAGTCGCAATTGGTCATGAACTAGAAAAGAGATTAAAAATTTAGCTATGGAACAAGTAAAACTTACAAGAGAATCAGGCTAAACTTACTTTCTTCAGCAAGAGTTATAAATTCCTCATTCAATGCCGTTGAAACATTAGATTTAATTTTGTTGATATTCATAGCTTGGCCATTGTTTGCTCCCCTGATTGCACTAGCAGAAGCTGATTTACCGACTTCTGTTGATGATCTAGTCATGGTTGTTTTCAGACCTTGACTATCGAGATTAGAAGTATTTTCAGATTCATTAAGAGACGGATGCGATGAACTGAGATGGGGAACAGCAATATTTGCAGATGAAGCGGCATCATCGTGAATTTCTGACTCTTCTGACCCAACAACGGGTATCTCAAGATTATTCTTTCTTTTTGTGGCAACCTTTAATTTTGAGGTAACAGAGGAATGATTTTTTTTAGTCCTTCGGAACATAAAATGTCGGTACTTTTTTAAGCTACCAGTGTCAATGTCTGGCATTTGTCGTCTCGTTCCCATGTTAAGCTCTATCTCTTGGAAAACCGATGACAAACGTACTAATCTTCGGTGTAATTCATCTAACACTTGATTAATTTCCTCTTGAGTTCCATTTGAGTCAAGTATCCAATTTGCAACCTTGGAGGTTGTTACATTTGATGTTGATGAATCGCCCATATTCATAAAACTAACTGATGTTTCAATACCAGGCACAGATTTTTTTGGATCATCTTGATACATTATCTGATGCTGACGAAAATGGCGATGTTGACGTAACTGATGTACCCATTGATCAAATGATATCTTATTTTTAACCTTAATATGGTATATACATTCATCTGCATCAATATCTATGCGACGAGAAGAGGCTTTGGTTGAAATCATTGATAGTCCAATATCAATGGATCCATGAGTTTTACCTTTGGTAAAGTCGGTTGGAGTTTTGGCATATTTAAGGATACCTTTATCCAGGTAAAAATATCTTTTATGCCAACCTTTGAGAGGCCATTTACGTCTTTTTAAAAGGAAACCTTCAAAATGACTTGGAACACCTTCATATCGAAGATCACCACGTAATCCTTCCAAAATGACCCAATCACTGTTTCGATGTTTACTACTTCCACTACCACCCCCTCCGCCTCCACCATAGACATGTTGACTTGATTTAGTGGAACGATCTGATTCAGAAAACTCTTTATCCCCAATATCACTTATACCCAATTCAGGTAATCCATTGATTAACATTGTGGTGGTGGAAGAAGACGATGTAAGAAGATTTGACGGACTAGAAAGATGAAAATTCGAAGGTGATCGTCGAGTCTCCGATCTTTGGGATTCTTGTGACAGTGAATAACTACTGTAACATGTTTCCTGAGGATGAAACAAATAATAGATTTTGTTTCGTTACAAAATTGTAAGGGTTGAACAGTTGATAAAAATAATGGATGAGATGAAAACACACAACAGGGTACGAAAAAAACATCAAAGGTCTCTCTCTCTTTTTTATTGGGTAAGAGAGGGAAACTAAAAGGCTATAACAGGTAAAAATGAGTTAGCTGGATAAATAAATATTTCAATACATATTGATCTAACAGGATGGGAAAAATGGAGCTGAACCAAAGCACACAGAAGTGTTTAAAACGAGGGAGATGGAAGGGAGAGAAAGAAAGAAAATTATAAACATTCAATTTAATAGACACACAGCATTAAATGTATCTTACACTTTCGGATATAGAAACAATCTCTTGAGGCAAAGGCTCAGGCAATGAAGAATTGTTATTATTGTTAATATTGTTATTATTTTGGGTATTCAAGTTCCCAGGATCAGTTCCTACCAAACGTAAGGATGACATATTTTTAATTAAAATTACAAAATTGGCAGAAGAGGAAACAGGCGGACTCAGAATGAAAGCAAAATAATAAAGACGATGAAGATGAAGAAAGTGAAGAAAGGTATCCAAGGATTTGCACTGATGATGATGATGATGATGTTTAAACTAAGAAATAACTGACTGATAGAAAGAAGCTTTCTTTATGATGATGCTAGGCTTAGATTACAATAACTAGAAGATTAAATTAATCATGATTTCTTCATGAGAGGGTTTAACGGTTAATCATTCATTTCAAAGTTGAATTTTCATTCATCGATTCAGAGAATGACATTCACAAAAAAAAACAAAACACTCAATCTTTTGAATGTGAAAAAAATTAAGAGATGGCGCTTCAAAAGAAATGCTAATCACCAAAAAAGGTTATTGAATTAATTTTCATCAAAATTGTAATCAAAATAATTAGCTAAAGACATGTAAATCTAACGACAAACAGAGCCATAGCCATGAACCTGATTCTCGGAAAAACATCGTGCTCTATAACTGCCAATTCAAATTGTTTAATCTAATCAGATGTCATTTCTGGTTTCATTGTCACAGCGAACTTTTTGTTTACCTTTATCTTGTTTACTAAAACCTACTTGACTAATCGGCCTATTTCATTGTATTTGGTTCATTCCAATTCTCATCAATAGATAATGATTTAATGGTAAGTAGATGATTAATTCTGTAATTGTTTAATATTAACTCTAAGCTGAACTAATGTTTAATTTTTTTTATATCCACAGTTTGTTATTGCCATTATATTCACTCATCCAATGCTCTTTCCATACAATTTCAATTTATGGCAATTTCATATGGAATTCTTGAGCTATGGTAATTATTGCTAGCATAATCAAGCTTACGTTTATATCTTGGCATCTTTATTAATTAATATCACCTTATGCTCTATGAATTTTCTGTCTTCTTAATTTTGGTCTCTTCTCTGTTTTCCTCAATCCCAGAGATTTGGAGTGTGTCCAGATTAATCTGATGTTGACAATTGACGTAAATTACTTAATAGACAGACGTTCATTTTAAAATCTTCACTCATATGCCAGTTACAGTTAAAGAATCACCAAGTTGAGATAATATTGTTATACCGTTCAGATTGTTTTCAATGGGAATGAAACATTTTCAAATGAGAAACGGTTGCAACTAACCGTCAACCAACAAGTATCTTTATCTGTATAATTATCAATTCATCGTGAATTAATCAAACTAGGCTAAAAATAACGGTTTTACTCGCCATATGAATCAACGGAATTGTTTTAATAGTAATCAATGAAGGTAAATAACAAATCTCAGCTCTAAAGAGATAAGACTAATCCTATAATCCAACCTAAAGTGAAAAGTGTTATTATTTTCACCTGATCCAGTCAATCGCCAATTTAATCTAGTTTTATTAATAGCTATGTGTAAATTCAATTACCATTTTCCGTTGCAATTAACTCAAATTTAGATGTTAGTAGATGATCTAGCAATAGAAACACTCATCGCAGCTGATAATTATTTCTGTTGATTTTACCCAATTTTCAATGTTTATTAGGAAAAGGTTGTTATTATAATACAAATGACGCCAAGAATTGATTAAATGGTGATTAGAGACTTGAAAATTGCAACGTATGATGACAATCAAAGATTGATTAACAAGACTTTCACTCAATCATTACTTTCTTCCTGGTCAATGAGTTTATCAATTGTCTTAATGTGACAATTATAACAACAAGCAATAGCATTCAATTTTGTGGTTCACAATACGATTCACAATCAGATTAGTGATAAAGACTTAATTGTACTAATTAACCGATGACAGGTTTAACTTGAGAAATAATTAGCTTGATTGTTTGTCATTGTAGCCATTTGATTGATTCCAAGGTGATGATTAGCTCTTTTTTTAACACTGACGCAAAGATATCGATACATTGATGTATCAAGTGATTGATCAGAAAAGGATTTTACCTTTTGTCTCTCATTTGATGAGTAAATAATGTTTACTAGATAAGACAATTAAGCTAAATTGTAAAGCACTATCAAAATCAAGATTCGGTCCGGCAACTGTTTACATTGATGTGAATTAATCTTGGACAATCTAGATTAATGTTAAGTCAAGTCATTGAAAATGGCTCAGAAACCTTGGTTAGTCTGAATTTATTGATTGCAATTGTTATTGAATCACAGCTGATCAATTGAACGTTTTTCTTAATCAGTTGAAGCACAAGTATAATATATAAATCAATTGCAATCGATTAAACAATGAGCAGCTTCATTGACGGGAATGGGAAATACATAACAATCAATCAGCAATCCTACAATTTGTATAATCAATTTACCCTCTCTTTTTTGGTTCAAATTTTTCCCAACATTTGTTCAATTCAAGCTTTTTTTTGCTTTACTTCAATTGCTCAATAACATTTAATCAATAAGATGAAAGATCTTGAACAGGACAATCAACCATTATGTTAATAGAGTTGAACTGATAGCCATGAGCATAATCATATGCTACAATAAAACATAAAAAAGTCAGCAAACTTGAATCAACATTTTAAGTTGAAATCATTTCTCATTGCAAGGTAACTATCAAGTTAACCTTCATTAACCAGTTTTTTGTTTGATTTAACAGCAAACTTATTGGCTTGTTAACCTGCTTTGATTTTGTATGTTAATTGTCATCTTATTTGATAAATTATATTCATCTAACTGATCAAAGTTCAGCAATGGTTAGACGAAAGTGATCAGAAAAGGTAAACAATATCATTAGCTTTTATGGTGGAAACAAAATTGAAAAAAGCCAACAGCTTGAGACAATTTCAATCAGATGTTAAATAATTAATCACATTCAAGCAATACATCGATAAATCATCGATAAATCACACATAAATCACTGAAAATTGGTCAGTTTGATGTTTACATTTTGTAAGCAAAAACTGTTGGTAAAAGGCTTGATAGCAATTTAAAGTTGACAGTCTAACCTTGATTACAAATTGGGTAAAAATTGGCGTGATTGATTGTTGATGGTCTAAAAGAGTGGACATAATGATGTGAATACATTTATATGTGAAAGTAACTCACCCAATTTGACCAGAAAACCATTTGTAATGGCTTAAGTATAGAAGCCAGGGTTGAATGTTGACAATTTTTCAGTTGATTAATTTCACTACTTTACACATGATTAAAGGTAAAGTTGAACCTTCTAAAGGTTGATTAAAACTAAAACGAATGATAACATTAAAAATTAAACGTAAAAAAAGCGTATAACGAGTAAATGATGAGAAACAAAACTAAGTGGTTCGATCGCTGCTTTTACCAACCTCTTTGTATCCATAGGGATAACAATAAAATAATAGTTAGCTGCTTCTGTTACCATCAAAAGTCAATCGATTTCGTAGTAACACAATTTTTACACATATTTTTTTACTCCTCATTCATATCATAATAATCGCCTGTATTCATTCACATTACTTTTCCCTCCTACTTTACCATTCCTACCTTTTACTAGCTTTGTTTACTCGTCCATCTCATGTTTGATTTTTCTCATCAGATAATTCATGGTTCTGGTGAAGGTTAATGCAACAATTATTGATATATTAATCGACTAAACTGATGACCAGCCATGAAATGATTGAGTTATTGGAGCCATCTTTTAATCAAATGATCAGTGATGAACCTTTACCAGTTAAACTGAAGGATTTTGCATTTTAACAAAATTGGGTTAATATTTAGAGATTTTAAATTTCAATTGGAAATCAGGATTATATTAGATAATATTGTAATAATTGTTGACATCAGTTTTTGGCGATTTATTTATGCATTGCAAATGTAATTGATATTTGACATTAGAAAAGAATGATTATTTCAACAAAATTCAAACGTTTTGATTACTTTGCATCAGCAAACTGACAAGATGAAAGAAGCTTTAACAAAAAAAAGAATGTAAAAACACTGTATATTTCAATTATTACAAGAATGCGTTCATTTTGAGGAAAATTTTTTCTTCAATTTGGCTGTTTTGTTATCCTTGGGAAGATGTCGATCAGTAGATCATGATGATGATCCCGAATTTTTCCTGATCTTTGTTATAAATTATTTGCAAAAAGGATTGATATTGAAAGTAGCAAAGTCATCTCAAAAAGTTAAAATAGGTTTTTGCTGTTGTTCTGACAACAAGTCAGACATAATAAAATTGAAAGGAAGGGTTATGTAAGTAATAAATAATTCAAAGGTTGGTGAATTGGCTCGTTTGTTTTCTTTCCAGAAGTAAAAGGCTTGATTAAATCCAGGTATATTCCATAAATTATCATAATCACCTTCTTCCATTTCTAAAAGCATGAGAGAAGAAAGATGTTAGTATTTGTGTACAAGTAATAATCGTTTAAACAATTATATAATTTAATCAATTACCTTCAGTAAAATCATTTGCTTCAACTTCATTGATTCCAAATTCATCAGGTTCAAACACTTGATTTGCTGATCTTGACTTATGTAGAGGTTTACTTTTCCAGGCTTGAACCTTTTTTTCAAGTACACATGAAGGATCTGACATTCGTCTTTTGACTAGATCATTTTGCTGTGTGAAGGAACAACAAGAGAAACAACTAAAAGTATGAATTTTTGGCGATTGAGCTGGTATATCAATATCCAAGACCTTAAAGGAAAAGAAAAGCGAAAAAGAACAAAACATTGTAAAAACTAAAAGAAACAAGGCAAAAAGTAAATGGAAAATACATTGAATTGCAAAAAATAGATGAAATTGAAAATAAAAAAGATGCGATTCAAAATGGGTCGGCTATGATAAAATACAACTAGAAGCAAAAAATACAAAAATATCATCCATTTTCCACATAATTAACTCTTTTCATTTACCTCAAACATTTCAAATTCACCCTCACATAAAGATGCATTCGAACCTGAACGACTGAGTCCAGTTTCACTTATCTTCCGATAAGCCATCTCTGAGATTCCTCGACATCGAGGACCTTTCATTCTAATGAATTCCATCCGTTTATTTCCAAAATAGTGATTGATTGATCTTTTCCTATTAGTTTTCACTTTGGATCCAGCTTGTAACTGCAAAAAAAGTAAAAAAATCTGAAATAAGTAAGTGGCTTAAATTAAATCAATATCTAATTTACCTCGTGTATGTATCTAATTGTTTCATAATTAATTGATCCAGAAAATAATACTGAAACATGATTACCATTTCGATCAGAAGCGACTAGTTCAACACAGACCATTTCACCGCAACGAACAGGGATATTGCTCATCATCTATAAATGAAATTGCAATTAACTCACATTGAAAAAAACTAATTTATAATGAAAACAACCATATCAAGATGAAGAAAGAATGGAAAAAACATTGTTAAAAATGGTGAATTAAAGGTTGATCAATTCAATAAAATTTTCCAAGTTAAAGTTTCCACTTTATGCTCACTAATTTTAGTGATTGTTTTTTTCAATCCAACAAGATTTTCAATATGACAGAAGTAAATCTATTCACTGGTCTTGTTTCATTTTAACATGGCTGTTTTCAACTTGAATTTGGACTTTTTCAATATAAATAGACCGTATAAACATTAAGAAAGACCATCGGCTTGATTGAATCCTAACCTCTTCGTAGTTATCAAGAGTAAAAAAAATATCAGGATAGGTAATCTCTTCAATCTCTCCTTTGCTATGCATTGATCTATGACTTGGTGAAGCAAACACCTTCTGTGAATGTTTAGCTAATATTTGGAATTCCTTGGGACTTGTTCGGGTGCATATTGCACAGGTTAACGTATAATCAAAATATTGCATAATTGTGTTGATATAAAGAGTTTCTTCCCAATCAATATGAGCATTGTCCAAGGGTAACTTGTTGGAGTCTTTTCGGTAAACATCTAAATTTATCTGAAATAAGAGAAACAAAAAATGATTAGATTATCATAGTAATACATGTAGTTTCAGTTCAAGTTGACTTATATTGGTAATTCTAGGTTAATTCAATATTAATTTGTGGTCCTAATTTGGCACTTTGCTTTCCAATCTATTCTAATAAATACATCAAATTTTGGTTGTTTTGAAACTCGTGAAGAGTTTTATGGTTATGTATTGACCAAGCTTCGCAATGAAAACATTGACATTGTGAGTCGATAAAAAAATGAGCTTGATGCTATTACGAGCGTTATAAAAATGAAATATGGAAAAGTCTGAAACGATTAATATGAAAAATAGTAAAATAAATTAGAAATTTACTCAAGAGAGTCTTTTAATGTAATCAAAAATGCCGAGAAAATGCGTGAGGTAAATTATTATATTATGCAAAGAGTGAAATGCATCAAAAGGAAAATCAATTATTCAAAACTGGGTGAAAATAACAAAATTAGATTCACTTTATATGCTATAATTAATTTTTATCGAGATAATGGTTAGAAATTTAGAGCAAAACAATTTCATCCTAAGGAAATTGAAACGTTGGATAATTAGTCAAATTGTCAACAACTTAAATAGGAAAGAAAGTGACAGTCAAACATGAAGAGTAAAATGATCAATTTGAAGATTAGATAGCAGCAAATTTCCACCCTCTAATAAAACTGTCAATTGCTATAGACATAGCAGTATTTAACTGGTTGAGGAATCGAAGTTAACTAGAAACACATGATAGTCAATTTATTTTAAGCATAAATAGAAACAAACCTTTAAATTCGATCCAAATCTATTGAACAGAGATGCTTGTTTGCGAACGAAAAAAAGTAAATCATCGTTTGAGGTACAGTCTTTACCAATGAAGTATTTAATGAACAATTCGATCCAAGAGAAACCAGCTCGTCTTTGTAAGGATATGAAGTCATCTTTAAGGAAGATATGAAAGAGAATTGAATCGATTGAGGAAAATTACGAACATGGGGTGGGAAATAAAGAAGCATCTTCCAGCTAATACGATTTAAAGTATGGGTGAGTATGTCTATACAATATCTTAGATGCTATACAAGACTCTTTTGTTCACAATAATAGAGCTTCCAGCCAATTTAATTTTCTAACCAGTCTCAAACCTTACTTGCGATCAAAATTTCGTACGTTTTTAATAAAATGAAGTAAATTTTAAATCAGCAGAAATCAAATTCGCTCGTATCAGCTCTTATTTCTTACATAAGTTGACTTGATATTTATAGTGGACATTTTAAAGTTGATTGTACTACCATATGGCTAACTTTACCAGTAAAAATAAAAATAACAAATAAAACACAAAGAAGGTGATAAAAAAGCAAATGTCTAACAGGTTGAAGTTATGAAAAATAATAAGATGAGGGAAAAAAGTGATAGTAAAAGCGAGAAACAAAATCAAGATGAACATAACTTACCAACTTGCTCCTCTACCAAATAATCATTTTTGAGCTGATTTATTTGGTCTAATAGTTGAATAACTTGGAGATTATTTTCACTTTGATCACTCATAAAATTGGAATAATAGTTGATTGAAATGAGGTAAAGCCTAAAGAAAAGGAATGGTTAAAGATGATTAACTGGTTCTTTGAGAGGGTACAATGATTATTGGTATTAAAAGTATGAGAATCCAAGCTGGCTACTGTAATTGATACCATATTAAGGTAAGCAGAGAGTGTATTGATTAAACATTCAGTCGCCAGAGACAATAAAAAACAAAATAAAAGTCACCGTCATTTGATTAGCCAAGATTATTTGAATAATGAAAAAATAATTGAAAGAAACAAAATAGACAGATGATTCCTACTGTGGTTTATATGACTACTGAGCATGACATAAAGTCACATTGTCTGGTTCAACAAGAACAATTTATTTTTGAATATTGTGAACATGTGAATTGTATTCTCCAATAATGTGAAACTAATATCAATCTAATTTAGTGATTACACTACCTTAACTAGATACACCATTGTAGCTTGTGGCCCGCGGACAATGAGGCAACCCACAAATTATCTAAATAAACTGGTTCACCAATGCAACCAAACAAGACATCTAATAAGATTTGTAAATCTCCGAACTCGCGAACTGAGCTGTTCATGGTAACTCAACTACGAGACTGTTGCTTTGCAATTAAGTGGATTTCAATACAATATTAGAATAAATTATCTGGTAATTTTCCAATATTAGTCATTATATTGTTATATATTTGATAAAGACGTTATCATAAATTCAATATCAATGTAACCAAAAAGATACATATTTTTTCAATTTTGAATTCAAGCTTTCATTTTTCATTGTTTTTATGTCTACTTTGGCTGATTGGATTGATATAAAGTATATTTTAATATCATAAATGGTGCCATATCTCAATTAGCTAGTAACTTGTCTAACTCTTCATTTCTTTGGTGGTATAAAAGCTGATTGCTATAACGGTTAAGCTTTATTTTTGATAATAGACGTTAATCCATCATTTTATTTTCAAACCTGTGATCTATTTGATAGCTTAGAGATAATCAATCAATCTGAATGAACAAAGTTCGAGAGTTCAGTGATTTTCCATCTTGTTATTCAAATGTTTATTGTGATGAGCAAATGTATACAGATTGTAACTAAAATTTGTGTTTCTGCCATTAAATCAGATAAAATTTTTACGAAGTTGACCCAAGAAGGGAAAAAATATTTCGATAAACTTTATTAATATTTCGGTAAGTGCATTTAAAAAAAGTGATTCCAGGTTTATCAGGTCAATTAGTGGTCAACTTTGATTTTAACATCTCCTCAATGATCAAGGCTAAATTGTTGTGAGAAGGAATAAAATAAATGCTTAATTGTGAGAGAATGAGAGAGATTTAAGTTTACAATTTTAACTGATTACTATTAAGTCATTTTTGCGATAGCCACAATTAACATGTTAGCTTAAAAATTATCCAGTATTAGTTTTATTTGGAAAGATGTTGCCTCAACTCTATCTAATTGTTTCCCTTTCTTTAGTCTCAGGTGAGTTTTATTGTGACCACTTAGCCAAGCCAGAATAAGTATTGATACAGAAGAAAGTGAATAAACAGCAATTAAATTTGTCTAAATTATTCCTTTGAACATTCAATCAATGTCCATCTAATAGTGAAAAAACCAACCTTCATTTTGTTTCTTTCCCATAGTATTTTGTTTTTCTCACCAACAGCTTCAAGCGCAATCCTTAAACCACCTTGATGACTTAACGCCGCTAAATCGTATCAGAAGATCAACCCTTCCTCCTGGTTGTCAGCAGAGCCTAGAGACAGATTTCCATGGATTTAAGCAGATTCTCTATGTTGATGTCAAAAATTTACCTCGCAATCAACAAGAAATTGATGGATTGTGTAGGTAAATCAACTGTTTTCAATGCTTACAGTCACATGATTTTGCTGTGATTCATCGGTCACCATTGTTTTCCTAAGCTTAACCTTTTCTCTTTTTCTTCCAACAAACAACATGTCGCCGTTTTTTATTAACAATTTATTAGTGTCAGCCGATCTATGTATTCAAAATTAAGGAATTATAATCGGAAATGTTTAAAATCATTGGCTCGACAATTATTTTCCATCATGTTGCGAGGAATGCGTAAACAGATGAAGTCAATTTGTACGGATCCAGTGGACCAAAAAAGTAAGTGATATTTTCTTGATTCTTAACTAGAGCTAATTAATTTCAATTATCCGACTCATTTATTGCATTTATTTAACCATTTAAATATCCTCAACGAGTCATGTCATGTTTGAAAAGCTCAGTGAATCCATTTGCATGATTAAAATGCATAATCATTCTGTTATGTTTCTATAATTGACTTGTCTAAAAAGCTCAACCGTTTTTTTGTCTTGCCTATTTTGCAGAAGCTATTAAGATTTATGGATGTACATCGGAAACAAGTATGAGGGCATGGAATGAATGCTTTCACTCGGCTAATCGTCAATTTATGTTTGCAGCTGTTAACTCTACGGATCGCCAATTGTTCCCTGATTTATGTTGCATGTACCCAAGAATTGAAAAATGCGTCGTTACTCAGATGAAACCAAAAACGTCTTGTAAATCTGATTCCAATCTGGATATTGCTGGTTTCTATCGAGCAACTGTTGAAATCTCAATCAAGGATACTCTAGATTTGGCTTGTGCTAATTTTGCTACAGAGGAACAATGCAATAAAGTTAATCCTCAAGGAGTTAAAGCTTTAACTGAAGCCGGTGAATCAAATTACAAAGTTCCTGAGCCGTTTTATTTGTATCCGTTACTCAAAGTTCTTGGTCGACTTGCTGATAGCCGGTAAATTTTGTAAATTTGTATTTAGCTCAATCCCTGTTTTTACCGGTAATTTGATACATTATAATTTATCATCAACCTTGGATTAGTAACCAACATTTGAATTATATTACTAACCACCTTCACCTTTCATTTCTTTAAGAATACATTTTCATCTGTATTCATCTTCATCTTTCTTGCTCGTTTCAACATCAATAATCTAATTTGTACACAATAAACTGTAACTTTTCCTCATGAAAAGTTTACAGAAGAAAAAACGAAAAATGTCTTTTTTGTTCAGTTCAACATTTGAAGCCTCAAAAAGCTAAAATTTTGATCGCGGTCAACGTAAACTTTATCCTTGAATTACTTTTACAGTCAATTGCTTTTGACCGTAAAAGTTATCGCAAAGCAAAAGAAATGAAGAAAATATTGCAAGTGATTATTTTCCTACTTTAATTATCCTGTTATTTAAAATTGATCCGATTAACGTGAAAACAGACACCAATATCGATAAATCTATTAATTAACAGGAATACGATGAATGATTACTAATTGATTGAGGATAAAATATGATTGATTTTCCACTACTTAGATATGACAAGCACCTTTATTTGTAAATATGTCAATAAGAGTCAACATGAACACCTTGGATCGCTCTACCTGATGGATCAGCCTGATTAGCCCAAGCCTTTTCCCATTCAACTGCAGTTGGTGTTGAACAAGCAATGGACGGTCCACCAGGAATTAATTTATCCGCATCATAATGAGGAAAGTGAGACTTGAAAATGGATCGATAAAGATATGCTTCTTTAGTTGTTGGAGGATTAAACGGGAATGTAGTCGAAGCACAGCCCATCTGAGCATCGGTTATTTGAGATTCAGCAAAGGCCTTTAAAGAATCGATCCATTGATAGCCAACTCCGTCTGAAAACTGTTCCTTTTGTCTCCAAAGAATCGAACTTGGAAGATATGGAAGTTCTGGAGTATCGAAAGCTTTCCGCAAAACCCATTTCTCAAGTTTTCCTTCAGGTCGATCAGTAATCATTTTGACCGATGGATCCAAGCTCATAACCAATTGAAGAAAGTCTTTATCTAGAAAGGGAACTCGAGCCTCAATTCCCCAAGCTGATGTTGCTAGATTGGCACGAAGACAATCATAACGAGACAGCAATTTAACTTTACGACAAAGTTCAACATGAAAATCTTTTGGAGATGGAGCTTTATGGAAATACAGATAACCACCAAATATCTCATCTGAGCCTTCACCTGAAAGAACCATCTTGAAACCAAAAGCTTTAATCTTTCTTGCCATCAAAAACATGGGAGTGGAAGCTCTAATTGTTGTTACATCGTAACTCTCAATGTGATAGATAACATCTGACAAAGCATCTAAACCTTCCTGAATTGAATATGTAAATTCATGATGGACTGTTCCTAGAAAATTAGCAACTTCTTTAGCAGCCTTTAGATCAGGTGAACCCTCCAATCCTATGGTAAATGAATGAACTCTAGGATACCAGGCTTGAGACTTTTCATCTTCTTCAACTCGATTAGCAGCATGTCGACATACAATTGAAGCAACCAGAGAAGAATCCAATCCTCCAGATAAAAGAACACCATAACTGATGAAGAAATTAAGATTAAAATCAGTAAATTTTCCGGTTAATTAGCTGAGACTTTAATTTATTACTTACGGTACATCACACATAAGTCTTTTAACGACAGCTTTCTCAAAGGCTTCCCTCAACGTTTTCAAATCAATTGTATTTTTTGGTATAAGCGCCTCATCCCACCAAATGGGATTAAACCATCGATGAAATCCTTCTTTATGAGTCCAGTAATGTCCTGGAGGAAACTCACGGATCTCAACACAATCAGCCATCAAACTTTTAACCTCAGAAGAGAACCACCAGGAACCATCAGATCCTCGGCCATAGTAAAGAGGGAAAACACCAATCGGATCCCGGGCAGCAAAATAATCACCTTTACCAGGAGCAGCTATAACAAAGGCAAAGACACCGTCCAGTTGGTCAATCATTGATTTTCCATGTTTCTTGTACAAATGAACGATTGGTTCACAATCGCTCAGGGTTGTCAAGTCTTTTGCATCAATTTGCTGGCGAATAGTTCGATGGTTGTAAATTTCACCATTGACGGTTAGAATGTATTCTTTGGTTGAATCATATAATGGTTGAGCACCTTTAATAAGATCAACAATCGCCAATCTTTCATGAGCCAAAGCATCAGTCAATTTTTCACCCTTAGGTCCAGTGTGGGTTCTGACATCGATTCCTAATCAAAATTATATTGTTAGTAAAGTCATACAATTCTGAAGATTTTCTGAAGACTGTTCATGGCCAAAAATAGTCAAATTCAAAGTCAAGCATTTACTCTTCATACAGCTGATGTAGCTGACAAAGGTGTCAACTAGAAGCTTGATAATAAATCTAAGCTTAGATAATGGAAGCTTCCGATGAATCAATTGATTCGATGAAACCTTTGATTTAATGAATGTAAATGATGAATGGACTGACTGATTAATAGAGATTCCTGAAGTGTAGATACGAAAATGTTGTCTATTGAACCTGAATTAACTGGTGTTTGTAAGCAACAATTAATCAGACTTTATTATAATGAAAAAACGATGTGCAGTTACAATCACCATAAGAATTTTCGCAGAGTAGAGGAAGTCATTAATTATACTCTGAACATTAATCATCTTAAAACAATGAGCTTTAAATCAGGCAAAAGTCAAACATCAGGTTTTAATGGTTTCATCTAATTTTTAAAATCATATAAAAGGATCACCAAAGAAAGGAAAAGTCATTCGATTCAAACAATCAAACTATCTCAACTCAACAAACAATTCTTTCAACTTTTCGTGTTAAAAACTCGACAAAAAACAACCAACTAAAAATGGAAGCTAAAACCCTTTTCGTCTACATTGCTGCCTTTGCCTACACCGTCGCCATGGCCTATGGTAAGTAACTTATTAACTTGATAACCAACTAAATCATAACTCATTGTTTCTCATCTTTCAAATTACAGCCGACCCTGAGCCAAAGCCAGAACCAATCGGAGCACTTCTCGACAGTCTCCTCGGATAGACTTGATTCAATCAACTGTTGGCTACCATTGACCATGTACTAATCATGCCCAAAATGATTATTAGAAAGAAGTAAAATTCCAATAAGCATATAAACTGATTCTGTTTGTCACAATTTATTTAAACGGTTCCAACCAATCTCGGTTTCAAACAATGATTTATCTGAAATATCTACACTCTTTACAAGACTGCAAAGTCTGAAATTATTATTGAGAAAAATATGAACACTTCAGGATTTAATCAAACTTAATTAGAGATTCAACTTTGCCAGTCAAATTGATTGTCTCAATTTACATTGAATTTTCCGCTCGATAATTCATCAATCTATTTCCTCTTCCTTTTCGTTGCATTAAAGGTTTATTTTGAATGGACAGATCACTCACTGTATCAAGTGTCATAAAATTGTCTTATCAATTTTCATCAAGTTGTGAATGGATCTCAAAACAGTTATGAAACAGAATAAAATAAAATACAATTTCTAGTTCCATCAGATATTCTAGTTTCATCTGTTACTCAGAAGCTTTCAACTCATCATCTCGACCATCAAAACAAACCTTTAACCTTTGAAACAGTCTTGTGATCAAGTGAACAGTAAAATGTCTAAATATGGGGTTTACTCACCACTCCAATCTGGACCACGATGTCGTTGTTTTTTGGATAACTGTAAGGCCAATTTCCTAATCTGCTCAGGATCTGATGATGAAAGTAAAATAGCCAATATGGCACACATGATCAGCAAACAATTTTGGTTGAAAGGAACAGTTAATGTTTATTAGGAAAGAAATGAAAGATCAACATGGAAGGGAATAGTAAATGATTAAACCAGCCAAAATGCCTAGTGGTGAGTTGTGTTTCCAAATGTGATTAGATACTAGATCTGTAAACATTTACTGGATTCTCATTAATTTCATTGTTAATTTATTCTTGGCTCGTCTTATTTCAAGCAACCTTTATTGATTCAAAGTAAAACAATCATTTCTTGACTGTAATGAAATATTTTTCAATTATGGTTTAACTTGTTACCACATCATGAAGAGGCCTTTGAATCTATTAAATCCGTTGACTTTTAATTTTCAATTTATTAATATGAATCTCAAGTCTGGCTGATTGTAAAAATTGCTAATTGTTAATTTGTCCTTGAATTGCATACCTGAGCCACATGATAATAAAGATTACCTCATTTAATTTTATAGCTTTTTGAATTTAATTGAAAAAAAAGATACAAAATAACTTATAGTGTTCAACTGATGATCCAAGGATGATTGTAATCAATTGACTTGCAAGATTTATCCAATTTAGATTTCTGATTGCTGAAGGTTGATGAGTTAATTTAAGGTCTAGAAAATATTACCTAAATTAACTTTATTGAGCAACTAAATTTGCATATTTGAATATATTTTGAAAATCATTTTTGATTGATTTTGTGTTGAAATTGAAGTTGAATTTGGTTTCTCTTTTCTTATATTTGGTTCTTTAATCCAGTTTAGTTAATCAGAATAAATGAAAATCCAGTTACCAATTAATTATTTTATATGAGCCAACCTTGAATGATACCTTAAGCTGTTGTCAGGTTTTTATTGGTGAGAGTTGCTTTCAAAGAGGAAAGTTAAGAGTCAGCTCAATCATCAAAAGATGATAAAATCAATTGTCAGCTCAATTAAATGTGTCAGTACATCAGGTAAATTGCTAATTTATTGTTAACACAAACATTTTTTTGTATGTTTGGTATTTGTGAACATCTAGCAAGTGTTGCAAACAAGCAAGTAGAATCAACTTAATCTTCTTGAAAATAATCAGCTGAGGAAACGGTTTTGTTTGATCAAAAGTAAGTAAATTGTTGATAATTTACCAAAATTATATGAGTTTCTTTCGTCCATTTTAAGCTTGAACAGGAGGTAAAGACACAATATAAGACAATAGATAAATATCGTAGAAGCATAAGGTTGATTGTTAGTTGTGATTGATGATTGAAGGATAATTAATAAGCTGTAATTAATAGCAGAGCACTTTAAGCAATTTATTCCCAAAAGTGAATACAGGTAAAAAGAAATTAATCTTTTTGTTTTGGTGAAAAATTTAGCTATTTTTTGTTCGTTTTAAAAAAATCATCCTGGCTTTTGCTATCCGTAAACTGCTACATTCCTAAATCTGATACTGGTACTGATTCACCTTTGTTTGGCTGGTTACAGGGCGTTACCTTTGAACCGAAACTGATAAACACCTTTTAAAGTCATCTGGTCACTTTGAGTTTGAACAAACACTGAAAAGCATTATTATCATTTTCGCTGTAACAATCGACAGTCAAGTCTTTATCACCATTAATCAACATGTGCAGTTTGAATGAAGATTCATTTGTTTTTAGTCCAAGCGAAATTGAAAGCTTAGATTGGAGTGTCCAGAGTGATTGGAAGGATAAACTTGAATCTCTCTCATTGAAAATTCGTCCACTGCAAATTGATGATTATGATCGCGGTTTTACCAAATTGTTGGGACAATTGACTCATGTTGGAGATGTGACCAAAGAAGAGTTTGAAGGTAAGAATAAATTACTTGCTTTACCACCGGTTCTTGAAGCGAATCAACGATTTGACTTGAACCCATGCTTTCAAAGTGTATAAAAATACATGGGTGAAAGCAAGATTGTGAAAAACTTCCATGTTAGATCCAAGCAAGGAAATCTTTAGATATCTATAATGACTTCGTCAATTCTTTTTCCCCTTTAGAAAGGTTTAAGTTAATGAGAGAAACCAAATTGGTGAGAGTAGTGGTGATCGAGGATTCCAATAATAACCAGATTGCTGGGACGGCTACACTTCTCTGTGAGCCTAAATTCATTCATCAATGTTCTTGGGTAAGACTTGCTTCGGCGGTTGTTTTTTGTTTTGTTTTCATCGGCAGTTTTCTTTTCATTAACAGATAGGTCACGTACAAGATGTATGCGTTGATGAAGCTTACAGAGGAAAAGGGTTGGGCAAAATAATAGTCAATTGCTTAAAATTGTTGGCTCAACAGGTTGGAGCTTATAAAGTTGACTTAAACTGTTCCGATGCGAAGATAGGATTTTATTCGGCTCTTGGATTTAAGAAAGAAGATGGACAAGCCAATTATATGACATGTCGGTACAAAAATTAATTCAGATGTAAGACCAATGATTGATGAATATGACTTCATTTATAAATCTTGTTTGGCTGATAATATAATACAACTAAATATCGATTGCAAACATTAAAACCAGAAAGATGATCACAAGCATTTTTGGCATCAAAAATATCTTCATAAACAACAAATGCTGTTCCTTTTGTTTCAGGCGTGTTTCCTATCCTAATTTGTCTGATAGCTCCATATTTACCAAAAATATCATACATTTCTTCAGCTGTGATCTTGTAAGGAAGATTTCGAACATAGAGAATTCTATTAACTTCAGGTGGAAGCCGGACCTGTAATGAAAACAATAAAACATAATGTAAGCCAATTGATGTCAAATAAAACGACTTAAAAGATACTTACGTTGGCTTTTTTCTGCATTGCCATAGCCATCTTGTTTATATATCACTAGATTCACTAGATTCACTTTAAAATCAGGAAATTTGAAGATGAAATTGTATAAATTAAAGTAAATCGGTTCAGAACAACAGAACAGCCAAAGAGTATAACTATTACTCTTTGAGAACAGCCGACAATTTTCAATCAAAACATGTAAAGATTCACATTTGGCGCATGTTCACCTGTGATCCACAGCAGTCTGAAATAAGCGCCTTCAATGAAAATAACTTTAATCTGTTCAAAACTATTATAATATTATGGTTTGCGATAATATTATCAACACCATTATCTTAGCCATGTCATCATAATTCTTACGGGCTATTCTTAAAATTATTGTACATTAAATGACCATACGAAAGTTCAGCACAAGCATGAGCTGGAACCTTTAACCATTAAAAGCCATAAATAATGCAGGCTTAAACTAATTATATGAAATATGCAAGTAAGCTGATAAGTAAGAAATGAATAGCTGATTGAAATTTTGCTAGTTATGAACAATTCTGAACTTTTTCCATATAAAGATACCTTTAAACATTATTGAATTGTCAACAGAAATCTTGACTGAAGTTTCTAGCTTTAAGTATCCGATAGATGGCTCTATGAATGGTTTACCTTGGTAACAGTTGCGCAGGATTTGTTTGTAAAATGCAATTGGTTTATTCATATTTTTGAAATTAAGTAACCGCCACTTATCGAAGAACGACTTTTTTTCAACAGTTTAACCAATTATTATCGTGTTTTAATTTTTTAATCATTTTAAATAAATATTGTTTTAAAATGGAATGCGAAAGTGTAACTGAAAGTACAATGGACTCCATTGATGTAACCATTTTTGAAGATTTTTACAGTCTCGACATAACCATGCCGTTTACTGGCGAGCTTCCAAAGACTGATAAGACTCAACTACCAGATCCAACAGCAATTGTATCTGTGCCTGCATCACCTTCTAAATCGACGGAATTACCTCAGATCATATCTCCTGAACCTCAAAATGAACCATTACCAATATCAACAGAGTTACCACAAACACCATCCCGATCGCCACCAGCGTCTCAAAGTGTATCTCCAAAAGAACCCGATGAACATGCTTTGGAGTTATCTCCAAACTCACCTTCTGAATATTCATCGTTATCACCGATGAAATCTATGCAAATCTCGCCAAAATCTGAATACAAATCAATTTATGATATTCCTTCTGAATCCGTTTCGAATTTATCTGTTGCATCTTCTCCGGAGTCCCCTACATTATCTATGGAATTTTTCGCTAACGCACTTTCAATGTCACCGAAAATTACACCAGAAGCAATCCCGATAGCATCGCCAAAGAAAACTCCAGTTTCTTTTCGATCTTCATCGAAATTAGAAATGTCCTCAAAGTCTATTGGGCTTCAGTCCAATACTAAGGTATCTCAAGGAATGTTACCTAAATCAACTTCAGGTTCTTCATTGAAATCATCTAAAAAGATATCTCCTGGGTTAAAATCAACTTCTAAACAAAACTCTTTACCCAAACTACTATCTAACTCGCCGCTTGTTCCTCACACTGGACCAGGATCTATATTCACGCCTCACTTTTCTGTTAGTAGGACAAAGTCAATGTCAAGGAATGTTTCTTGTAGGAAAAGAATCCTCATTGACGAGCCATTGATTGTCTTCTCGCCTGATGTCAATCCCCAACCAATAAAACCGTCCACTATAAACCGTACACGCTCTTCTCCAAGCTGTTCTGTTATGAAGGAGAACAAAGTCCCGACAAAGTTACCAAGCCGCTTCGAAAGCCCAAATGAAATACACAAATCATTGCTTTTACACCAAGTCTCTGGACGCACAAATCATAGTCCTATTTATACACCTTTTACGTCAATGGTTTCTCGGTTTAAAAATTTAGCCATTGAGTCTCCTTTCATTCCAGCAGGCAAAGTCAATGTTCCAAATGAATCATCCAAGAAAGTACCACATAAGACCCGAGTTGAAAAAATTAAGCTTATATCGCCTTTACTCCGATCGCCTAAATTGAAGATAATTTCAACTAAACTGCCTCTTCGTAGCAATTCAAAAGTCACCAACTCAGTTGAAAAAAAATCTCCCACCATAGCTCAATATAAAGCAAAATCACCAGTTATTCAAGGATCCCGTATTCCTGTTTTAAAACTGAATTAATAATGCTCAAAGACGGCACCATTGAATAAATTGGTGAGAAAGTTGCAACTAAAGATTACCCAGAGAAAATAATGTGAAATAGTGAATGAAGTTTGTGAAATTGTTAAGTATAAATATCGACAGTAAATTCATTACATTGACAAGTAATAAAAATAAGATTATGCCCAAACTTTCGACCATAAAAAAATATTTACTGCTGATGAAAATGAAAACAATCATTAAATAAATAACCAAAGTTATTGGATCACTAAATGAAAGTCTCACCTTTCTTCAACAAAAGGCCATGCACGTTAAAGTTATTGTAACCAACTCAATACAACTCATATAAATTGGCTCTAAAATTACTTGACTTGAACTAAACCTAAAGAGATAAAATAAATTGAGTTGTCCAATTTGACATAATCAAAAAGAAAGCTTTCAACTATGAGGTTTATCAAATTCAGAATCATTTGATACTTTGTAAACATGTTTAACCGGATTGTCGAAAAAAAAGGGAGAAACAGGTGAAGAAAAAAGGACAATAAGAAGAGAGGATTGGAGAGTTCAGATGATAATGATTTGCTTTCTTCCGGCATTCAATATAAAAGGATAATTTGATCAACTTCATCAACCAGTCATTCAATTGATGCTCATTCAAGCCATCATAAACATTTCATCTCTCTAAATCCCCCCAATTGAACCTTTTCTGGTTATTCATTTTTAGCAAAATGAGATTATTGTTAAAAGGTAAAAATAGATGATAGTGATTAAAAAAGTGGGTGGTGTTGATCAGCGAAATGAATAAAATGAGTATCGGTAATGCATAAAATTTTTCATTTTCATTAATATAATCCAAGGCATACAGATCGTTGATGGACTGTGTTTTTTAATGTAAATATAAATATATTCTCATCGAGTTATAAGCCTTGATTCGTTTTTGTTTCATTTTCTTTTTCTTTTTCGTCTTGTTGCCAAATATAAACAAGCGACAACATTTGAAGATCACAGATAAACTTATTTTTTTGTGTTGTTTCTTTAAGAAGACATAAGCGAGAAAAGGAGAGACAAAAACAAAACAAAAATATCTTTTTTTTTCAAACAGCAATAGAAACGGTCAGGTTTTGCAAAATAACCAACATTGCCAATGAAAACGATTAACAGTGGTTAATATACTCGCATTTAGGTGAAAATATTGATTAATCATCATATATATAGGTAAAAAAATGATCAAAATGAACGGACTAATTGGAATCAAGGTTAATTCATCTTGATATTGGAAAATTTGGTGATTAATTAATAGCTTCCCTTTAGTAGCGATGATAAATAATGAAATTTATACGCTTGTATTGGCTTTAAATTGATTTCCATTTGCAGCATTTTTCTTGAGGTTTTTCGTGTTGAACTTTGAAGCGCTTCTAATACCAAACATCTCCCTTGTTTTGTCATTTGTGTATAAATGTTCAAGTTGATGCTCTTGGTGTTTTAAGCGTTGATTATAGTTAGTTAATCCGTCAAAGGGACAAAGTGGCAAAAATTATCGAGTTAATTTGTTGATAGATGTGCTTTTTGTATGTGATGTTTGTAATTGTGTGAAATCGAGCGAACATGTTTTTTTAGAAAGCTTTTCATTTTTTTCTTCTTCTTTCTTATTATTTTCACCACTTTCCTCTCCTACTGAACCTATGAAGTTACATGTTCACTATACTGTTGTTGAAAGTTTCCTGAGCCTATCAACCTCAATTTCCAATGTGGCCATATTCTTCCTTGCTTCAGCAACTTGATTGATTAAGTCTCTAACTACAGATCCGTAGGACTCCTTCACCGTCTCAACCATGTCAGTCAGTTCATTTACCTAGTAAGTCAAAAGTTAAAGTATTAAGTTTAGGTAATAATAGTCAAATAAATAAGGTTTGTTTGAATGGAGAAAGGTAAGTAAGCGAAAAAAAGAGGATGCAAGTTTTGATCATTTCTTGAAAATGAACATAACAAGTGAGTTGAGTAGATTGTCTCTCCTCTTAACTAGGTTTAGACCAAAGATGAGAAACCTTTTTTTTAACTTGTTTTAATGTTTAAGATGATACTCTAATCGGTGGACCAGTTGATGACTAGAAGATGCTAAATGAAGCCATTGTAATAAGCTGTCAACAAGGTTTGCCTTATTGTTCTAGTTAGCATTTGAAAAGTTGTTGCCTCCTTTCATTTTGACAAGACAAAAAGGGCAAAGTGAACTTTTTAAAACATCATAATTAACGTCATTCATTCAACTCATGAAAATGATAATAAGTTTAAATGAGTAAATTATGGTTTGAAAGATTAACAACAAAGTAACTTTACCTTTTTAACCAAATCCTCATAATCTTTGCGAGGTACCATTGATTTTTTCAAATTACTCAGTTCAGTTTGAATATCAGAAAAATCAGAGACGCCCTTGCTGAATGACACACTAGAATCAGCAGATTTAATGCCAATATTACCAATACTGGAGCTTTTGGGTGGTGGTGGAGTGGAAGATGAATTTGAGCTTGGAGAAGAAGACACTGGTCCGGAAGGTTTTACCGCTTTCAAAGGTTTACTAGGCAATGATGAACTTATCGTTGAAGGAGATGATGAAGGACAGGTTGTTGTCGATGAACTGTTGGTTTCATTTATTTCCATTGGAAGTGAAATTGATCGAGATGGATTAGATTTAGTAGGAGATAAAGGTGTCGCTTGATTGGCACCATGAGTTTCCTCTCCAACGGGAGCAGTGGTATCTGTCTTGAAACGCCTTTCAGCTTGACTTCGTTTCAATTCTTTCATCCATGGTGGCACTGCAGGACTTTTCTCTGTCGTATCATTTGAGGCTGCCACTGATGCTGTGGTTGCATTTAATAAAGGTGCTTGCTGTTTACTTTCTACTTTAGCTTCATCAAAAATTTCCAAGTCATCCTCAGTGTCACCTTCTTTTGTTAAAACAATCATTGACGGTGGCCTACGATTAGGCCCTTTAACTCGATTGGCAGTAGGATGATTGAGCCTTTTGGTGACTTCCAATGATCCAAAATTATTTTCATTTTCACTTAACAAGGAATCTGGTCTGCCATCAGGCACACTTTTACTTTCTTTATTACTAGATTCTAATTTATTTGCAGAGGTTGAAGTGTCATGGGAAGTTACAACGTCTGGTTTTGAGCCACCAAGTATACTGGATTTAATCAAATTAGTAACTGGAATTGAACCGGGAGCTCGAAATTTGGATTTTTTAGTTGGAACAATAGGTGAGAGGAAACTCAAATTTTCTTCTTCATCTTTTGATAAAGAAGTCAATGGATTTATGGCGCTAGTTGGCGTTAAGCTGGTACTAGTATTTGATGTAGTATTAGTTGTTATACTACTGCTGGTCGATGTATTGGCGGTGGTGACTATTTGTTGTTGTTGAGTACTCTTAAGATTATTATTGTTCCTCACAACCTCGCTATTTAATTTAGATTGAGAACCGGTTGGATTGGTTGAACCAATTCCGCCTCCTGGTGATCCAGTAGAAGAAGGAGGTGGCTTCTCATTTAATCTTTCCGGTTTTTTTGTCCTCAGTGATAAAATAACTTCGTCCATTGGTTGTGATTTGATAACCTCGATATAATTGTCCGGAAAAACACCAATTTTACCATTGAGTTCTCCTTTCCACCAACCTTCATCTTCCACACCTTTACTTAAAATAATAATAATGTCTCCTTTTTTAATTGTAAGTTCATCATCATTTTGCGCTTTATAATCATAAATAGCCCTTGCTTGCTCCCGTTTAGGTTTAGGTGGCAGTCTTGGTGCACTAATATCTCCTCCAGAGTCTTGTGAAGGGGCTTGTGGTGGTGGTTTTTTAGGTGGTGGCTTGGATTTATCAGCTGATTTTAGAGATGCTTTTGTACCTGTTTGTATAAAGTGAAGAAAAGAAGCACAATCAGTATAAGTATAACATTAAAACAAAAAAGTATAGCACAAATAAAATTTAGATTCATATCAAGAAATTTGAGAAGAAAAAAAGAAATAAAAGGCACAAATTTAATAATGACTTGGGAATTTGAACGTGTCACAATAATGATTAAATCGTGTAAAAATCTTTTCCACTCTTTTGATATTTTAACGATAAAAACTCACTTTTTGATTTTGATTTTCTCATCTTCAACACTATTTCCCGTTAACGTCAGTTCCTAACTCACTCTTTTACTCTCAGATTTTCACCTAATATCTACACGGATGTCAAATGACTTGGGATAACACTGTCAATAGACAACAAGAGTAGTGAAGTAGAATGAAATGAGAAACAAAAAATAACAAATAACCGTGGCGAGGAAAGTAACACAATGAAAAATCATGAAGATGGGATGATGTAACAAAAATTCATTACTAACTTTGTTTGTAATGAAATGGATCCATTATTAGTAATGTTAGATGGTTATCAGAGAAAAAAGAATGACTTTTTTTAGGCAGGAAGATTGAAATTGCAGGACGGATACAAGAACAAAATAAAAGTTCAGAATTATAAATTTAGATCAGAAATTGATGAGCAGAGGAATATAAAAAACAGAATGAGACAAGTTTGAAGTGAGAGAGATAATGCAAATCATTCAGCTAATACCATAGTAATCGGAATATCAATAACCTAATCGTAATCGAGAGTGAATAAGAGAGATAGAGAACTGAAAAAAAAGATAGAGAAACATTACTAAATTAATTTGTAGATGCATATTAATATTGTGATTCATTAGATTGGTAAAAACCATTCAAGTGGCTTCTATTTTCCCTTATTTGGAGATTATGGATAGAGTTGACGATGTTATTATGTTATGGGCTCACCCATTTCATGTTAAGCTACAGTATAGATGAGTGGTTTTTATCCACCCCCTTTCTAACCATACTAAACTTGAAATCAAACAAAATTTAAGCAACAATTAAAACCAGAGCCTAGAGGAATAAGTTTGATTATTAATAAAAACAATAATACTCACCATAATCTTGATTTGAGCCTTGGACATTGTCCGACATAATGGTAATGTGAAAGAAGCAGGAATAATTTTTAAGGTAATGTAAAGGTAATGATGGAAGAAAAAAATAGTTATAACAAAGGAAGGAACCAAATGTTTAAATTAATGAGTAAATACTTTTAACTATTTGACTCCGGAGGAAAAATTAAACTAATAACCATTAGGGATAAAAATTTAATTAACCAGAGTTACCACAATCAAAGATTAAGAAAAAGAAGAGACAGAGAAAAAAGATAAACAACTTTAACAAGCTTTCACAAACTTTAACTCATATCTGTATCTTTAGGAGCTCAAGCCACATCCTACTTATGTAACCCGCTTCATTTAAAAAGATGTAAATTTTACAAAAAATATTTAAAAACTTGATTCCAAATTCAACCATCGAATAACAAAAGGCATTAAATTCACAATTTAGCTGAATAGATTGTTTGTCATCGCCATAGAAAACACCTTTTCAAGTCGATTGATTCTTTCAGAGTTTTTCTGCACACCGTTCATGAGTTATGTATCGAGATTTCGAGTCTTAGCATCTTGCGTCTCCTTCTTCTCGACTTTGATCGGCCAGAGTTAGATGGCCAAAATATTCAGGTTAATCAATTACGAACTTACACATTTCTTTATCGTATGGCTGGAAATTTTGTCAGATATCTGTTCCCATCGTGGAGTAACAAGCCTTCTGGTGCTTCACTATTGACTTTGACACCTAGTATATTATAAGCTTTTTTATAATGGTAAAACTGCATCCAGAGATTTTATTGATATTTTATTTGATTATGCTTTTAATATTTATGATTTTAATCTAAATTTTTGAATTGTATTTTGTAAAATTGACATCTTTTTGAATGAAGCGGGTTACACAAGTAGGATGTGGCTCCTGAAGAGATGAGTTGGTATTTGGATAGTTACTGGTTAGAGGAGGGAAAGTAACCAGTGAACCAGTTAATCCATGATTATATTTTGGATCCATTGAAGCCAATATAAAATGAGTTTTCTGTTCAATCACTAGATGGACATATTGACTTGAAGCTTTCACCAAAAAGTTTTAAAATCGTACTTGTACAAAAAGACTGGAGCCGTCAAGGGTCACAGATATTCAAGCATGTGAATCAATCGAGTCCGCACAATCAACTTTTTTCTATGACCTTTGACGGACACAAGTAAAATACATTTCCAAGTCAAAATGTCCATCCACTCCGACGCTGGAGCTAACCAGGCTTGGTCTGAAACAGCCAAACCACAATGGATATCAAAAAACCACCTCGTCTTACTTTAATCATTATTGGAGCATTTTGCGCTGAACAAGATCAAGTCCGAATCAGGACTTTTTGTAATACATTTGTAATTGTATGTGACCATTTCTTGCAATTAAATAAACCAGAATCTTTTTGATAACACTTAATATCGTTATTTATTTGACTCGGAAAATATCATACAATAGTGTATCCATTGAGTTAGCACCCATACAAATGTATCAACAATCAATTACTCATTTTGATCGCCATTAACCGTGAATTACATCGATTCGCTAATTGAAGGTTGTGACAATTTATTATTAATGAAGGTTTAATTTGCTCTTCAAAATCCAAAGGCTATCAACATGGTAATTTGAATATCTGACAAACGATTGTAACAATTAATCAGCTAAGGTTTTGTAGGAAACATTTCCCGATCAAACATTGATAACAATGTTTTGAGCTGGCACACAATTTGTAATTATAATTCAGATGATTTGAATTTCCAGTAAATGCAGAGCTTTTTTGTTTCTTCATAAACATGACCAATTCACATTGATTAGACAAAATAATTGTTTTATTATTGCTCATCTTTTAACAAACACATTAAAATCAGTAGTTATTAATACATTGTCAGAAATAGAGAAATCAAAATCACCTGAATCGTCTTCATTTATCCTGCTTCTAAATGTCTAACTGAATCAATTTCGGATTTTAATTGTGATATTGAGCAACTTCCATTACTGTTTTCTTGTATTATATATAAAAAATTATGACAATTAACTTGATCATTGTTCATCGACATCTTTAACTGTCAATTTGCCTTTATGGTTAAAACTTGACTCGTTTTGTGGTTAAAAATGCTCTTGACAAGTCTAATCGTTTCCCTTGTTTCACTGGTTTCACTTGTAAACGCAGCTGACCTTTACAATTTCATTTACACAACCGATTCCAAATCGAGTCTTGTTTATGTTTCCATCGACAATTCATCCATCAGTTTAGAGAAATCAATTGTAAACTGTTCAGTTATTAGTGACCCAGATGGTGTTAATGGAGTATTGACTTCGGCTACTGATCCTCTTATTCCGATTGACCAAGATTCCTTCAATACTTTGGTTAAATCATGTAATAGCATTAAACCCAGCTCAATCTTACCACCAAAACCACTCTCTAACCTTTTTGGTTTATCAAGTAATATGATTGCTCCTGGTACCAAATGGTGTGGACCTGGAAATCGTTCATCGGGTTACGATGATTTAGGTATTAGGGTTGAGACGGACAAATGTTGCCGTGATCATGACTACTGTCCAATGTATATCGACGCGTTTCAATCTAAATACGGCTTGAAAAACACTCAAGCTTATTCAAGGTGAGTTCAGTCAAGTGAAATTCAAGAGTTGGACTTTTATGTCTACAACCATTCTATCCGTTTAATTTTATTTGTCAAACATGATCAGTTCAAGTTTATCATCACTAGACTTGAAAGTTCAACAATTAAGGGCCGGTCCGGTAATCATTTTCAATCTCATTTAATGTCATTTAATTCAATATCTCATTAAAATTTTTTATCTTGAAACGATATCATTGGTTTGATTGAGGAAAAATGTTACCTTTGTCATGCTCATATAGTTTAAAGTGTCCGGTGAACATCTCTTTATAATTTTTAATTGAGATTGAAATGATTACCGGACCGGCCCTAAAAATTAGCGATTCTTGAAGGAAATTAAAAAATAAGTCTTTCAATTTAGTTTAACTTGTTCGACTTTTTGAACCTTGATATTACCAGAAGAAACATTGCATGATTGATTGACAAAACAATTAAATATCAGATTGAATAACTACATTTAAATCTTCTGCAATCCAAATCGATTCAATATTCAATCACAATTCAAAGTCATAGGATTTTAACAAAACATTAATTTCCATCATAAGCGATTCTCGAAATTTATTGAGCCCAAGAGTATAATTTCATTTGTAATGAAACAAATGGGAAAACTAATTGATCGACTAATGATATTTTATGAATTATGATTTTCATTTGCAGTTCTCTCTGTGATTGTGATTTGCAACTGAAAACTTGCCTGAAAAAAGCGAGTCAAACTGAAATGGAAGCCACTTTATTTGGAATGATTTACTTCAATGTTTTGAAAACCAAGTGTTTCCAACAAGTTAAGCCTAAAGGCCAGTGCCTTGAATACTCTGGGTGAGTTTGTTGTACTCGGGTTGTTTTGACAAATTGTCGCGTAAAAAAACACTAATCGATTGATCTTTTCTATTGTTAGATTGCTTATTAAACGATGTGCAAAGCAAGCTGATCTTAATACAACTGAACTCGTCTACCAGTTTCAAACCTCTGGACTTTTCCTTTAAAAAACTATTTACATTAATAAATAATCAAAGCTAAAAAACCTCAAAATGATCTTCATTGTACTTTAACTCGCACTTATAACTTACAAACTTAACTCTTCTCGTGGTTTTTGACCATTTGAGAGCAGTTTTTAAAAAAAATTGAAAATCTCTGAATTTGTGCAAAATCGGTGAAATAGAGCAAATTATTTAAGCCTCTGTCGATCGGATTTACAGTGAAATCAAACGACTTTTAATTAATTCATTGCGACGAGAAACAGTCAATGAGTCCATGCCTACCGAGCTCAACAATCATTTCAATAACTTCAACTCACTGAAAGATGTCAATTCTTAAGTAAATGGTCTGCTAAATCAATCCCAAACTCGGCTGATTTAAACGAGAAATATGGTCGATTTCAAAGTCTTGTTGACAACAGAGAGTCGCTTATTGCCTCGTTTAAACAGTTACTCCGATCACGGCTTGAAACTAGATCAGGTGAAACGGTTAAAAGTCTTGAAAGTTTAACCCAAAACTGGAAAATAATTAAATCTCGAGGTAATCCAAATCCTTCACAACTTGAAGAGTTGAAGCAACAATTTGAATCGGTTGGCAGTGAGCTCGGTTAACTGGTCTTAATTCATTGATTAACTCTCTAAATACGGTTCAACGTAAATGGACTTATCTTGAGCCAATCTATAGTCGAAACCAAGGACCAGAAATTTTCAACGATTCATCTTTTACTTTGGCTTCAAGAGACTTCATCAATATAATGAAAACAATTGAAACTGATTGTCATGTTGTTAGACTTTTGAGGATTTCTGGTTTGTCTGAACGGTTATCATCCATTGATCAACATTTAGCCTCTTGTCAGAAAAAGTTGAACCTTTTTATGGAAGAGTCGAGAAATCGTTTTCCTAGATTCTATTTTCTTGCCGATGATGATTTACTTCTTGTCTTGGCTGGTAAAACATCCATAACTGAATCGGGTTTGTTAAAGAAACTGTTTAATAATACAATTACCAAGATTTTGTTTGATGGAAATAATTCTGTCGCTGTTGAGTCTCCTGAAGGTGAACAGATTCGCCTTCGATCTCCAATTGCAGTCAATTTCAATGGTGGCTCAATTGAGATTGAAAATTGGCTTCGAAATGTGGAGAGTGAAGTATCTAAATCACTGAAAACTGATTTATTTGACTGTCTTGGTAAAGAGGATAATAGTGATGAGCTTATTTGGTCAGCTCCATCTCAAATAGTCTCTTTATTTCAATGGATTCGGTGGACAGCATCAACAGAAGATTGCATTAGACGAAGTCGTTTAAAGATACTTCATAATGATTTAGCTCGACAGTTGACTGATTTAATTACCTTTTAAAGTAGCCAATGTGTCCGATGTTGAAAATTGAAAGTGGAAGAAACAGCTTCGCTATTATGCTGTTGTTGATTGACAACTACAACAGTTACTGACCAAGAGTTGTTACTAAAAAGACATAACTAACACAATTGTGAGATTTATCCACAAATTGACTCAAATTGAAATATCAATGAGCAAAAAGAGGGTTAAAATTGATTTCTTTCAAAATTAGACTAACCTAGATTGTTAAGATTGAAGAACTGAATCCATTGGTACTATTTATTTATTCATCCGATGAACAGTTTTCTAGAAAATCGAGGTCAAAAATGAAACTTCGATCGACTTTTGCTCAGCTTTAGAAGAAGATTTTTTCATGAAACTCATTTTGCTGATGAAGCTTTTGATTGTCAATCAGAAAATGTACTTATTTCGCGAAATAAAACTTTCCGTTTTCTGTAAAACACATAAATTCGATTTTTATTTCAACCTCCGCCATTCTGTAATAGAAAGAGTTAGCAAGCTGAAACTTCTCTTCTGTTCATAAAATTTATTTGTTCACATCATGAATTAAATACTTTTTTCAATTCATTAATAGTTCTCTTGATTTTGGACATTAACCCAAATACTTTGAGCCTCGATTTTTTGAGAATGGCATAACCTACAATCTTGAAACTTTGACCAAACATTAGATTGCATTATGGGCTAACATAAAATATGACTAAATGCTGAATGAAATCTGTGCTTATTCATTTAATAATGAATATTCTTCTAACGCATAAGATTTGTGTTTGAACTTTATAAATCAAGTTTAAAATCTGGTATCAATAGTAATCAATGCTCTAACTTTTTTGTCTTTAATTTTCAATAATTTAATGTTTCAATATATTCAAACCCATGCTAAAATCTAATGCTTGGTTAAAGTTTGGTGATTGATGACTAAACCATTCTCGAAATATTCAGGTTCAAAGTTTTCGGGTTAATGGCCAAAATATAGAGAACTGAACATAAATTGGAAAAAGTATTTAATTTCTGATGTGTGCAAATGAATTTTATAGATAGATAAGAAGTTTCAGCTTGCTAACTCCGATGGTCACAGAAAAAAGTCGGTTGAAATAAAAATCGAATTTATGTGTTTTACAGAAAACGGAAAGTTTTATTTCGCGAAATAAGTACATTTTCTGATTGACAATCAAAAGCTTCATCAGCAAAATGAGTTTCATGAAAAAATCTTCTTCTAAAGCTGAGCAAAAGTCGATCGAAGTTTCATTTTTGACCTCGATTTTCTAGAAAATTGTTCATCGGATGAATAATTAAATAGTACCAATGGATTCAGTTTTTCAATCTCAACAATCCAGCTTAATCTAAATTTGAAAGAAATTAATTTTAACCCTCTTTTTGCTCATTAATATTTCAATTAGAGTCAATTTGTGGATAAATCTCACAATTGTGTTTGTTGTGTCTTTTTGGTAACAACTCTTCATCAATAACTTTAAATTACATCTTTCATTTATGCACAAACTGACTCAAACCGAAATATAAATGGGCAAGAAGAGGTTAAAAATGAATTTCTTTCAAATTTAATGTAGCCTGGTTTGTAGAGAAATGAAACCTGAATCCTTTTGTCCGATTCAAAAGTTTCTCTGACCCACAGTTCTCGCATAAATCGAGGTGAAAGTTTAAACTTTGACCGCCTTTTGCTCAGCTATGGAAGCAAATTTTAACATTAAACTCATTTTGTTGATGAAGCTTATGATTGTCAATCATAAAATGTACTTATTTCGGGAAATAAAACTTTCCGTTTTCTGTAAAAACGACAACTTCGATTTTCATTTAAACCGACCTTTTCTTGTGACCGAAAGAGTAAGCAAGCTGAGACTTATTCTCCTTACATAAAAATTGTTAGGTAACGACGTGTATTGAATACTTTTTTCAACTTTTTTTCAGTTCCCTTGATTTTGGCCATTGGCCTAAAAAACTTTGAACCTCATTATTTCGATAATGCCAAAACCTACAATCATCAGACTTTGACTAAACGTTAGATTTTGTTATGGCTTATAATATGGCGAAATATTAAATTATTCAAGGTCCCACAAAAAACGTTAGAGCATTGCATTACTTTCGTTACCAGATTTTAAACTTGATTTATAAAGTTCAATCACAAATCTTATGTGTGAGAAGGATATTCATTATTAAATGTATGAGCACAGATTTTATTCAGCATCTAGTCTTATCATTTTTAGCCCATAACGCGAACTAATGTTTGGTCAAATTCTGAGGACTGTAGGCTTTGCCATTCTCGAAATTTTGACGTTCAAAGTTTTTTAGTCCAATGGCCAAAATCAAGAGAACTGTTATTAAATTAAGAAAAATATTCAATCTATGTCGTGAACAAATAAATTTTATGAGCAGATGAGAAGTTTCAGCTTGCTAACTATTTTGGTCACAGGAAAATTTCGGTTTAAATGAAAATCGAAATCACCGTTTTTACAGAAAATGGAAAGTTTTATTTCGCTAAATAAGTACATTTTCTGATTGACAATTAAAAGCTTTATTAACAACATGAGTTTCATGAATAAATCTAATTCCATAACTGTACAAAAGGCGATCGAAGTTTGTACTTTCACCTCGATTTTTTCGAGAACTGTTGATCGGAGAAGCCTTTGAATCGAACAAAAGGATTTAGGTTTCATGTCTCTACAAACCTACCAAGTCTCAACTCTAAGCTCAAATGTTTGAGCCTTTGGCAGTGATCTTTGCATTGCACTTGCAAGTTTAAACAGCAAATTGGTTTATTAACCAAGAAATGGTTTGAGATGAGTTTGTTTTGTTGAATAAGCTGTTTCTCGCCAATTTACAACCCAAAAATCATGACCCAAATGCGCTAATGGAGAGTTAGTAAATTGAATTGAATTAACAATTAGCTTAGGATTAAATTAGTGAAACAATGATGCCTGTAGGTGCCACTATTCTCGAAATATCGAAGCTCAAACTTTTAAGATCAATGGCCAAAATCAAGAGAACTGTAAATAAGTTGAAAAGTGTATTCGGTCCATGAATTGATCCAACAATTTTTATGGACGGATGCGAAGTTTCAGCTCTCTAACTCTTACGGTCATAGAATGGTGGAGGCTTACCTAAAAATCGAACGTATTTGTTTTACAGAAAACGGGAATATTTATTCCTCAAAATAAGTTTATTTTCTGATTAAACATCAAAAGCTTCATCAGGTTAATAAGTTTAATAAGAAAATCTACATCCATAACTGTACAAAAGCCGATCGAAGTTTCGAATTCGACTTCACTTTTTTCGAAAACTGTTGATCAGAGAAACTTTTAAACCGTACTTAGGGACTCAGGTTTTATACCTCTACAAACCACAAACCAACTTTCTTGCTATAAAAATACTGGTAACAGACGAGAAGTACAATTGTCATGAAGAGTGTTGGGATCTTTATTAGCGTTAATAGTAATGCTATTGGTGTTTAATTGACTTGCTTTATAATTAATTTTCTATTGATGAGTAAATTCTTTGACAATGAATCAAATCGAAACCAAAATAATTGATTTCTTTGAAAGTTCAATACTAATCTTTTCCTAAATAATTTATGCCTAAAATTAATTGAAGAGAAAGGTTCATTGTCCTGCAAAACGAAATCAGAAATTCATGTCGATGAAAGTATTGAAAAAATGAGATACAAAGATGAGTAACTGATATATTTATTTATGTAATGAGTAAACTATCATTTCAACGTTTATTGTCTTCTTTGTTATCATCGCCTCTGTATCGATCCATGAGTTGTATGAATGACCCACCAAACAATCCATTTCTAGATGAATATATATTTTACATTGGCTAAAAATGAATTACCTTATCAATTCATAATGTATTTCAATCAATATTGATGGCTTTTGATGACTTCCTTATCACTTTTAATGTCTATATTTTTGTATAACTAAAGTTATTATTATAAAACATGAGGTAAAAGAAACAAGCAAATGTAAATATTAATAATATTTCTGATATCAAATTTACAAAATAGAAACATTTGCTAATTTTTTCCTCCCAATCAATTCACAACAAAATTATTGTAATGAACAGAAAAGAAAAAATTTGTTGACATTTAACTTTCGCTTTTAATAAAGTCTTTGGGATTGAATTATTGCCATCACTATTTACATGATTTTACAGGGAAACAATTTAAATTTTTTGCATATACTTTGATGAAACAATTGAAATACAAATGGCAAAATGCAAAAGAGATATAAAAATGGGTATAAAACGGTAAAAAGGAGAAACTAATAACAGATTGAAATCGATTTGAGCTGAATTGTTGCTGAAGTGCTACAGTTTCCATTTACATTAGTGATCTTTTGCGTTCGTATCTAAAATCGCCATTTCCATATTCAATCGAGGTTTCACTTTCATTGGATGTTTCTTCACAAAAACAGATGAATAACGTATCAATGGTCATCTAAATGAATAAAGAGAAATAAAAAACAAGTAAATATCATGATATACTTCAATAAAAACAGAGCTTGAAAACATGGAGATTGCTAATGAACGAATGTATCATTAAAATTCAAACAAATTTCTGAGATGAATTGAATCTATCACTATGTAGCAGCTTATTAATTGAAGCAAAGGGAGAATCGATTGCTGGTTTTATAACAAGAGCTCGGAAAATTGATATTAGCCCATAAATAGTTTAGTTAAAAATAAAATTATGTATTACAATTGCTCTAAAAGATGTTAATGTATTTTGGAGATACTTTTGTCTAATTTTACCTCATAGACCGCGAGGAAACAGTGTGAAATGAAATAGGCAAAGATTGCTGAAACGAGTAAAGGTGACCAAGGATGGTTGAGTTTGTCCATTTTTTCCTTGGTTAATTCAGTGCCTACAATGAGTGTCAATGAAATGACCGATAGTTTGCCCAGAAGAAGAAGGAAATCTCCAATTGAATTGATGGTCGCAATTTTAAGAGTATTTGATGATAAAATGGAAAATGCTCTTTTGGCTGAAGTTGAAAATGAGTAACCATGAATTGCTGCAAAAAAAGATAAAACATTAGACACCAAAAAACATTAAAAGCTTATTAAAACGTAAAACTTGAACCAACCCATGACAATGTAAGCATTTTTGTTGATGTAAATCAGGAACTTTTCAAAAATCCAGAAAAAGAAGTAACAGAATTTATTCATACATCCAAGGGAATCCTTTGTACGATTGGTTCTAAATGAAAAAAGATATTGATTAAATATAACTGAATAATTAGGATGGATGAAACTTACAGAGTCTCGATTTTCTTAAACAACAATCTAATAATTTTCATTCCAACAACGAGAAGAGATCCAAGAGCAATCGATCCAAGATGATATTTTATCAGTTCAAGCATACTGCGAAATATCGGGTAGTTGAGTTGACTTTTGTCCCTGTAAATGTGGAAAAAAGGATAAATTTTAGAGAAAATTTTCAGGTGAAATCGGTTTTACCTTTGAAAGAACCATTTGGAAACGGAACCAGCAATAACATAATGTTGGCAGGCAGTTACAAAATAGATTAACCAAAGAATGGCAAATATATTGATCCATTTAACATACTAATAGCAATATGAAAATGAAAAAATGTAATCAACATAATCGAATAACAGAATGCTAGGTAAATATATATGTATCTATGTGAATCTCGAGATCATTGAACTTTCATTTGATATTTTTCATTGAAACCTTCGTTTAATGATTGTCAATGTTTTTAATGTATAATTTGCATGATAACTGTTTGCAGGTTGAATTGAAGTTCAAGACTCGTGGATAAAGTGTAAAGTAAAACTGGATAATTGAACAAAAACTTACCGAGTAAAGTGGTTCGAATCCATAGACAACAAAACCAGATTCAGGATCAACCATGGGTATACGATTTGACATTAGATAAAGAGTCCCAATAAACCAAAGAAATCCGAGTCCACATAAGATAATTAATGTCTGCGATAAAAATTATGGATTAGAATGAAATATTAGTGATATCACATTAATATAACTGAATTAAGATTGAAAACAATGATGCAGAAACAGAAACCTTAGGATAAATGGCTCAGAATAAAAAATCTGATGACGATGAACAAGAATTTACACTCATCGGAAACAGTAATTTAAAGAACACCTAAACAGATAATAACTGAATAAAGCTATCATATCAACTTTGGTATCAGAACTTTAACATCTTAAAAATTATAGTAGTTCTTAAGAAATATGGAATATTGAAAATGAATTATTGAAATAGTTCCCAAAAGGCAAAGACTTTCTCTGTTAATGATAAGGCCCATCACTTGAATGTTAATTTTCAGCTTTATTTGCTCTAAATGAAAAACTGGTTCAGACAAGAGACCAGATTTAACATTAGACCGATTTCAGTTTTCGGTTGAGTTTCTTGTAGATTCTAACATTCTAACATTGTAATAGCTATAATTGTGATCTAATATTGTGCTTAGTGCAAGTCTTGTCAATCTGAAATGATTGTGCGAAGAAAAATTTGATCATGAAGTCAAGAAAATGAGTTTGGACCCAACAAAACTTTCTTTGAATATCAATACATTTGGAAATATATCATCATAGAAATATCAATAATGCGAACAAAAGCGACCAATTGTTTACATTCTTGTTTCCGAATGTATTGACTTTTACAAATGTTTTTTCATTCAAAACTCATTTTCTATGACATGATTCTTTCTCTTCTTTTCAATCATTTTTAGGTAACAATGACTCTTGGTGAGGGGTAATGCACAACATTTTGGTTCAATAAGATTCAATATCAATTTCTAGGTGTTCACACATAGAGATATGTAACCATTCTTGCTGAAAATATCATTCAAGTGGAGTAATTAGGTTCATTAATAGCAACATTCAAGATTTTCTGCAAAATTGTTTGCCTATGCAAAAACATGGCTAATAACTGGACTTACCAATATTGGTTGCAACAGTAGAAGAGGCATTGAACCAATGGCTTTACCAGCTTCTTTGAACAATAGACAAACCAATTGAATCCGTTTTCGCATGACCAGAAGAACCAGAAGAAATATCGTCTGATAAAAATATCGAAAAGCAAAAAAGCAAACAAAAAGGCATTTTTAAGTCAAAAAATAGATTTAGCATTTCATTTCATAAGCTTGTTCCAATTTTAGAATGGAATCATTTTCAGTAAAACTTGAAATTTTCAATGCTAAATTTGGACAATTTATGGTTGAGTTAATCTATTTAAACAATAAAAATAATCAAAATAAAATCTGGTAAAATGTTTACTCACAGTAAAAACGGTTGCTCCAATACAGTAAACAAGCCATCTTTCAGCTTTGTCTGGCTCAGAGTCTGAGATAAGGTTAGGTTGAGTAATATTGGCGGTTGAGTTATTTGTGAATTTCAAATCTCCCCAATAAAGCCTAAAAAATCGTTAAAACAAAAACAGTTTCTTTATAAGTGACACTTTTTTAAATTAATTAATTAAAGTTAATTACCAAATATGAGTTGTTCCAGTTATTAAAGCAATGCTTAAAATGATCAACGTAAACCAAATGATTAAACTTGCCATAAACCTTATCAAAATAACCAGGAGTAAAGCAAAAACAAAGGAAACAATGAAGAGGTAAACAAGCTCTTTGAAACACAAAATTATATCCGATGATATGGAATCGATTATTCCTCTGGTATAATTAACTGTACTGGCCAAGTTTTCAAGTCCCACTCGACGAGGTAAGCATCGGTTAAATGTTGTTTTACTTTTAAATTGCAAGAAAACACAAGAAAAATGAAGATTAATTAACAAATTTGTTTAATTTATTTGCTTCTAGGTTCGCTCAGATTAGAGGAAAAGTATCCAATGTTTATGTGAATTGGAAAGACTTACATGAAAATGGCTTCATTACAATTTTCAACACAAATTCTTCGAGTTGTTCGATTGGTTCCAAAATAAATTAAAAGATAAGGCTTACGGAACATATCTTGTCCTGAGTAAGGTACATTATCAAGAGGACGGTTCTTTTGGCCACAGATGTTACCCCAGTTATCATAGCCGTGCAATATTAAATTTGGATTTGAATGTTTGATCACAATTGCCTCGAATAACAAGTAACCCTGTCATGAATTCGGAGATAAATTGAAATTAAATATATGGACAACAAAGAGAGTTAAACAAACCAACAGTCACTGGTTGAAATGTGCTGGTGCATTTTGAAACGAAATTCAACTTTTGCCTCAAAGTGACTATTGAGTGGACATAAGCAAAGGTACAAGTTGTTGAGCTCGAGTTAGGTGAATCACTTAATACTCAACATTGTTAGTTGTGATAAAAGTTAAAAATTTGATGGAAAAGCTTACCAAAAAGCCAAAAAACAGGACAAGAAGGATTAAAAAGAAGAGATCGGTTGGTTTATGGACTGATTTGGTGTCTGGAGATCTATAGCTTTTAGATAAGCGTTCTTTGAGAATCGCCTCTCTCAAGCTTAATTGTGATTCTTGAAGCTCCTCTGGAGTAAAATCAGCTGAAGTAGGATAAAAGTATGCAATTGGAGGGATATAATGAGGAACAAATTTTCCATTTTCAATGTTAACTGGATAATCGGTTGAGCGAGCAGCACTTGGTTCCCATCGAGGATCCCTGATTGTCTGGTCAATTGGGTGCAAAGTGAAAACCTATGTGACCAAGAATAGATTAGACTATGAAAGTTAAAACTGAAATGGGAAAACTATCAACAGGTTGTTTACTGCAGCTAATTAATTCAGACACTACCGACCGTTGATTCACAGTGATTTCAAAAGGATAAGACTAAAGCTTATTCAATAAGAAAACTCGTCGCTAAGCTGTTACTTTCCAGTTTTATTGTTTAACTAGAAGAGTCCTTTTTAGCCAAATAAGAGACCAGTTCTCTTATCTACAAGACTTCAAGCAATTTCTCAATAGCTATTCGAAAACAAAGGTGAAAGTTTAGTTCACAGATTTACTTTGTCTTCACAAGCAATTCGAAACTTGTTTGACCAAGAAAGTCTCTTCTTTTTAAAATAATAAAGCGAGAGAAAGTAACACCATTATGACGAGTCTTCTCATTAAATGAGAAAGACGAGTAAACCTTTTCTTTTCGTGGAGCAGGTCTTTCCATTCTGAAATCACTGAATAAACACAGTTCAAGCATCAGTATTTAAAAATGATAATTGATAGCATAGTATCTTAAAATCACACAACACTGAAAATTAGCTTCGAAAGCAAATAGCGGCTAATCAACTTTCTATCTAGTGTAACCTGTAGGCTAAAATTTATGGAAAAATGATTAGAATCTAGTATTTTTAGTTAATTTACATTATTCGATAGCACAGGGACTAAGTTTTTCTGTAACATGACCCAATTATGTCTCAGAATCAGCATTGATGTTATACACAAATTTAAGCTCACAGGTTTTAATAGCTTCAGTTTAAGAATGGTTTAAAAATGAGTTTAAAGACAAAATCGACTTTACCTTTGGATGTTTCATTGGTATTTTTTATTGAAAATGGAGCAATAAATCACATTTCACCGATTACAGTAAAAGACGGTTGCAAATCACAATAGAAAGTTCAAGTTCAATTTCTGTACGCGTTTAAGTTCAACTTTATAATCAAAGAGCAGCCAAATTGGAAAGCATATAATTAAGGATGAATTTGTTGGCAATGATGAGGTGTTAAACTTTGATACTTGTTCAATGGATTAAAGTTTCACCAAACTGAATGAAGAAGAAAAAAGACTTTCTAAAAACATTGAAAAACCTTTATTTGTGTGTTCACTTATTGTTAATCTAATTTAAAGTTTTAATCAACTGAAGAAGATCAAAATGAAAAGTCAGAATCGAAAGAGAAAAAAGTTGGGAGAACTGAAAGTGACACCAGATGATGGTTCAACTCATTGAGAAGCTACTGTTGTTACTCGATGTAACCATAGATATTAATAGTGATTTTTGTTTATTCGTCCTGTACTTTCTCTCTCTTTCCTCTTTCTTTTCATCATGTAATCGTCCTTTTCTTCAATTATAAAAATTGTAAGCTTCAGTCACGAATATTATCATCATCATTCCTCCTCCTGTTCCCCGTTTATTGGGTTAACCTTTTCCACAGGTAATTTTGCCTTTCCATTGCTTGGTCTCTACCAATCTGCATAATCGAATTGATTCACCCTTTTGATCAGTAGTAGAAAATGTATTTACTTTGATGAAAGGCCAATGACCTTTTCTGATGATCCCATGAACAACTGAAGTTACCCAATAAACAGATAATGTGAATGAAATAAACTTTTTGACTCCTTCCTAGATAATCAATTTGAAACTCTATTCATATTATTCCTAGAAAAAATTATCTTTTTCTTCTCTTTCTGTATATTTTATATTTACTTCCGACTTTATAGATCATGAAATATAATTAATGAGCGAACCAGGGTTTATTGGTGAAAAGTTGACCAGATAATTACATTTGCTTCAATTTTTAAACATCTTTTCCCTTGAACCAGCGTTTGGTATTGAACTTGACGATTAGGTTTTTCAGGCATTTCGGTATAATTGGTTTCTAATTATATAATATTATTGCACTGATCTTGATTCTTGATATTATAGTCTTTAATTTGTTGGAGGATTTGTAAGAAACAGTTGAAGGTTTGGATTAATTGTACAATTTTGGGTTTAAGAACAGAGTTTTTAATGAATTGAAGGCTAGAAATTTAAACTGGTCAAATTTAAACATTACAATGTAACTAAATTTCACAAGGAGTTGATTAATTTAATCGGAGTAAAGAATATCTTTGATAATTTGATTATTTTCAATTGAATATGAAATGATCAATCATCTGATCAAAGAGTTGTAATCTTTGTATCTGATAGACTTGCTAGTTCAAATTGTTATTATGTAACAGTCCCTTGAGTTGTTTTTGTTTATGTTAGATACATTGTCATTTTTCAACACTGGTTATGTTCAATTCTAATTATTGTTATTGGCTGGTTTATTCGTTTTATTTTGTCATTTAATTACATTTCAATTGTTTTATTCTAATTATAACATAATAAGATATGGCTGACGGAGATAAAGATTTTTTGACAGTTCTTAAAATCTTAATTGTTGGTGAGAGTGATGTTGGAAAATCAAGGTAAGAAATTTTGCTATTCACTTATCGTGTTGATGACTAATATTTTTTTTATAAGATCTAAATTGTTTGTTTTTTATTTTATTGTATTTTGATATCATTTTATGGTGATATTATGTCTTTAGTCTTTTGTTGCGGTTCACTGATGACACGTTTCACAACGAAGTTCCTGCTACAATAGGTAAGCAAATTTAATTTATGCACATAGGCCTTTGCATGAAAGTCTCATGGTTCTCCATCAGATTCATTTAACATTGATATTATTTTGAATATTATAAACTTTTCTACCATTCCATTTTATTGTGTTAAGCCCGTTTATTGGTTGCTCACGTCTTTACCTTGATTAACTTCAACAAATTAATGTTATCTAATTTTTTCTTGTAGGAATTGATTTCAAGTCTGCATATCTTGACGTAGACGGAGTAAATGTTAAGCTTGCTATCTGGGATACTGCTGGATCAGAAAGATTCCGATCATTAACGCCAAGTTTCTATCGAGGAGCTCATGGAGCAATTCTAGTTTACGATGTAACCAAAAGAGAAACTTTTATGAAATTGGAAAGTTGGTTTAATGAACTGGAAGTCTACTCTACTCGAGAAAATATGATTAAGATGGTTGTTGGAAATAAAATCGACAAAGAAAATCGTGAAGTTTCCCGTGAAGAAGGTTTGAAATGGGCACGAAAACATTCAACATTGTTTATTGAAGCAAGTGCTCGAACCAAAGAAGGAGTTAAAACAGCATTCGAAGAGCTGGTCGAGAAAATACTACAAACTCCTGGTCTATGGGAAGAAGTGAGACGAAAGCGAAATATCAACCTAGAGGAAGAAGAACCAGCGTCTACTGGTTGGTGCGGAGGTTATTGTGCCTAATAATTCTTCGGACATTTACACAACCACAAATCTCAATGGAACCCAATTATATCTGGAATAATTTTTTGCTATATTTCAAATTTAATTGTGATTCACGAGATCAGATAAATTGAAAGCTACATAATGGTTATTTAAAAATATGATCTCGATGACTAAAGAAAAATTATTCCAACGGGAGAGCGTAAATTTGAAAGCGAATCATCGAAGCTGTTTAAAATACCTGATGACATCAAATTATTTATAATTATTGTATAAAAAGCTTCAAAAAAATCAAGACCAGACTAATTAAGTCATATGGTCAAATACATTTTTTAAATGGATAATTTTTACCATTACAGATTACTGTTAATAAAAGTTGATGATCTAAGAATTGGCTGTAAAACGACTGAAAAAGTGTCGGTATAACAATGAGACTTGTCTTCATTTAAAACTTGATTTTATAATTTTAATATTTGGCAAATTAAATCAAATTCAATATTCAAAGTTTCAGAATGTTAATAATAAAAAAATGTTAATACCAAATCTTTAAAAGTTTTTAACACTGCTAGATGTCAGTGCAGCCAATAAAGGTTGCCATGGTTGCTGGTTGCTGGTTCCATCAGATTGAGAAAAATGATGATCTCTTTATCAGTTGTTATTTGTCAGTTTGTGTTTAGTTTGTAGGTTGCTTGATTGTTGATTTGTTTTTACATGAATACACAGTCCCCATATATATGCAGTCCCTCTACAATCATTCATTAATTAACAACTGCATTAATGGACAACAACAGCAACCACAGGATGGATCTAATTGTCCGTTTTTATTATTGTCTCGTAAAATGTCTCGTATCTCTTCAACTGGTTTACAACAAGATGTAGTTCCCGATCGGCCAATCGGTTATGGTGCATTTGGTGTAGTTTGGGCAGTAACCGATCCTCGCGATGGCAAGAGAGTGGCTCTCAAGAAAATGCCCAATGTCTTCCAAAATATATTGTCCAGCATCCGTGTCTATAGAGAGATTAAAATGCTTCTCTTCTTCAAACATGAGAATGTAAGTTTAAACCCAAAACTAACCATATTTTTGTCACAAAGTTCACTGTTCACTCTAATGGTTTCTGTCAATGGGAACTTTTGCCTATTTTGGGTTGCCAATGCTTGTTGATAATAAGGGTCTTTATCCTGTCTTTACTCACACAGTTTTTGTTTCACTCATCTTTCTCATTCATCACAAATCGTTTTTCATCCTTTTTCCTTTTCTTCATACTTTCACCATTTCAATCGATTACCAGTAAATTTATTTAACACGCAAATTTGGTTAAACACTGTTTGATATAAAATGGTCACAAAATGACCTTTCCAAGCAATGTTTAACATTTTCTCAAAGTATGTTTTTCTTTTATCATTTCAAAATGTTTACCATTTATCAAAAGTCTTTAGATTTTTGATTCTTTAATTTCATTATTCAGGGTTAAATATGCAATCATTTTAACTTGATTAATGTTTAACATGAATGACATGAGTGAGAGTAAGTAAAAAATTCCCTACACTTAATAATGGTAAGGTTAAAGACAAACAATAATATCAATTGGTCTGTTGGCAGATATCTTGGTAAAGGTGGCAATGGACGAAGCACCAGTTACATTCATTAACCTCAGTTCCCAGCCTAAAAATGTCAGTCTTCCTCTTCTCAAAAACCAGCTAAGGAAAAAAGTATCCTCTAACCTTGACAAAGTGTTTTGTTGGCCCTTCTTACCATTGTTAAGAAATAGAAAAACTTATTTTAAAAAGACAGAGAAATAGACAGAGAGAAGAAAGAGGCAAACAATTTTGACCGTTTCTCTTTCTCTTTTTTGACACTCAAATTTTACTATTAGCAAATATTTATGGTACTTTATAGTAAATTCAATTTTAATCATTACATGTTTTTGTTTGCTATTGACAGTTGATTTACATTAACCCAATATATATTATACAATCCGAGTAAACTTTATTATTATTATTATTACAATCCATGTCTTGATTAAGGTGATTAATTATTATTATATATAATTATTGCTATTAACAATATATACTTGTATTTATATATTTATATCTATGTACTTTAAATGGATTAGAAAAATTAATTTCTTATGGCAAGTTAATGATGTTAATCAATATTCCGATCTTGGCAGTAAAAAGTTTAACCCAGTTCCAAAGATGTGTCCATATTTCCAGTTTTTAGGGTAAATTGTTTGAATGAGAGTTGATTTGGTTGGCTTTTGAGATTCATTTGCTATAATCATAGGTGATGAAGGTTTTTCCTTGCTCACTTGGTACCGATGAGATGAGGCAAAAGTATCCAATCCGCCTCCAGCAAATTCATTTAACCCATCAAAAGTAGGCTTGAGATATTTTCTAATTCCAGACCAACCAGAACCGTGTTTACCATACATTGGTGATGACCATCCAGAATAACCTCCACCGGAAGGTCCATCCCAACCTGAATCATATCCACCCGATCCCCATCCAGACCATTTACGTCCTTCATCAGCTGAACTTTCATGTTTCCTTTTTGAGTCTTTCTCATGGTGAGCCGATTCCTTGAACTGTCCACTTTGCAGTTTCTTTTGCTGTCCATGAGAAGCTTTATGGTGTTCCTTTTTGTGAGCCTGAAAAAAATGTTGAAAATGTTTCACATTAGCGATCAATTTTTTTTTGTGTTTTTTCCATTGAATTTGAATCATGAGAAATGATCAATTTTAATCTCTTACCTCTTTGTGGTGTTGATGATCTGCTTTCTTTCCTTTGCTCCGTTTTCCTGCCTCTTTATGATGGTGATGCTTTTTATGGGCCAAATGTTTCTTTGAAGCATCTGAATGCTCCTTTTCAAGATGAGCACCTTTGTCCCAGTGCCATTTCTTGACAAACCCACCTCCTCGGTCCCAACTGTGCTTCAAAACTTTTTTATGCTCTTTATGAGCTTTAGAGTCAACATGACCTACTGCCGATCCGGCTTCCTTGTGGTGTGAACCAACATCATGGAACCGATGACCTCCCTTACCTTTCTTCAAATGACCTGCTTCCCGGAAATCCTCTGAATGTCCATGGCCAGCTTGCTTTTCTCCATGATGAGATTGATAGTGAAGTTTACCACCAGACTCATGGTGACCCTCATCCAGAGAGTCTGCCGAATACGCTTTACCAGGAATTGTTTCAGCCACTTGTAAATCATTTACTTCATTTGTCACCTCATTGTCACTAGGATCCAGAGTGCCAACATTACTACTAATCAGGGTTAACAGTAAATTGACTGCCAGTGCAGTATGAAACACACCATTGATTAACGATTGATTGATCCAGGCCATGATTGGCTACTCCTTAAATTGACACCAACACTATCACCGTGATGAACACAAGTTTTTAAGAAGAAGAAGAAAAAATCTGTTGAAAACTATTTCTCTTTTAAAACGTGACTGAACACCAGATTAATCAGATTCTTGCTGTTACTGTTACTCAAATCAATTGGAAACTGATACTAGATAAGATCCGTGAAACTTTCTTATATATATCAGATTGAGATTAGGTTTTAATCAAAAGGCAGGCCCAAAAATCATTTGGTCACTTTTAGGTTTCTCCCCCAATCTCTTTGTTGCATTCATTTCTAACCTAATAATAGAGTTGACATTTTTACGAAGTGTCAATTTCAATGTCACCTGTTGTACCAACAGTCACTGTTGCAATAGTCAAAGACAATCATGTATTTGTGAATTGGACATTTACTCAATTCAATTGTTTGCCAATTACAAGAGCAACAACTGGACTCTCAAGTGCTCTAATTGCGTGCTTTTTTTTACATTCACATGTTTAAGCTTTACGGCACTTTCCTTGTTGGTATTTTGTTCATTTTTTGTTCATTTCTTTACTCTAAGCTTATTGTTATCATTGTTTCATTCCTATCGTTTCTCAGTCTTAATCTGTATCATTCGTTAGCTAATTCTTACAATTTGATTGTCTCTACCAGTTTGCAATCAAACAACTAACCTTGACAAATTGTATTTCATCAAAATGATGAAGAGAGTTTAATTTTTAATTTGCAAATTGTTTAATTGCTCTTGTGTTTAACCAGCTCATTGTTTCAACGGCAACTTGATAACAATCTAAATCATTTTGGGTGATAAACCCATTTTTGTTACCAGTTTTTCATTTTAAGGAAAATGAAAAACCCAAAAAAAAGCAAAAATGTATTCCCTTTCAACTTTATTGTTGCTCTCATGCTTATGGCATTTTGTAATTATTAAGTAACAATCATTGTTTCTTTCCATTAGTAATTAGTAATTGTAATACAAATTGACACGATTTATTAATTTGGACAATTGTTTCCAATTGCAGTTAAACATTTAAATTCACATTTTCTGATAAACTTGATTGATGTTGATCACCTTTTCAATCACGTTTCCTTATTTGTAACTTTTGCTGTGAAAAATTGTCCAAACCCTTTTACAATCTTAATCAGTCGCAATTAAATTGGACACGAAATATTGATTGAAATTTGACCCAATCAAAAGCTCTTTGTAACACTGTTCATCAACACTTTGAAAACACTTTCAAGGATATAAAGCTCATTAATATCACGGTTTCATGAATTATCTGTGTCCTCACCTTGGCATAGATGATCAGTCTTTTTTTCATCACTTGCTCAACCATTATTTTCACTTTGCACTTTAAAAATGTATATTTCAAGTATACGATATGATTGGTAAATCTAACATTAAATATCAACATTGAATCATATTTTTCATCTTTCATGGAATCTCAGGAATATCTTTCTCAAACCTTTTCCCAGTATTTCATTGGGAATTACATGATCTAATTGTTGATATTAACTTATCAAAATTATCCCTTTTCATCCCACTTTGACTCAAACTTACATCCCAATTGAACTTGTTGGCAATGAGAATGAACAGTGAATATGTAACCAACAGTTTTTTTCGTTATTAACATTATCTTCTTTTTTTCCTTCTTTTTCTATTCCAGGTTTTATCAGCATTAGATTTTCTTCAGCCACCACATATCGACTTCTTCCAAGAAGTGTAAGTATCAGAATTGAAAAATTATTCATAATCTGTAAGCAAGAAAAAGAGTTGTCTCTAATGGTGTTAGATTCAATCTTTTTTATTGGAACTTTTTCTTTCTTTTCTAGTTCTAATTATTTTTTCTTATCAACAGTTATGTGATTACAGAGTTAATGCAAAGTGATCTGCACAAAATCATAGTCTCATCTCAACCTCTCACCTCGGATCATGTCAAAGTTTTTCTTTACCAGATACTTCGAGGTCTTCGATACCTCCATTCTGCCAATATACTGCATCGGGATATAAAACCTGGCAATCTCCTGGTCAACAGTAACTGTTTGCTCAAAGTATGATCCTTTTTATCATTCACATTATCACATGATCCGTTAACATGAAATGAGGAACCCTAATCAATCAGAGTCAATCTATTTGCTCATGATCATGTTTAATTTGCTAATTTAACTTAAGGTTCAACTTTGTTATCAAACAACATCAACACAAGAAACATTCATCAACCAAATCTATTTACAATCAGTTGACTTTCCTCAAAAACCCAAACATTGAAATTACATCTTGTTGATTCTCATCGATACAAATACCGATGAAGCTTTTCATTGAAAAATGATCCAACTTGAAACTTAAAATGAACAGATGATGGTCATTTAGTCAACATTAGTCCGAGTATTCCGAATGTTTTTCAGTTATTTTGAATATTTTCAATCCATTTACCCAAGCAATGGAGAAAGGTATAAACAGATTAAAATTAGTTATCATTAGCTTTTAAGGTTGGGTAATTCATTTCATCATTATTTTAATAATTTCCTGCGAGTTTAAGGTAGAGTTGATGTCGATTTTGTCGATTTGTTTCCTTTTCTGACAAGACTTTCTCTGCTTTTTGGCCAACTTTTCACCTTTCATCTTCCATCATTCATCATTAGGATGATAATCATCATCATTTTTAGTAGGTTAACCTGATTTTTATGCTTCAATAAGACCCATAAAAATTGTAACAGCAATCCCCAAATATTATTGATCTTTACTTACAGGAAGATGCATTTTGCCATTTTAATTGTTATCATAACCCTTTTCTTGATGCTTAAATCTCTTTCTATTTTCTTTCGCCAATTGAAGAAGCATAAATATCTCTTTCTACTTCAAGTAGACACAATTGTCACCAACTACTGTGATCCAATGTCCAATGACTATTGTAACATCAGACCAACTCCATATGTTTTGATTGATTTTTCAGACCTTAAAAAGTTAATTGTATATTTACACGGATTTAGCCCATTATTATGACAATTTATTGACAATTTATTGACAATTGTAATTGATGTTGTAGGTGATTGAACAAAACATAAACAGATAACCTTAAATTGATGTAAATGAATCTACTTTATTTATCGATCCCTCGATCCCTTAACTGCTTCCCAATTGATCTATTGGTTTGATTGAAAGGCACTTTAATATCTTTTTCCAAACTTATCATTATATTGACAATTATAGCCAACAATAATTTACATTTGATTACCATTTTTAATTACAATAAATTAACCCTGATTAATTATATTCCTCATTTCAGTGAAGATCTTTTGATATGCTTTTCAAAACAAGTAGAAGAAAAATATTAACCATTTTCTTTTCTCTCTTCTCTTACATTGTTACATCCTTATTGTGTCACACCTTGTTGATGGCTTCATCTTGATGTTCACTATCAACACCGTCATCTCCATCATGATTGTATCGTCACCACCATGATCTCCATGCTGATCTTCAATACACTTGTCTATTTGCTACCAACTGATAAACCATCAACACATTGCTATTCACCCACAAATCTTTCAATCACTTTGCTCATCTTCATTACCTGATAACCACGGAAAACCTCATTTAACTTGGATTTTTTCTTCTTCTTCTTCTCTACATTCTGATAAAAATCGTCCGACTTAACCTTTCATTTAACATTCCGATTTGACCTCCATTTGATACTTGAAATGTTTCTCTCCTTTTCAACTGGTTATCATGATTATCAACCAAAACTCATCATAAATGATCAACACAACTTGGCTCATCAATTTCATTTTTGAAATGATACTTTTGATCCAACCAAATCAAAAAACCATTTGACATTGATGGGGTCACTTGAAAATCACTTTGTCTTCTCAATATTACCAAAGATTTGTGATTTCGGTCTGGCACGGGTAAATGAAACGGACGCATCTAAACGTATGACACAAGAAGTTGTCACCCAATATTATCGAGCACCCGAATTATTAACTGGTGCCAATCATTATACCTTCAGTATTGACATTTGGTCTGTTGGTTGTATATTTGCCGAATTATTGGGGCGAAGAATACTTTTTCAAGCTAAAACTCCACTTCAACAGGTAATGTCTAATTATTTGTCAAAATGATATTTAACCCAAACAATCAGTCAACACACATTGTTCAACTGATTTAATGTGTTGATAAATCACAATTGATGGTTAAACCTGATAACAATGGAAACAAACTGTTAAGTGCAAGTTGAGCTTCGCAAACTGTATTCCTTATTTTTTTACTGGATTGTCTTAAAGTGTCAGATAAATTATCACAAAATAGCAATCAAAAGCAATTTTGGTAAAATGGCAACATTTGGCAAGAAACCTTTTCTGACCCATAATTTTGTCTTCAAACCTCATGCCATCCGTTCAGGTTAATAGGATATTGTTGCTTCCAATTTTATTTAAATTTTTGATTGTCAACGTGCAAAAGCAAATTTCAATAGCGTATTATTTTCAACCCTTTACTGTCATTGCTTAATCATCAACAATTTGAAATATTTTCTGCCTTCATCCCTTCCAGTCTCAATCTTTTACTGTTCAGTCTTTTCCATCCTCGTTACCATTATCATTATCATCATCTTTGACGCGATTCACTCATTCATTTCATCACATTCACTATCCAGTTATTCAGTTATACATTTTTTTTCTTTCTCTCTCTTCAGCTTCTTTCCATTTTACATTTATGTTTAAATATACGCACAATAAATACAGTTATAATTGATGTTTAACTAGAAATAAGTGGGACACCGATTGTGCGGAACAAAATCATGCCTTTTTCAGAACATGTTCTGCATCTTCCTATCATCTTGATCCATCTTCTCCTTACCAAACCTCTTGAAACAAGTCAATTGAATGTACATTTTGCAATAACAGTAAAAAAAAGTGTGTAACCAGGTAGAAACTAGTTAACAATTTACCTTGATCTTACTTTTCTCATTCTAATTAACTCATTGTTAAACACTTGCAACTAATTATCACCTCTCTGGTAACAATTGAATTTCAGGTTTTACCAAATTTACAGAAATGCTTCAACAAAAGCTTAACATTTGATTCCTTTTTGTTTATGTCCCAAATATCATCTGTTTCATTTTATTGATACTAATTTTTTTCTCTCTTTTTTTCTTCTTTTTTTTCTTTCCTCATTTTCCTGGACATTTGCACTTGAACAATTTAGCTTGATCTGATAACTGGCCTGCTGGGTACACCAACATGTGAAGACATGAGATATGCTTGTGATGGCGCTATTAAATACATACAAGGAAGACCTTACAAAGCTCCATCCCTTAGCGCATTATATACTTTATCACCACAGGCAACCCATGAAGCTGTTCATCTTCTCAGTCAAATGCTGATTTTTAATCCGGTATGGATTCACGTCATCAAATGAGATTTAATTTTTCCCATTGGCTTTATCGAGTCTCTTTCATTTATAGAATCATTTCTTTCTATATTGTTATTACGAAGGGAATTTTTGTTTCATTGGTAACTTTTTTTTTACTGGGAGCATCATTGGTTAGTCAACTTATCGGTTATAGGATTCAAGTTGAATGATCTTTGTCTTTAGCAATTTTTCTTCTCTTTCTTTTCTATCTATTCTGTATCTACCTTCTTCATCTGACTTAAAACTATGAGAGTTTAACTCATCTTTCATGCAAAAGTGTATTTCTGTGAACACTTCAAGGGTTCAAGAAACTCTTACCTCACTAACTCTCTCTTTCTCTCTTCTCTTTCTTTTTCCCCCTTCTTGGAGTTTCTCCAATTCTTGACTCATGAATTTTTTTCCCTCCAAAAGACAACTTGATCATGATAATGATGTCCTAAAAATGTCACCGTGAAACAATATCTAATGAGAGGTGAAAGCAATCGTTTTGTCACATAATCAATTTTCAAAACGAACCTCTTTTTCAATCTTAAATTATTGCTATCTTTCTCAAACAGCTTTCACATTCATGGTTTTACCACTAAACTTGATTACTATAAAAAGATTCTCATTAGTCTATGGTTATTATACAATCTGTATTATTCTGTAAAATCTTTTCATTATTATTCTCTATACACAATATTAATCCTTATTTTTTGTTTCTTTTTCCAGGACAAACGGATTTCTTGTACAAACGCTCTTTCACATCCTTATCTAGATGAAGGAAGATTACGTTATCATTCCTGTATGTGCCGATGTTGTCACACCGTTGGAGGTGTACGTCGTTATGCATCTGATCTCGAACCTTTGGCACCAACTGTATTTGATGATGGTTTTGAGAAAGGCCTTCATTCAGTGCACCAGGTTAAAGGTTAGCTTTTACCTTTAAAATATACAGAAAAGCAGACAATTAACTTTCATTATTTTTTATTTTCCTTTCAGACAAATTACATAAAACAATTTTGGAAAAATGTGGAAGTTACAATAGAGTTCCTCTTTGTATTAATCCTAATTCAGCAGCTTTTAAAAATTTTGCAAGGTAAATGCAGTTCAATCGTCTTATACTTGACAAACAATGTGTATAAGATTATCTGTAAAGTGTTAATCCCGAGAAGTTTGTTTTGACTGGTAATCACAATCTTGAAGTGGTTAAGTTTGATTTCCAGACTCTAAAATCAATAGCTTTTGAAACTCATCCGAAATCTGGAATAGCTTATAATGCAGTAAAAGAGTTACACCGAAAACAATAAGATGTGTAAAGAAAAAGATAAAAATGAATCAGATGACAGCCAGTGGATGATATAAAATTGTCTCTAATATTTAACTTCATTATCCGACTATGAATGTGATAAATATCTGGCCAGCTTGAGCAAAATTTTTATAAATTTTCCAGTTTTGACAAAACATAGTCAATTTCAACACATATTGTTTGATAATGATAAGGAATAAGCAGCCAATATCTTCCATCTTCATCATTATTGTATTAGCTGATTAGGAAGTTTCGTTTCCCGTTCTTATGTGGTTAATAGCGTAGCAACAAACCTCTTATTTTTAATTGTTTATCAACATCTTTCCAGAAATGTTTCACTAACAAGGGAAGGTGCCTAAGTGGTACGGTCCGATTCGGGAAATTTTATGATAAATCGATAGAAATGTGTGCAAAAACATGTCAGGTGAAATTTTAGGACTTGCAAATTTTCGCTTCAATTTTTATTCAAGTTTTCAATGCTTTAAGTCAACTTTGCCCATGAAAAATGACCATTATGAAGCTGTGAACAACATTCATTTTGTTTGCTTTTTTATGAAATGTCTTTGTTTTTGCCATTTTCAGCTTATTTCAATGGGTCTGATTAGACTTTAAAATAGAATAAAAATTGAAGCGAAAATTTGCAAGTCCTAAAATTTCACCAGACATGTTTTTTCACACATTTCTATCGATTTATCATAAAATTTGCCGAATCGAACCGTACCACTTAGGCACCTTCCCTTGTAAGTCAAATATGCTACAAAAACGACAAAAGTCTGGCGATTGATTAATCTGCTCAATTGAATTTTGACTCCTTGAGATTTCAAGATAGTTACTTTTCAAAGTAAACAACAGAATAAGATAATTATTCAAATGCACAATCAGTTTCAGATTTTCCGATCATCACGAAAAATGTTTGATTTTGCTAAGCAGCTATTTGAAGTCCTGAATGAAAGCCATGTCAAAACTAACTGATCTGGATAATCTTGTTCCTTTTATACTAATATTGTTGAGTCCGTAAAAACCCTTTAAACCGGTTGACGGAACTATTCTTATAAATTTATTTCAATTGTTTTCTTTTTCTTTCAGCTCTACTGTAGCTCATCCATCAGAACTGCCACCGTCTCCACATCAATGGGAATGTGCATAGGTGTCTTCAATTAAAACTAATTTTGAATATTTAGACAATTTTCATGTTTTTTTATACACAAAGCAACAAGAAACAAGCAAACGAATTACATGCAGTGACCGCAAAATGCAAAAGAAAGCGACAAACAAATCAGAGCAAAGTAAGGAAAGGAAAAGAAAGGAAAGGATTGGAATGGAAAGGAAAGGAAAAAAACAAGAGAAGCAAATTTTAATTCAATCCTGAAACTGGACCAACAATCAGATGGATTTTAAGGCATCCAATAAATTTATGGAAATGCAATATAATGATGAAATTAGAAGATATTCAACAACAATCGGCCAGTTTCTTCTCTTAACACAACTTTTTTTCTCTTAAAATGGATCATCATTTTTATATTTTCTTAATCTCTTTATATAATAACTTAATCTCGTGTTACACACCATACGTTTTCCTAGCGTTTATTGATCAAATAAACCATTAATTCACTTGTACTTTACTTAACCATTGATTAACCTAACGATTTTAGGCTTTTACTTGATCTCAACACACAATACATCATCCATTTGATTGATCAATAAAAATTTAACTTTCTTATCGAGGTTAACTCAGCCATCTTATTGAATCAACATCAAATTATATCAATTACCAATGAATGGGAAAAAATTTTAATCAATTTATCACAGTTGAATCACAAACGAACATGATTCAACTATCAAAACACGACTTAATTACTCACAATAAATATTACTTGTCAGTAAAACAAACTAAATAACACAGAAATAACAGACCTAAGGAAGGTTCACGAACTGCTTTTCCGTTTCATCTTATTTTAAAAATCTTCAATATCTATAACGAAAACCATTAGCGATTTTGAATGGTTTAGCTCGATCAGGATGACATCAATCTTGTTTGAAAGACATTGAATTGTTATAGAAGGAAGAAAGACAGTCAATTGAATTTAAATGTGCAAATATATTATTTATTAAATTGTTCAACCCCTAGCTAATGACACCAAGTTATATGTACAATATATACATATCAATAGGAAAAGGAAAGATGACATTATACAAAAGTCTGATTTAGATGAAAATAGGTACAGAGAATGTTAATTACAATTTTGGCTCTTTGAGTATTTTTCAAGTTGATTGTGAATGAAAAATATTGTTATGAGGAAATAATTTAGCTTCCAATTGTTGACCAAATCAGTGAAAAGTGAATTATGAATTTGATTGACTAATATCACTTTCTTGCTCTTATTTGTGGCCCCAACCATGACCATGGTGTCCATGATGTCCGTGCCAGCCGTGTTCCTAAAAATAGAAAGTAAATCAAATGTTAATCTAATGCTAATTCAGAAACCAATGGTTTATGGCTGATGGATATTTACGTGTTTATGTCCATGTTCATGTTTGTGACCATGTTTGTGGTCGTGACCGTGCTTGTGCCCATGATGATGCCAGTTGTCGTGTTTGTGCCCATGTTTGTGGCCCTAAGAGTAAAAGAAGTGGCAACATTAATATCGTCTTACTGTTGAATCTATCAGTCGAAATTAAATTGTTAACTTACATGTCCATGCCAGTGATCATGCTTGTGTCCGTGGTCGTGTTTGTGTCCCTATTGAATGAAGGAATAAAAGTTGAATTAATCATTCGTGGTATTTGCAGTCGATCGAGTTGTCAACAAAAACTTCCATTTCTGTTGCTGTTGCTCAATGATCATTGAAGCAACCAGAGGAATAAAGCGTCTAAACCTTTCGATTAAAAATCAAATCTATTATTACTCCATTTATGTGGCTTGATTGTTTTTTTAGTCTAATTTGATTTGTTTTCCTTGAATGAAAATGTCGATTCAGTCCGAATTTTCATTATCGCTTATTATCCTCACAGCTATTTAAAAGTTTAAATGTTTACTGTACTTACATGACCGTGTTTGTGACCATGCCAGTGATCGTGTTTGTGTCCGTGTCCATGTTTATGATCATGACCGTGTTTATGTCCATGATGATGACCATGGCCATGTTTGTGTCCATGATGGTGATCGTGTCCGTGCTTATGTCCATGATGGTGGCCATGTTTATGGCCGTGATGATGCCAAGCTTCATGCTTGTGTCCCTGAAAGAGCACATAACAAAGATGACAAGAATGTCATCAATACAAATTATAAATTATATTAGCTTTTCAAATAATCTAAGGCCTACGAATCTTTCAATTAAATTCAATAACCAATCGTAATTTTCAATTTTCAAAGCTTCGTTTTCAACTTAACAACTCTCATAGCTTTGATCAATTAAGCACCTAGTCAATCATCAGTTGAAAGGATCAAAAGCTGTCTAAACTGGTTAAAGGATTGAAACATTGAATGATTGATATTCGCCCAAATCTTACATGATCATGTCCGTGTTTGTGTCCATGATCGTGACCGTGTTTATGTCCATGGTGATGATGGTGCTCAGCGACCTGCTTTGAATGGTGGTGGTGATGATGGTGGTGATGAACTTCTTCTGTGTAGTGAAAGGAAAGAGCACAGAAGCACGTTAAATTTGAACGGTAATGTTTAACTAATCATTCATTTTGGTTGTATCTAATGATTATTTACCTTCTTTCTTGCAGCCATGATGATCGCCCCAACCAGCGGAGGGAACAGGTTGAATTGCTTGTTGAATGGGGGATAATTTAATCAACCCATTGGAAGAATCGAACTCAGGACTAATGTCATTAACATAGGCTCCAATAGGATCACACCAAGCTTGACTAGTGAAAAGGATCAAGGAGCAAACTAAAGTAAAGGTCCTCATGTTGTTAGTGTGCAATCAACTTGCGGTACACTTGTAATGAATATATTTATATACTCAAGCTATTCCGTTTGTTATTTGTTGTTTACACTTTGAAATCACTCGATGATCTGATCTTTTGTCGTAAAATCAATTCACTTATATACTAAATCGTAAACTTTGATTCTCGATTGAGATTGTATCAAGTTACAGTAACATGTTTAGTATTGAATCTGCATTGCTTTGTAAAAAAAACAATGAGATCGATTGAACAAACCATTTAAAAATTTAATTTTTTCAGGTCTAAATTAAATTCTTGTTGAATACTTCCGAAAAAAAAAAGATTTACTCGCCCAGTGATTGATCAATGATTAACTTATTATGTTATTTACTTTCTTTGATTAACCTCAATTTTCATTCAATTTGTTGTCACTTTTTTTAGCAAGACTTTTTCAACTGTTGCTCGATAAATGTTACATTTTCAAACTTCCTTTATCTTAATCAATCACACAGTAAATGATCAAATTTTAATTGATATTATTAATTTGGAATAAACAGCCAATCATCAGAAACAATCGATTTACGCTGTTGTCATTATAAAACTCAGGTTGTGAGGTTGTGATCAATTTTTACAGAAAAGTTGACATTTTTTGTAATTTCTGTTTCATTATGTTTCAGAATCCATCAAACATATTATTCAATCACATTCAAACCTTTTAACCGAATTAAATGTGTAATTAAATCATTTAAAATGGACAACAGTTGAACGTTTAGCAATCAAACTGAGCCACATTTAGACTGACATTGCCTTTCAATGTGTGTCACCTAAAGCTGTAGACAATTGCTTAATAGCTTGAGAAACAATCAATTACCAAAAATACAAAATTCTAACTCTATTTTGGCATTCATTGAAATTATATGGATTGCCGATTGAATATCAGTGCTTAATTTGGCTCTCGATGATAGCGAGTTGAAGTAATGTAAGTGTTGAATGTACAAGTTAATGGACAAAATCTGTTTACCTTCAATGAAAACAAAGTGAAAACAGATGATATTGTTGCTCATTGTTATAAATTGTAATCAATTAGACGATTGTTTGGTTTGGACGTCAATTTGGCTGTCAATTGTTGATGGAACTAGGAGCCTAATTGAAAATTTAAAGTAACAATATGTTTCCGACCTGTTCATCATTAGTGAAAACAGACAATATAATGTAAAGAGTTTAACAAATTATGTGGAATTATCAACCTTATGCCTCTCCATCATCAGTTGATTATAAAGTAACTTGCACTTGTATCACATTGAATTGCATTACAACTTCATCTATACTAAATAAACCACCGCTAATTGTTCCGTCTCAACCAGAGCCAGAGTTAATAACCAATGTTACCAATGTGAAAACACGAAAGCGTTTCAAGCGGTACAAATGTCCGACTTGTATTTATGAATGTACCGAGAGGGGTAAATTAACGAGACACCAAAGGATGCATGCTGGCCATAAGCCATTTAAATGTCCATCTTGTCAATATGAGTCTTACGATAAGTCCAAGGTATTTTAGTGTTTAATGTTCACTAATCGGTGCTTTTATAAACAATCATTGGGCAAACAGCTGTTTTTATTCTCATTGGGATAAGGATATTGATTTGTCCAACGTGTCTTTTTGTTCACTTTTACTTTCTAAGAAAGGTTTCACTCAACTTTGATCTTTTTTGATTATTAATATAGATTCGTCGCCATTATGTAACTCATACTCGGGACAAGCCTTTCCAATGTGAACTCTGTGGTTCGCGATTTACTCAATCAGGTAGCTTGAAAACACATCTGGCTAATGTACATAAAATGGAAAAGGTTGAATTTCTCTGTCCTTTCTGTACTAAACTGGTAACTCAGAATATGGGTGAATTGAGGAATCACATCAAGACTTTGCACCATTCAACCAATTACCCAGTGATTGTTAATAAAGCTTATAAGACAGGTTGATTTATTTTGATCTGCATTGTCTTCATCTTTACCAATATGACTTGCCCATGACAAAATGCCTTTAACTCCAAGTATTTTTGCAAACAAGGACACAATAAATATTTTTTAACCAAACAGTTGTAGCTCAATTTATTATTGTTAAAGATTTATTAACTCAACTGCATCAAGCAATTAACACAGGAAAAAGTCAGTGAAAAAACATGTGAAGGAAAAAACAAGTTGAAGTAAAGATATCTGAACCTAAAAAATCCGATATGGATTCAATGATTTGTTACTCTCCATCTCCCTTTGTTAGTTTTGATTGCGTGTAATTACTTTATCATTTTAAATTAGACATCCGTACTACTTATCTGAGTTTTATTCATTGGTCACACCATTTTTAATAGCATGATGAATTTTCCACGAACTTTTTTACTTATTTTAGTGCTTTTCGCGTCAGCCACATATTCCAGTGGAGATGCAACAAAGAGCAAAGGGCCAAAAGTAACTGACATTGTAAGTATTTTTCTTATTCTTGACAATCATTGACAATTGATCCTGACTAATCGCAATTCTAATTCTTAATCTTAGGTATATTTTGATATAGAGATTGGTGGTAAGCCAGAAGGTAGGATTGAAATCGGTGTTTTCGGTAAAACCGTACCCAAAACTGCTGAAAATTTTATCGGTTTAGCCAAGAGACACATAGATCAGGTTAGTTAAATCATTTTATTCTGAAAGAACTCTTTGTTAAACTTATCTTCCGATTCATCAACTCTTTTGCAGCCAAGCTCCGATGGCAAATTAGTTGGTTACAAAGGTAGTACATTCCACAGAGTAATCAAAGACTTCATGATTCAAGGAGGGGACTTTACTAACGGCGATGGAACTGGAGGTGAATCCATTTTTGGACGTCGATTCAATGATGAAAACTTCAAACTTAAGCATTATGGTGCTGGTTGGCTTTCTATGGCTAATTCAGGTAAAGACACCAACGGTTCACAATTTTTCATAACCACAAAGAAAACTTCTTGGCTTGATGGGCGACATGTTGTTTTTGGAAAGGTCATCAAAGGAATGGTTAGTTTTTTATTCTTTTTCTTTTTTACTGATTGTTATGATCAAGATATTCATGCGGATTTAATTTTTATATTTTTCAGGATGTTGTTCGCAAAATTGAGGCAACTAAAACAGACAGCTCTGACAAACCAGTCGAAAAAGTCGTAATCGCTGATAGTGGTACTTTACCAGTCTCAGAACCATTCTCTGTTTCCAAAGAAGATGCCACCGATTAGATTGCTAATCTACATTGATCGATTTTATTATTTCAATTTTATTATTTCAATTTTATTCAATTTTACTTGAATTTTACAATTAAATCAATTAAATTTTTAGAGTATTAGTTATTTCAATTTAAAACTTCAAACTTGTTAAAAACAATCCACGCGACCGAAGGATGTGTTGTCAATCTCAAGACAGATTCAATGGTAAAATATGCAACCTTTTCATTCCCTCAACTTTATTGCAGCACATCAATCTTCTAATTATGTCATTCAGTCAAGTGTACCTTTAAGGTAGAATTTTCACAAAAATTTTCACAAATCTCTTTGTTTTGGGTTAAAAAATATTTCATTTGGTGTTGGGTTTTTATGACAGTGATGGTTTTCTTTAAGTGTACAATATGAAATCTTTATGCCTATAATTTTCCATATACAATGTTAATTTTTCTTTTTTTAGTATCAGATATAATAAATTAACGGACAAGGCAAGTAATACAAAGTTGAATGGGACCAATACAGTCGTTATGACAAAATGCACCACATTTTGAACAGATAACTAACGCTTTTAGGTTACAGTCACAATTATTCCGATTTGCAGAGCCTTGATTTGCTGCTATGGAAGCTAGGTTAATTGTTGTGACTCCTTGTGTTAATGACGGGGTAAAATTAGATTGAATCCCATAAGTTTGATTGACTGAGTTGACGGCGGTATTTACAGCATTTGTAGTTATCGTGTAGCTGTTGGAAGAGTTTACAATTATGTGGTTGTTATTGTTGGAATTGTTATTTGTGAAATTATTGACTTTGACGGTTGAATTACTGGTTGGAACTGAATTTGTAAAGACATTGGACGAATTGACCGGTCCCGGTCCTAAAGGTATCACCGTAATATGAGGTGGCAGTTTGGGTAAATCACTACAATAACCTGGTATTTGATTGTTGAAGTCTACCGAATAATCCTTTTTATTGCTTATTTCATCAGAGATTCTGCGATTAGTGTTTAAGCAATTAGATAAAAACAAAATTTGTCGTTGAGAGCTGCTACCGGGATTAACTGTTTGATGAGATGGTGTTACAACCGAGGCTTCATTGCTATTGTTACTCATATTGTTCGAATTATCAGTGCATGGTATAATTGTTATACTATCTGGTATTTTGAATGGTAATTTCAATCCGTTTGAATCTATATATACATTGTTGGTGGTGGAAGGTGATGTTGATGTTGCATTAGAGTCAATATTTTCAATAGTAACTCCTTTGTGGCTGGTGGGTTCAATATTCGAAGGAATAACTACAGATGAAGATTTTTTATCGTCACCGGATATTGGTTCGAGAGTTATACTTGAACTTAATTTTTCAAGTTTTCTTCTTGTGGTTAAACTTAAAGTATTATCGTTCTGTACAAGGGATTGTAGACTTCCACTGTTATCTTCCTTTGTCATTTGGTTAGCTTTGCTATTGTTTTTAGTATTGTTATTAATCGGCTCTTTTGGACTCATAGTTGAAGATGATTTAGGTGAGGGTGTTGATGGAGTTGACACATCACAGTTAATAGAAACTGAAGTTATTGTCAATCCTGGTGGAGTTTCAATTGGTAATTGAGTTTTGTTTGGCTGAATAGTTATTGAAAGACCAGAAGGGACCGATGCATCATGAAGATAAAATCTGCTGAGATCTTGCCTTTTATCGTCTTCAGAAATCGTATGATCTGGTGGAATATTTTGTAATCTACTATGATTAGCAAGTAAAAATAATCTTCCAGCAGCTGATTGAGTCATTGGATAAGGAGGGAAAGGTAATTCCTCTTCCATGGCGGCGTCTAAACTGCTGTCTAGTAAAGTTGATCGCTTTTTTAAAGGCTTCTTTTTACTATTATTGGTGTGATTAGAAGATGATGGTTTTGTCGAACACTCAGAAGGATTATTTGCTGATTTGCCCTTAACAGATGGTACAACAACACTTTGAACTTTGGGTATTTTAGAAGATATTTCATTTGATTCCTCCTTCTCTTCCATAATTCTCACTTTCTTAACAGGAACGTCTAATGAATTTGAGAGGTCGATATTGCTTTCTTTAGGCGATTGAGGTTTATTTTTAACCATTGAGCTTGCGTCTATAGGTGTAATAGTGACCAAACCAGAGTTATTGAGAGCTGTTATTGGTTCACTGATCGAATTAACCATTTCAACCCGTTTATCTGGAGCTGGAGCTGGAGCTGGAACTCCTTCGATAGAAATATCACTAGTTTCAGAAATCGATGGTACAGTAGCTTCCTCTGTTATCACATTATTCTCCTCCTCTAAGGAGTCGTTGATACCATAAAGATTTTTATCATAATAGTTTTTATTACTAGACTTGGGTTTCTTTAAAATAGACTTTAACACCGGTTGTTGCTTAGAATCATCATTGACTTCAATTCTAGATTCCTCTTGATTAGAAGTGGCTGAATTATTACTAGAGAGGCTACAGTTGATTTGATTGTTAAGGCTGATATCTGTAGAGCTCAGCTTTGTCCTATTTGCATGGACGGAAAATGATGAAGGCTCGTCATCAATATTAGAAGAACAACTACTACTGCTTCGACTAAATTCACTTTGTTGTCCATTGTTACCATATACAGATGACTTTGGTATTCGGTCAAGCTCGTTATCAATTTCTTTTTGGGATTCGAGAGCTTCCCCCCAAACTCTTTCAAAGTGTTTAGCTTTCCAAGGATCAAGCTTAGAAGATTCCTTGAGGATCTCATTTCTCCATCTCACTAAAAATTCTGGAGTCAATTTCCCATCTTTTAATCTATCACTCCAAGATTTCACAGCTCGGTTAAAAAATTCATTTCTCAAAGCTGTTGAGCTCATTTTTGTCCATCCTTCAGAGGTGGTAATTTGGTCGCATTTAGGTAGCATCTGAACCAATTTATACTGGTAAAATAGAGGTAAAGAATTGAAGGTAGCTTTGTTTATAATATCTTTAAGATTTGTATTAACAAAAATGGAATCAGGGGTGGTTATATCAATCTTCTCTCTAGTCTCAGCAATTTGAGATGAAGCTGAGCATTTTCCTTTTCTCTTTTTTTCTCGACCGCCACGGACAGAATCGAGTAAACCAGTAACATGAGCATCAACAACAGCAATATAATCATTTCGTATTCGATCATCTTCCATATCTTTAAGAAATTTTTTAACCCTTGAAGTATCCATGGCTGGTGTTGTATTTGATGTTGTAGTAGTTGTTGTTGTAGTTGTTGTTGTTTTCATTGTTGTTGTGGTTATTGGTGTTGATAAGGTAGATGATGTTAGAGTAGTGTCTGAATAGCATTGTGGAGTTTTACGCTTTCTTTTAGGTCGCGTATTCATGATCTTGAATCACGTATTCATGATCTTGAATCACTTGAAATCACAAAAAAATTATAATATTTTAATTAAATGTTCACATTAAGCAACTAAGAAATGTCAGCATAGAGTTACCTAGCGAGTCAAAAAAATAGCCAAATAATAATAATAAACATAAACAAGCGCCATCTATTTTCTTCTTTCCTTTCAACTGACACTTTGCAAGATTTGCTGGATTGTAACCAGGACAACGATTACTAAATTCAATTTAGTCATCGTTGTAGTTATCGATAATCGTTTTTTTAATTGTCGGTACGAAATTGAAACATTTTGAAATATTCGAGGATTAAGAATAAAGTAAATTGAATAATCTTGCATAATATAATCTTCATTTGTAATAGTGGTTATCATCAGATTGGAAACCAAAATTAAAGGAAAATAATTAGCAACGATTCTGGTCATTTTTGATTAACCAAATGTTGTATCAGTAATAATTAATAGTTGTAAAAATTCCTGTCTGATAATAATGACTCTGTCCATTACATTTTATAAATATAAGTGAGAAATATCTCAAAACTAATTAAGCCCAGATAAGAAGAGGCAACATCTGTTAGACGGAAACTGTTGATCAGGTGATAAAAAACATGCTTCATGTAAGCACGTTTCCCGCTTTTCTATATGCTGTTGAATACCACGTGGTGAAAGAAAATGAAATTCAATTATAATGGCGAAGAGGATTTATTCAATTTTGATTAGAGGTTTGAAATAGGCATAGAAAATAGGAAGATAGGTAGAAGAGATGATAATTAATAACATAATCAATGTAATTGGAACAAATAATTGGCTACTTGTTAGGTCTACTTCTTATTTTGCCAAGGTTTCTTGTTTCCTTTATTTCCTGGAGATCCACCAAATTTACCTGGGGTACCTTTTTTACCAGAGTTTTGGTTTTTGTTGTAGTTATTTTGAGGTCCCTTGTTCTTACCACCGGACCATTGTTGTTTTCCACCTTGGAAACCTCCTTTATTTTGCTGAGGAGTTACTGCTTTAGGAGTTCCCTGCTTATTATTCTGGTTTTGTTGGGGCTTGGCTGGTTGACCAAGTTTAGCTGGAGTACCTTTTTGGTTATTTTGTTGTTTAGGTTGAGATTTAACGGGCTTTTTTGCTTCAGGACTGCTGTCGTCCATATCCTCATCATCTTCATCATCATCTTCTTCATCGTCATCATCATCAAACTGATCCAAGAGATCACTCATACCTCCTTCATCTGACTCTTCATCATCATCTTCGTCGTCATCATCATCGTCGTCTCCTAAATCGGCAGCTTTTGGCTTTTGATTAGCTTTAGCTTGAACATCATTTTTACCTGCTTTGGCTGGCTTAGCTTTCTCTTGTTTTTTCTCGGCCTTAGCTGCTGGAGCTTGAGGTTCGTCACCACCACCAAACTTAACCTTTTTATTAGCATCTTTAGGATCAACGGCTTGCTTTCTTTTCTTGTCATTCATAGCTGCTAACATTTCTTCAGCTTCAGAATCTTCTTCACTTCCATCAAAATCGTACATATCTTCAGAATCTTCAATGTCCGAGTCAGGCATGATGTAGCCAGTCAAGTGAATCTTATTTTCACCATTAACGAAGAAGGAAATAGGTTCATCCTCGGTGAAAACAAGATCAAGTGGCTGTTGTAAAACTCTTTGTTGATCAAGATTACAAAGAATGTAAGAGTTCTTACTACTTTCAACAACTAAAGAGGTAACTGTTGGCTTATTGGGTGCCGGTGCTTTAGTGGAAGGCTCCAATGCAGCCATAGTCAAGTGGAATGATGCTTCGGCCTTTTGTTCATATTTCTTACCAGGCTCCAAAATAAGTCCTAAAAAGAATTGAAACAAATTCAAAAATCACGTTACATTGAGACGAAAACCGGTCAAAATAAAATAAAGACATAAAATAAGACAAAAAATAGGTAACACTATCGTAAAATGAAGCATAATCAACAAGAATAAAATAAAACTTCAGCAAATATAATCAAAATGAACAAAAGAGAATTAAAACGTAATTGAGAAACATGGATCCCACGTGCGTTGAAGCCATGAGGTTCATAACGAAGCGAGAAGTTAAATTAAATTCAAAGTAAATTGGACAAAAACAAATTAAAGGATAAATAATTGATAAATAGGATTAACTTACCCCAAAACATTTTCATATTTAATTAACAAGAAAAAATTATGACAAAGAATGATATAACAATGAAGGTAAAATGAGTTAAACTGATGAGGTGATGTTAGGAAATGATTTAAATTCACTTTCTGTTGAACTCGCTACTTATGAAGAAGGAAAGCATGAACGAAAGACGGAAAAGGAAACAGCAACTCAAACAAAACTAGAAGCGCCTTTTTCAAAAAAAGGATTTCCATGGAAATAAATCCAAAGAATCTAAATAAATCATTTTAATCTTTCTTTTTTTTACCAATCAATGAATTGCAATTTGAAAATAAATGCCAATTGGTCAAGCATTTATAAATTGGCAATTGGTTAACAAATCAAATAAAGTCTGATTCGTTTTTGAATGAAATTTTTGAAAACATTTGTCTTTCTCAATATTGATTGTGAATATTGTGATTAACATTATGATTTGAGAATCAATTGTTAACAATTTTGACACATTTCAAATAACAAAGCAAAGAGTAACTAAAAAGATGCTTATAAAAAAGGACAAGATGAATGTAAATTTAAATAATGATTTGAGCTTGAAAGCAAATGTGATTTGATTGTTGAACCGTAACTTGATAACCAAGTCAATGTCTTGACAGACACATTATTACTTGATATCAATGCTTATATTAAAATATGATGTTCAAACTGTAAGCATTGAACCAGTCAAGGTGAAGCATAAAAATGTATATAAAACATGTTCAATGTTGTTGTAGGCTTACATTTCGTAGTCAATATTTTTCAATACACGTCAAAATGTTGTCAAAAAGACGGTAAATCAAGGCTTAATCAATAGTTAATCAATTGTTAAAGTAGCAATATTTTGAAAAAAGTGTTTAATTAGCAATGAAAAGGCCAAAAAAAACCTATTCTCAATGAAAGGAATCACTAAACCAGAATAGAAATGATAATTTGCTTTCTTACAGTTCAAATGTTTCCTGGAATGTAGCTAAATTGTCCAAAATGTTTAGTGACAATTTGTCGATTAACCACTAAACCAGAATCTGGAATTAATGTGAACCATTTTAATCATAAAACAGTTGTTAATGATGAAAAGTTGACCAGGAATGTTAATTGTATTTATGATTAAACATGTTGCTTAAACTGCCATCCACTCCATTGAAAAGGTTAAGCATTTACACTTGAATTATTGATTTCAGTCAACCCTTAAAATCTGCTGATCAACAACAATTAGGCGTCTTTGATATAATTGAATTTCAAAATACCAGATTCTTTGGTTCATTTTTAAAGTCAAGCTTTCAGTTTTGATCAATAAACTGTTGTAATCAATTGGTTAACTCTGGATAAATATATTGTCTGTGAATAATAGATTTTAATTAAAAGTTGATTTTATCAGAAGGAAAAAAAGGAAATTGAATTCAAAGCCGAATGTATTTTTAATTAAAAAAATGAAAGTCTAATTTTCCTGGTTAATAGATTATACAAATTGATAATATTCAACATTCACTGTCTCCGAGAGTTACCCATCGATGAGGGTTAAACAGTGTTAAATAGTCCAAGTCTTTAGGTTTACAAGTCTCACCAGCTTGGCCTCTCTTCTGGGGCTTCGCATAACAAAAATTTTAAATTGAGTTGCACTTGTACATTGGATTTTTATATTGAATTGTTGATTTAGGACATGAATCCTCATGTTTAAGCATTTATATTTGTATCTTTCCTGTTGGCATTCAGATTTGACATGAAAATTTTCTTGGAGCTCTTTGCCAGCCAAAGCCTCCAAAATCTGGTCCAACTCAACAGTTAGTTGGCCTTTTGAAAGATACGACAAGCACCTTGTTCGTATTTTTTGAAATCATTATCTCTAGGTGAAGTGTTGGCTTCAGAGGTTGGATTTTTTTCTGAATTGAAAATCCTTTCAGGCTTGGCTCGATGACCTCGAGTCTCTCTTACCTTTGACTAAAGGTCACCTTTGTAGGAACGATTGTCCATGAAAATAAATATAAATAATCTAGATAAATCAGTTACATGTTTCTATTTTTCATGAAATTTCATCTTCCAAATAAACATCAATTGTATTTTGTAAATACTGAAGGAATCAAATAAAGTCTGAATCGTTTTATGAATCAATATTTTGAGCTTTCATTTACAACATTGTATTTAAATGGTCAACATGAGAACTACTAGAGTTTAAACTGACCATGATATGGAAACAACAACTTTAATCGTTCATATCAAGATAATATTGTAATAGTATAAGTATTTGGTTTTTTTTATTTTATTTTAATCATTACCTTTTTACTGTCCATTACAGTTGTTACGCACGAGTCAATCAAGAAACACTTTACCTTTTTTAATGGCTAATTATCTTTACAATTAATATTATTGTTATTGGTCATCTTTTATTAGTTTCACCCTTTTTGGCTCCTCAAATGTGAAACAATGTGATAATAGTTTTTTTGACATTTAATGGTCATTATTCATTTTCATCTGAACGTTTTTTCTTGTAAATCATTTTGACCAGTTGACAACTTTAAACATTCAATTGATCAATATTTTGATTCGTCTTTTGATTGTCTTGGCTAATCATTGAAACTTTTATTGATGTTCAACTAAACGGTTGATTCCCTTTTTGAAACACTTTGAGTTGATTTTGATTTGCTTTTTTTCAATTTACTCTGAATCATAATGTAATTTTACATCTCAATTTGATTCCAACTAATCAACAAATTGGTCCAGGATTGACCCTATTAATTGTTAATAAACCGTATCTGTATAAAGGTTTATTAAGATGTTTATTTGTAGATAAAATGAGGCTTGAAAATTGCTCTAAATATTGATTGTTGTTGCATTTCTTTCAATTACAATTGAAATAAACAGTTCACATTTGATTGATTTACTTTCAATTTTTACTTTCATTTAAAATCGATTAATCGACTTGATTGTAAATCTCATTATCTGGATCCATAGGATTGAATCTAATCAGATACAAGATGGCTTCTAAACCGGTAAAGTCTCTTCGTTACAATTAATTTCTTGTTTAATTTTCCGTTTCTTTAAGATTATGATTTTAATTGCGTCTATTTAGAGTGAAAATAATTGATTGTTAACACTTTGTATTATTGTAGATGAATTTGATTTAATATCAAAAACTTCGCTATAGCTAAGAGTTCATTTCAAGCCTTTTTTTGAGCTTTCAAATCAATTTTTTGCCTTTTGTTTTTGGTTTTATTTAATTTTTTCCCCCAACAATTGTGATCAATCAGTTAATTAATTTTTTCCCTTGTATTGTGCCTGTTTAATGATCGTTTTAATTTAAGCGTTTATGTAAATTTGTTTATTTGTACCTTCTTTAGGTTCTTCCTTCTGTTTAAACATGCAACAACTAAAAATAAAGCCTCGTCCATTTCCCTTGGTTACTTATGGTTCCTTAATCACCATCATTATTCAAATTAATTGCTGTCATTGGTTTAGTTGATGGTTTTAAATGGTTCCCATAATAATTCAAATGTGTACTCTAATTTAATACTAATTATGATTAACTAAATGTCTAATTTACATTCAATCCTCACCTAATCATTCAAAAAGCACATGGAAAAGGAGAGGAGCGAAAAAAGACAATTTAAAAAGCAAGTGTTACAATGGACGAGAAAGGAAGATGAATTCAAAAAGGAAAAGAAGATATCTGAAGACAAAGAAGACACAGGAAGAGACAGAAGATGATGAGGAAGAGAAATAAAGAAAAGATTAATGTTTCGATGAAAAACTTTTGGAAACATTTTAATTGTAAAGATCAAGGTTTTTCGTGAACATAAATGGTTCCAACATGAAAATCAATACATTGACTTTCCAAATGATTAATGGTTATCATTTGCTGTTTATTAATTGTTCAAGAGACAAGACCAACTATCGATTCTAATGGTAATAATCATGGCGATAATTAATTAATTAAGGTGTAAAGCAAGTGTTGGATTAGTCAAGATTAATGGATGATGAACAAATTACAATTTGGTTAAATGGTAACTCCAGTCAAGTTGACAAAAAAAGGCTTCAACCAAAAGTTTAGATTTGATAAAGAAAAAGGTAAACTCATTTGTTAACGATCTTCAATTGATTGAAATGAGTATAAATTGATCAAAGATCAATTTTCAATTAATCTCAATCAATAGCTGTTATAATTAAAAGTGTATTTACTGATGATTCAATTGACGGTGAAAAAAGTAAAGAGATTAATCAGAAAGTACAGATGAGAAGCCAAAAAAGAGTCAATCTTAAGTGAAATTGATTCTTCTCTTTATTTTCCTGTTAATCTTTGAATCTTTTTAAGAATCAATGAATAAGTATAATAAATAACATTCAATGATTCAACTGATATCAAGGTGAAAAAAGGTGACTTAAAGTTAAGATTAGCTTACTCGAGAAATGTCCACTGACATTGATTACCAACAGTGTGAATTGTTGATAATGAAATAACAAAATGGACAAAAGATAGATGGATTGCCAGATAAAAGATTTGACAAAAACATTGAACAAAGTGACCATCAAAAGCAGACCCTTTACCCAAAAAGAGTATCATGTCAATATCCTCAAGGATTTACCCATAAATTGTTTTCTCTCGACCGTTCATTTCAATATTCGTTGTCCACATTCATCATGAATCCTGTTTTCATCATCAATATGATCTGATTGAATGAAAAAAAAAGAGTCTGAATAATTTTCGTCTAAACCAATATTTCCCTGTTGATGAATTACTTGCATTTTACATTATCTTTCTAACCAACTTATACATTTTAATTCCAGGCATTGGACTTATTTTGGACCAGCGATGGAAATGGGACGATCGGTATCTTAATTAGTGCATCTAACATGGTCTAAAGAAGAGGAGAAAAAATATTAACTGAATGGCCACCAGAATCACTGGACAAGCTCAAGAGTAGACGTACTATTTGACTAACCCGATGTAACACAAGAAGCATGGATAAATATAAAAGACAACTAAATAACTTAGAGTCTCGAGACTCTAATTCGAATGATTACTTGTGGTCAATCAACTAGGATAGCCAATTACTAAGGATAAAAATGGAGAGGAAAAGTCAAAGATTCATTCCCAGAAAGAGATAACTTTATGAAAGTCTTTTGTTATCCATTTACTCATTTGTTTATTCAACATTTAATGTTGCTCTATTTGT